CCTATCACACCTCCAGGAGGATTGTAAAAAACGTATCATTCAAACTACGTCTCGTTCAAATCCTAATTGAAGCGAGGTCTAAAATTTATCATGATACTGTATAATAGGGTTTTTATGTTGGCGATGAAGCCGGATACCTTGATCAAGTGTTTTCCGAAGAAGTGTCATGTCATAACCTGATCGGTCTGTTGCACTTAATTTCAGCTACTCTTTTAAGTCGAACGCGTACCGGATAAGCCAGTGCAGACCTCCCACCATCATGTACCGACATACCACTTTAGACAACTTACGATTGAGAATAGTGCTAACTGTTGATTGGTATGGATTTCTAGTTATTTGATAATACCAGAGGTGGGAGTAACTCTATTTAGGCCAATTGAGCAGGGAAATCTCGAGAGGCTGATGGAAATTATCCATCGCTACGAATGGGTTGTCGGAAATGCTTAAGCCAGTCGCTGGCAATGTGGAGAGTTTGGCACAGCTACCCAAAGCTATGAATACATGAGTTCGCGCTGTTGAACAGCCAAACCAAGAGATTTCCTAAATTGTTATAAATTTGAATAGTTAATAGGTTACTGTTGATGTTTTCTCTCCATTGAATTGGCTTCGGTCTCAGTCTTGCCAGCCCTAAGTAACGCAGCATCGGTAGATCCACGAAATGGGCTAGAGGTCGCCCGTTTTATCGCCAGGCATTTACTATATGATATTTATACTTGGTCGCCGTGAAACGTCGGTGAAAACTGGGTTAAACACAATAGGACGGCTCTACCACACTGTTGCAAACCTTTTTCTCGAATTGCGGGGATGGGCCATGTGTGGACGTCAGTCTCTCGGCTGAACTACAAAATTAGGCGATCGAGGAAGATCTTCCAGTTTGAGGTCCGAATGAAGACTTAGATCTCTGCGGGTTATGAACACACTTTAGTCGGATTTCGATCCGTTTGTTCAAATGAAGAAACGCTACGAAGCATTAACCGGCCCTTTCGTATGGATATTACATGGTTTTGAGTCGGTTAGAGCAGCGCCAGAACATCAGTGCAAGGATGATGAGAACGGACTCATCCGAAGGTCTTGTCGGCGTCGCCAAAAAAGCTAACTTCTGTTTCGAAAAGCCTGGAACAGCTGTGCGCACAACAAACGACAGTTACCATTGAACACCAAAAAGGATAGTATACCGAGCGCTGCATACGCTACAGATGCTTGGACAGATGAGGCTAAGATCGGTCCCATCTCAAGAAGCGGAACACAGTCTGAACTTGTTACCGCCCTGAATTCACGATCTTCCGAACCCGAGTCTGTCCAAGAACATAGTTTCAATGAGCTGAAGTAGTCATTGGTACAGGTCATCTACCAATCAAGAGCTACGTGAACCAAGGAAGATTGATGGCTGGGTCATTTTGTCCGTGCCAACGTAATACTTTAATTTTGGGATGGGTCTCAGGATATCTTATGTTTGTCCCCTCCTGTCCATGCGAGCCGTGACACTCAGTTGTTAGCGCTAACTTTATTTACCTGTTTATCGGCCCTTCAATCAATGACACCTACGTAGGTCACATCTGCATTGCGGGGACTTAAAGAATGGATGCCGCTAATTGTTCATGAAAATCTACCGGCTGTGCGAATTCCCTCTGTACTTGCAGGACGGGACGGGCAAACAGGGTCTCGAAGTGTTCACAACCGCATCGAAAGAAACCACGATCTGATTTCTCGTTAGAGTTCACCATTCGCCACTATCTTCTCTCCATCAAGAGAGCGACCATCGACGGCGCAGTCTATCTGCTGCCAATCAGCCACTGGCGGTATCGATTCACAACCGAATCCCCTTAGGGGGAGGGGAGGGCTCAAACGGAGATGGAATCGATAACATCTCTGTCGGAAGATGATGCGCTCACGGGGACTGCCAAGGTCTTGTCCATAAACCCAAACGAGTCACGACAACCTCTCGTCATTGGCGTGACGATAACAGCGCTGTTTCTATCCACTACCACGACGGTTCTCAGAGTATACGTCCGCGCCTTATTGTTGAGACGCTGGGGCTGGGATGATTCGGCATTGGTAGCATCATACGTAAGTATTTCTTTTAATTCTTTTCTGGAGGGGATCGGAGCCGTCTTATCTAGCAGCTCACGCTAACTTTGCTTGCAGATTCTTGTTCTTCTCGTTGGTTTGCTGATGCTCATAAGTAAGCATTTCTTCCATTTCCGTTAGGATTGAGCTCACATGTCGGGTGCTGCAGATACCCATTTCGGAGACGGGCTACACCAAGCAACACTGACCCAAGAGAACTACTTCAAAACACAAGAGGTGATTAGCTCAAAATTCCACTGTCCAAATTCTTATAATGACCCGAGAATTAGATCTCAATTACGGCTGTTGCATTTTACCAGGCCGTAAGCATTCAGGCTTTTTCTCTTCTACGATTAAGCGATAAGCTGCTAACAACACAAAGGCATTTCCTCTAATCAAAGCCACGTTCCTCCTACAATACCGACGAGTATTTCCGTTACCGACGTTCGAAAAACTTTGCAACATTTTTATTGCCTTTATAATCGCTTTCGGCATCTCGCAAGTGATATCCCTTTGCTTGGCCTGTATACCTTTGCGGAGTCTCTGGGACTTCACAGTTCCTGGCCGATGCATCGCGCTTCTGGATTGGTGGCTCGTTGGTTCCTCAATCAATCTGGTGACAGATGTCGCCATCTTTTTAATGCCCATACCGCTGTTGCGGACTGTAATGCTGCCATTGAGGCAAAAGGTCGTGTTGATGGCAACCTTTGGGCTCGGGTTCTTGTGGGGTTACCACTCATCACAGGGAGCAATAATCATGCTGACTATTGGGTCGTAGCACCTGCGCAATTTCCGTTGTGCGCATCACGACACTCAAAACCTCCTTTACTTCGGACGACGCTACCTATAATACCGTCATCGCCGGCGTATGGTCAATTACGGAGCTGAGCTGCGCAATCATCTGCGTGTGCGTCCCGACACTACGTCCTTTGATCGGCGGGCAGAACTCGAGAATCAGGCCGCCATCATGGCTTCGACCAAATCTTGACGAGAGCGACAACACCGAGCTCTTTTCTCAGTCTGAAGGAGGGGTCTCAAGCCAGAAGAGGCGATCAAGATCACTCTCTGGCCTTTGGCGGGCTGAGGGCCAGCATGACTTGGAGATTGCTCGGAATTCCAGACCTCAACCCCGGCCACATATAGACTTGAGCGACATCCCAGGTCTAGTGCCTCCTCCCGCCGTGCGTACGACGCCGTATGAAGACTCCCCAGTGAATGAGTCGCCGGGGAAGGATACGATGGTACCTTTAACGAGGTTTGATACAGAGGAGGGTGTCGAGTTCTTGAACAATGACGGGTCTGAAGCGGAGATGCCGACGCCACTCAAGCCCCCACCACGGCGACACACCGACAGAACACCAAGCCCGGAGGATTGTGGGTATTTTGGTGCGGTTGTGTGGGACGCTTCAGGGCAACCCAGGCTGGCCGGCCCCTCCCCTTCTGGGTGATATGTTACGCAATTGTTTGGTTCGCTCGGCATTGCAGGTCGTAACAGATGCAAACCAGCACTTCTACTACGTGCATTGGAGTCTCAATGGAGAACTATGATGAGGTAAACACGAGCCAAGGGGCCTTATGCAGGAGCCTGACAGGCGAGAAAGGGGACACGATTTACTTCGTCTTGATCTGCGGGATACATACCAACTTTTCAGCTGTCGCGACAATTTGGTGACTTGCAAAACCACGAGAAACAAAAGAGACGTAGGCCGACACCCTGATGTGATGAGGCGAGTGGGCCTTAAAATACCAAAACAGACCAAACGCCAGGTGAAGCGGAGGACGAAAATTAACGAGTCTGATGTCAGGATTTGGGAGAGAATCCTCGCTGAACTGGGGTCGAGCATGTGAACGAGCCAGAGAAAAAATTGATCAGTGTCCGCGAACACACGTAATGATAGACTTTGATATCCGCAAATACATGGCGTCGAAAGAAAACAAAAAGACACCAACCGATGATTTTCGTTGAGCATAATGGTCAAATCCCCATGCATGTAGAACGTTGTGAATCAACTTGAGAAAGGTACGTTGATGATCAAACATCAAAACCAAGCATTGTAATTGAGGAGAAACCGAGTTCCAACTAATTCCATTGCATTGGCGCACTGCACCTCGCTTTCATATATCTCCACAACGTGGGCAAGGCGCACTCCAGATGGTGCTAGAGGCAGACTCAGTCGAGCCCGCAGCCTCGCCACATCGACCCAGTAATCCGCTGCCAGAGCCTTGGTAATGGGATCTGGGAGACAAGCCGTTATCGAAATGCTAATCGTCAATTGTTCCCTCGGCGCGGACCGCCCTGTTAAGCACCGCCACCAGCAACGAGTCGGGAAGACAGGAGATTAGTATGAGCAGGGGGGGGGGGGGGGGGGGTTGGTGGGACAAGGATAACTCTATTCAATGGGTAAGCGTATGCTTAGGCAATTCGCTTATGTTTAGTGCTGTCATTTGTATGTGCTGCTTGGCCATATTTTGTGGGAAACCGAGACCGAGATGGGCAGTCTAGGGGGGCTGTGCCAGGTGTTCGCACGTTCCCATTGAAATAGCTTGCGGCTAATGGACCGCACAGTTGATAGCCAGAAATATACCCGTAGACCCCAAACCCGAGACCGACAGGATGTTAGGATTCTCTCGCCAATTCCGCAAGTTTCGGCTGTGTCTGCAAGCGCCAGCCTACATCTATGGAACATGGTATTGGAAACCTCTTCAGGATGCAGGCTATACACAGCGGAACGCGGGAAATACGAGATTTAAGACCTTTGTATAAAGATCTGGGTTGTTCCAGGCGTTGTCAATCTCTCTTACCTAGATCTACACCACAATACAATCATCAGTGTCAACCTTTTACCTTGCTCGAAGACTCTCGTGGCCAAATCTAACCAGCAGCCATATTTGTCAACCTCTCAACTTCTCAACACACCTTTCCAAATATCAAAATGCGTCTATTCGACTCGAGAATCAAGTTCCCCATCCACATGCTCCAGTTAGCGTTGGCGGTGGCAGCAATCGGCGTGACGGTAGTCCGCATGTTCCTCCCTAACGCACCAAGGGGTAGATCTGGCACAATGGCTTTGGGCATGGTAAGTCTTTCCAACTACAGTCCTCACGTCAAACAGAAAACTAACAAAACCCACTAACCAGGGCGCGAAATCTCTGATAATCATCCTCTATCAAGTCCTCACCGAACACGTCTCGGCACTAAAACGCTGGGCCAGCCTCAAAGCCAACCTCATCCTCAACGCCCTCGAGATCGTCTTCTGGGCCGCCGTCGCATATATGTCCATTCAGTCTAACACACAACAATGCGTCGGCACAACCTGCACTCTCAGCTGGGTAGTAGTTGTCATTGGCATCCTCCTCAGCATTGTCGCCGGATATGCAACCGTTATCTCCTGGCTCGACTTCCGCTACTTCAAGATCAACGGCGTCGCCCGTGGCTCCATCTGCCATCAACAGCTTCCCCTTCACAGCAGATGCAATAGCTCTCAGAGCCAATCGATCAAAACCATTGAGGTCCAGGGGCAGAATAAGCGTGGCACGCCACACGCCGTTGCACCGGCACACCTGCGCAATGGCAATAGCCAGTACGAGCTGGAGTACGACAACCAGTACGCGCTGCAGTATGCGCAACAGTACCAGCAGCAATACCAGCAACAGTACATCAATCAATACCACAACCAATACCACAACCAGAACTCGCACCAGCAACGGAAATAGATTGTGACGAGTCAGAATTGTTGGCAGAATATATGACATAAAGCCTTGGTTTCCTTTTTTTTACATGCGAGTATGGGACAAAGCTTGGGAGGCCATGCTATCACTAGACATAGGAAGGCGTTTGGAATCAATGGGAAGTTTGGGAACTAGCCAGAATAACTGGATCTTGTTGTGTTTGTAACGACCTCTGTAAAGACAGGATGATAGTGCTGCCACCTGTTGGGGAGGGGAGCACGTCAACGAGAAACTTTTTTGTTTCCCAATGGAAAGAAATTGCTTGTCGAAAGTGAAGAACAATAGAAGGGTTAAAAATTTGAGATAGGAACGCGAAGAAGAAGAAGGAAGCCGAAGTTAATAGGAAAGCTTGTGACGTGAATGGAAAACCAGGAAAATGAATAATTCGAGGATCGCCATCATAGTTTGCTAGCCGTTGTCGTCGATTTGTGGGGCTTCCCGAACTGGAAATTCCATATCCTATTGCCAAAGTCGAGATAGTCGGTTTGACAAATAAATACTCGCATATTGCTCTTGCTGCGAGATATATGGCTTAAAGGTCGGCAACCCAATGGCCTACGCCTCAGGGATATATCCAATATCGCCATTCTGACATATGTCCTCGTCATGTTGGATTCCTCTCGTAGATATCGGTGAAGCCTGACGTTTGAACCCGAAATGGGCCGTCTCTTCCTCCTTGAACTTCATCTGTCTTCTCGCAGTGCAGAACGTTGTCGTTTAGTCGGCGTTACTGCTTCAACCTGGCGCGCTTTTTCATCGCCTTTCTACAGAAAACCAGCGGCGTAAAACAGCCCAGGGAGCTCGGGATACGCAGTGGTGAAGTCGATCCAGAATGTTGTATTCCTTGCCGCAGGGACGTTCCGTGTTGTGAGCTGCTGCTCCGGCTGGTCATCCTTACAGATTTTCTCCAATAGCCAGATCAAATCGCCTGCTAAGTTGTTCGGACACATCTCTCTTGCGGCACGCTCACCAAGCAGATACGCAACCGCAATTTGATTTACAAGTGCCGGCATCGTAAATATATTCATCAGAACTCCGGCATCGCCAAAGCCCAAACTCACAGTCAATAGTGTCTCAAAGTTGTCGTCGTGGGCGATGGATTCAATCGTCACCTTCCAGACATATCCATTGACGTCTGTGACCCCGAGATTGTTTGGTTCACAGGGGTAAATCAGCATACCGCTGGTAGCTACGGCCCAAGACTTGATGACGTCTCGGGCGTGGTCCGGGCAGACGATGCTAACGTGGGTGGAGCGGCGGGCGTTATAACCGTATGCCAGCATGGCTGCGGTGCCGCAAACGGCGTACTAGACGTGGGAGAAGGCCTGGCCGATTTTGTGAGGATTTCGTGGGCTGATGCTGGTGACATCCAGTTTTGGCTGGGTGGTCGCAGTAGTGGGTGTGAATGTGATTTAGGCTGTGCTATGGCATCGCCTCTACAAGTGGAATAAGAGTTATTCGTCCAGATGTCTGAGTCGTTGAGTTCATCTTATAGAACCGGGGGTCGAATATTTCGACTTGGACTTGATGAAAGAAAGGACTCTATCTTCCTGCAGCGCTGATGGGCTTGTCTCAATACCTCACAATATTATACATGTTGGCTGTTCGGCTCTGCCGTTCTCCCAGGTGGGCGGATGTCTTGTAACCCTGAAAGTGATAAAATGCCTCTGGTTGGTGTTGAACGTCGATTGGGGGGTCTTGGATGGTTGGAGTCAGATAGCGATGGGAAAGAAGATGACGATAGCCAACGAGGATGTCTCGTAGTATGAATGGGGGTCATGTCGTACTGGAAGTAAAGTAGCAAGTAACTAGTATCATTAATCTGATATCTAACAATTTCCAAGCCCAGCACTATTGAAACCGGATATAAATGGTCGAGGCGATATTGGCTTGCTTTGCCGAGATTTGGCAAGCATAATCGATGTACCAGAACACTGTCCGTGTATTTCTGGTTCTTTTTTGGATGGTTGCCAGCAAACAACACAAGTCAAGGATAGTTAATGTTGGCCTTGAACATAGGAATGGACCGAAAAAGACGTAACCTGATCCCACAAACTGTTAGCATCATCATGTTTGCACACATAGCAGCCAGAACCACAATTCCTATCCACGTGCAGACATAGTTCAGAGCAAGACAAACAAAACACTGAGGTCCAGAACAGTCTCGTTCATACCATGGTATTGAGTTCATAGTCGTCTTATGCCTGGCGGGATCTCTAGATGTTGCGTTCCCAACCTCCCAAACGCCTAATCGTACAGTGCTGGCAAAGTCCCGGTATCCCGCCTGTAGATCGTCCCTGAATCATGGTCCTTTTCCGTTTACAACTCCTCCTCCACCTCCATAGAATCGCCGTTCGAGTTGTCCTTGGCACCCGCTGGCGCGTCCTTCTTGGGCATTGTCGCCTCCTTGTCGATCATTTGTCTCGAGACGGATACAATGTTGTCCTCAATGAGCTGCTGGCCGACATCTTCCAAATGCTTCTTGGGGTCAAGCTTGCCGACATATCGGGTCTTGAGCTGATCCTTCGTCAACTCAGTCTCCTCTTTAACGCGCTTCTCATAGCCCTCGGCCAGGCTGACCAGGCTCTCCAAGCGCTCCTTGTTACAGTTGGCCTCGTGTCTGAAATCATTCATCTCCAGAGCCTCAGTCCAGACGTGCTTGTGCAGGTTCATCAACATGTTCTCTTCCAGCGCTGTCTTGCGGTAGTTGATGCCGATGGAGTAGTAGTGTCTGTTCAGGCCGTGGATGAGGGCCTGGATCGAGGGCTTGTTCAAGTGACCCAAGTTACTCGTGCTTTGCCGAGGTTCTTGGCCAAGCATGAGCGACTGAGGGTTGATGAGGCGGAAGGCGTCAATGACAACCTTGCCCTTGACGGACTGGATGGGGTCGACGACGACAGCGACGGCGCGCGGGGTAAGCTGCTCGAAGGACTGCTGGGTGTTGATATCGACAGACGAAAGCCAGCAACCGAAACCGGGATGGGAATGGTACCAACCGACGACGGCCTCGGGCCTGTAGGAGTGTAGTTGTTAGTGTTTGTAGCGCGGCAGGAATGGCGGGGCTCAACTCACCTTCCGGTCTGCCTCAGCATATCCATCATCTTCATCTGGAACACAGGGTCCACAGCCTCTACACTGACACCAGTACCGCTCTGAGGCATGGCAAAGACATCAACCACGCGCACCGTGAAGTCGTCGACAAACTCTCCCAGCATCAAACCCATGACTTCCATGGGGACACCAGCACGACCGTGTCGCAGCATCTTGAGGAGGGCGAGAGAGGAGATGTAGACGGTCTCGGAGTTATCGATAAGCTGTGTGTTGTCCTGGTGTACCAAGTTAGCGGGCGATCGCGAAACAGTCGGTCATCGGAGCTGTCGAAGCAGCTCCCGAAGGTGGGATGCTCTTACCGTTCCGGGCTGGCTGCCCAAGCCGCCCAGGCCCTGGGACTGGAGCATGTTCCTGAAACGCTCCATTATGAAGATGTCGTTCGATTGTTAGATTTGGGGAATACGGCGGTAAGTCTGGTTCAGAGAAGTGTCGCGTGATGAGGTTGTTCGGGGAGGGTTTCGAGGAGGCGGATTGGGGCGATGGAGACGGATGGAAGCAGCTGGGTTGTGAGTTGTTGACGACAGCTCTGAGCAGCCTGGCGAAAAAGGACCCGGCGGAGCTAGCCTGGTCCGGTACGTACCGTCTGCAGCTGACAAACAGTCACGTGTGAGTGTGGCGGTCACCGAGCTTTGACAAGTGCAAAGAAGCTGTTCTTTAGGCGTTTGATTGTTTTTTCCTATTCTCATGAAGAGGTCCTCTCTACTGGTTTCTTAAACTTTATCTCTTCCAAGCCCTCTAAAGCCCAGATTCTCTTTTGGTGTCCTTGGTTATCGTACCGCAGCGACCAGGGCTCGAGGTTGAAGCTGAACAGGTCAAGCCACACAAGTGTCGCATCCAGCTGAGCCACTAGCCACATCGCCCGTCCCCTCGCAGCACTAGATCCCGCCTTTAGATTAGAACGTACGGATGTTGGCTGTATTTCAAGCTAGACATCTCGAATTCGTATGTCTGATACAACAGTTCTACTCTCTAGGAGTTGCTCATTCCAAGATAACTGGGAAAAGTTGTTTTAAGAATGTCTTTTACCCTCATGCTGCTACGCTCCATATCTATCAAGCACACACCGAGACTCTACTGATGATGTAGCGCCCCTCCACGTTGGACCTACGTGACCCTGTCTCCCGAGTCTGGCCCACGGGCTGCACTCATTGGGGCGATTTCGGCTAGCGCCCCCCGGCTCTTGCTGACGAATCAAACAACACTGTTGACCGGATCATTAGTACTGCCGACCTTGGCTGTCAACCTTACGCTTCTACTCATTGGAAGATAATCTCCCGTCAGCCTCTGCCCCCTGTCGGCCATCGCGCAATTCCATTGGTACGTGGTTTTGCCTCCACGCAGCCTTGGGAAATCTGGGGCCGAGCCGATCAGAGCTCCCACTCACAGCCTTCGCACCTTTTCCCATCCTTCCCTCCTACCCACCACCAATTTTCCCTTATCCCGTTCAGACATAGCCGACAACGTACACCATCGCGACCTGAACACCGACCGAAGCCATGTCACCACTCGGATCGGTGGCCCTGGCCAATGGCTCCGCGACGCCAAAGAAAGTCGCCTACTTCTACGACTCCGACATTGGCAATTATGCCTACGTTACCGGTCACCCCATGAAGCCGCACCGTATTCGCTTGGCACACAGTCTGATCATGCATTACGACCTGTTTAAGAACATGGAGATCTACGTAAGTTGTTCGCTGCAGCTGTGACACGACGCGACAGATACTAACCCAAGATGTGCAGCGTGCCAAACCGGCTACCAGAGGAGAGATGACCCAGTTCCATACAGACGAGTACATCGATTTCCTCCAAAAGGTCACCCCCGACAACATGGACGCCTACCAGAAAGAGCAGGGCAAGTACAATGTCGGGGACGACTGTCCCGTCTTTGACGGCCTTTTCGAGTTCTGCGGTATCAGTGCTGGTGGCAGCATGGAGGGCGCTGCTCGTCTCAACCGACAAAAGTGTGACATCGCCGTCAACTGGGCCGGTGGTCTTCACCACGCCAAGAAGAGCGAAGCCAGTGGTTTCTGTTACGTCAACGGTAAACACTAACTTTCATTGCTGAAGTGTTCGTTCACTCGCTAACCAGCTTCTAGATATTGTCCTAGGCATCCTCGAACTCCTCCGTTTCAAGAAGCGCGTTCTTTACATCGACATTGACGTTCACCACGGTGATGGTGTTGAGGAGGCCTTTTACACGACCGACCGAGTCATGACTGTGTCATTCCACAAATACGGAGAGTACTTCCCTGGTACAGGAGAACTGCGCGACATCGGCATCGGTACCGGCAAGTACTACGCCGTTAACTTTCCTCTCCGCGACGGTATCGACGACACCTCATACAAATCCATCTTCGAGCCGGTCATTGAGCACGTCATGAAGTTCTACCAGCCTGAGGCTGTTGTGTTGCAGTGCGGTGGTGATAGTCTGTCTGGCGACCGACTGGGCTGCTTCAACCTGAGTATGGAGGGCCATGCCAACTGTGTAGGTTACGTGAAGAGCTTTGGTCTGCCGACCTTGGTTCTTGGTGGTGGTGGATACACCATGCGCAATGTCGCCCGAACTTGGGCATTCGAGACCGGTGTTTTGGTCGGCAAGCATCTGCCTAAGACGCTGCCCTACAACGAGTACTACGAAGTAGGTTCCCGTCCCTGTTCCCCCTTAGGACACAGCTGACAATCAATTAGTATTATGCCCCCGATTTCGAACTGAACGTCCGTCCTTCGAACATGGAGAACTCCAACAGCTTCGAGTACCTGGAGAAGATCAAGGCGGCTGTTATCGACAATCTTCGACATACTCAGCCTGCGCCCTCTGTGCAGATGCAGGACGTGCCTCGACAGCCCTTGGGTGGCATGACCGACGAAGAAGAGGCTGAGCTCAACGACATGGACGAGGACGAGCACCCTGATGAGCGCATGACACAGCGCCGCTGGGAGCAGCGCACCCGCAACGAGGCCGATTTCGAGGATAGCGACGATGAAGATATGGATGAGGCAAATGGCATGACGCGCCCTCGAAACGCCAAGAAACGTACATTCGGTGACTTCCGTCAAGCTGAAGGAGACGTTGACAGTGGAGCACCTTCACCAGTTAACGGTGCCCCCGAAGGCGAAGAAGCTCCCAACGCTGAGCCGATTGTGGATGCCGACATCACTCTCGAGAACCCTGTCGAGACCGAGGACGTGCCAGAGAAGGAAGCCTCCGAAAAGGAGGTCGCGCCCGAAGCACCCAAGGAGGATGTCGTTGACGAAGACGGTGATGTCGGTATGGGTGACGGAGCCGATACCGAGGAGGCCACGACGACAATCAAGAAGGAAGAAGTTGAGGCAGAGCCAACCAAGGTTGCCGAGAAGGAAGAAAAGGAAGACAAGCCGGCATCGCGCAAGCCGTCGACCGAGCCTCCAGCAGAGCCTGTCGCAACCGAGACGATAGAGACGGTCGATGCCACTGAGCCCGCCAAAGAAGTTGCCAAAGAGGCCGAGATGGAGCCAGCCAAGGAGGCAGAATTGACCGAGCCCAAGGAGACCAAGGATGAAGCCGCGCCTGAGGATCCACCAGCTGAAGTCAAGGAGACCAGTCCAGAAAAGGAGAAGGAGACCGAGGAAAAGACTGAGGAAAAGGCCCCTGAACCCGAAGAAGACAAGATGGATGTCGATGAGAAGCCGGTAGATGATGGCACGAAGGAGTAGTCGCCCTCGCTGTCTGACTGCTGTTCGCAGAATATGGACATGCAATGATGAGACGTCGGGATTATTCGGGCGCGCTCTACGGAGGGTGTGCCGAGCATCGGGCGTTCAAGGACTGGTGACTTCAAGGGACTTTCTTGACACGGAACTTTGGGATTATTGATTTGTTTGTTTTTTGGTGATATTCTCATACGCTCCTTGCACAATATTTTAGCGGCGAGAAAAATGTCGCCAGCTGTATCATAGAAAGCCAAGGCGTAATAGCATGTGGTGATAGTAGCGGGTTCCTTTCTTTTCAACGCTTATTCCATTTGCTATGTGTAACAGTTCCTGGCTTAATCTCCAATGGTGTGAGTAACCCTGTCCACCATGCTATTTCCTCAAAAACACACAGCATGTATTTTGGGATCATATGCTTCCGGATCAACTATTTATAGTCGGGACGATATATTCACCCGGAACGTCGCCCACTAGCTATGAGTAGCACTCGCCCAAGATGAGGACGTTGAAATCTTTCGCTAAGTCTCGGTTCTCGATCGTCGCTATTCACGCCAGTGTCAGTCATGCCTCAATGACACCCGTGAAAACCGAAGAAGAATTCGGGTTGTATGGCTCATACTGCATTGCCCAGTTGAGGATCGGAATCTTTGGGTACTCTGCTAATATCCTCTTAACCGTGTTTAAAGATACTATCGCCATTCCTGGAAAAGCAACTTGGAACTATCTGCCACGGCTTCTCGTCCACTTGCGTCAAGCCGCCAAGCTCGAGAGCGAAGCTTTGGGTGTTGACGCCGAAGATCCGAGGCAGTCTACTCAGCGTCAGGCGACGACCCGAAGCTTTTTCGAAAAGGCTTTGAAGATTCATACACAAAAAGCTCAGCCAGCTGCCGATCTTCTGTTCATGGCCGATCAAAGGTATGGAAGAAGCCGGGGGGCTGACTAAGGGAGCGACAAGCTTTGGATCGAGCTGTTGTCCGGGTGAGTACTAGGTTCGGAAGATTAGGATGCAGTAATTAGCAACCTCGCATCTCTATGGTGTGAAGAGAACAATGACAAATGGTTTAGTGACCTTCCTTGCTGCTTACTGGTAGCCGATCAGGTTAGTGAGCCCGGACGGTGCGAACCATCTTTTGATCCCCTACAGCAGTCCCACGGAGGTTCAACTTCGATGGTACCCTGATTCTCGCACATTTGCGTAGACTGTAATAAGGAACTATTCTCTGGAACAATGCAAAAAAGACGGTTTATAAGTATAATGATGTCATTCTGGTTGTCTACTCATTCAGAGCGGTTATGTGAACTCGGTTTTGCAGGCTGAGATATGCGCTTATCCCATCCTTGTGAAAGGTTTGACTGGGTTCATATCTCTTGGATCCTGTCTTCTTCCAAGGCGACCCTTAACCTTTTCTCATGAGACATAGTGTGCTGCCGTTTGCTTGAAACTTGACGACGAAGATCGATAGATTTTTTGAAAACTGGTTCAGGTCGAACGTAATTGCAAGGGGTGTCGTAGTGACGATAATGCATGTTAATCGAAGATCGAATGGAGAGGAGTGATGACAGTTGACCATGTCTCTCGGTACTGTAAACACAAGGTCTCCAAGGTCCAGAACTAAGACAAACACTCCTGCAGTAGATGCTACACAATGATGGTAAACAAGTATCTGTGATTTGTCACTTCTTCGCTGCAAATGTTAGCTATGTTGTGAAGCTATCATCTATCATTGTTAGTTTGGTGGCTGCGCCGCATTTAAAGTGGACATCTATCAAACTCTTCCATTCTAAGCTTAGCATTCATAATGACAGCAGAGACCGTGCGAACCTTTTTTTTCTTTAGTTTGCACATTCTAGGCCCTTTCTTTGTTTTTTCATGTATACGGTCGTTGTGGGCCTTTGCTAAAGGCCTCTTTGTTTGTGGTTTTCTATCCAAGCACTATTCTTTCCAGTCATATAGTGGGTCACTTGTCAGTTAGCAATCAATAAGCTCAATCTAGACGCTGTCATCTTCCAGATCGGTCCCTCTAGCTCCCACAATCTGAGTCGAGGCTTTTTCGGCATTCGATAGTCTAGGCATTGACACGCAGTAGTTGAGGCTGAATTGATGTTAGTTTATAGTCTAGTGAGAAAGCAGCGGGACTAAATAACATGATGTTCATGATACTCTTTCTGCCATTCTCAACATCGTGTATATATATGTAACTGCCTTTCCTACCTCTGTTGTCGATATCGAGAAAATCGGTCAGCTACTCGTTTTCTTACCTCTCCACATCGGCAAGGCAACGCATCTATCACTCATTGTCCTTCAATTCCAAGTTGCAAATTCAAAAATTTCAAGCCACTTAAAATGAAGGTATTTAAACCTCTACACCGTCGTTAGCCATGGACTCTTTTAACAAAAAGTTTAGTTCTCACTCACCGTCCTCTGCCTCTCCGGCCTCACCTCCGCCGCCACCATCCAGCAGCGCGCCATATACGACACTGCAACCGTCACCCCTTTCCTTGCTCCGGCTTGTGAAATCACTGACGCAGTTACCAAAGCTCTCTGCCAGTTCCCCGACTTGGCTCTTACAGCCGGCAAATGCCAGGATGTTACATACCAGTGCTCCATCCATCCACCCACGTCTTTTGTCGCCCAGCTCAACCAGCCTTCCTCCAACAGATGCTACGTTGCGGTGTTTCCCGATTTTGGATGCGCGGGTAGTGAGGTTGATAGTGGAGTTTTGGGAATCACGAAGAGTAATTGCATTGAGGCACCCTACTTTGGGAAGCTCCTTACCGGCGGCATCCTTTCTAGCAGCCTGTTGCCGTTCGGTTTTAAGAGCGCCAAGTTGGTCTGCGCTTAGATCGTTAATCTGTGGGGTTTACTCGATGTATTGAAAATGTATTCTTATTGGCTGCGCGAAATCATGGCCCAAAAGGCAGTCACTTGGCTAAAATGTGCAAAGCGTGTTATGACGAGTCTAATAAGGGAGTGACTCTTTAATGTCTTTTGGTGGAACTATAAGGATCCACTGATTGAGAAAGCACAGTTATCCATAAATGACATTATTCAAGGCGTATAGAGCATTAATAGTGACACGGTCAACGGCTAAAAAGACAGTTGATATCTGAGGTCAGTTGAGCATATTGACATTCAAAGTTGGAAAGAATGATAACCAAAAACTGTCATGCTAAGAAAGATCCAAATGGAGATTGCAGAAAAGAGCCACCAAATGGCAACTTGCCTTTGGATGATTAAAGTACTGAAAGCAGTAATCAAGGCTGGTGAGAAGAGCAATCAGATGAACCCAGACTCGAGGTTCGGCACACTAAGGATATTTGTGAGGTTTCGATCGAAGCTCGTAGAATTCCATATAGCATAAGCGATTTTGGCGAGTCTGATAGCCCTGGTGAAGATGGAAACTCTGCTGTGGTGTTTGAAGGGCTGGCAGATTAGCCAGATGCATTTGAAGCTTATTTGCAACGGCTAGGTCTGTGTAGGGTGACGGCGCAACGTGAGCGAGATTTATGAAAATATATGGGCTTTGCGGCGTTATGAGATGCCTCGTACGTTTGGCGAAAGTTTCGGATGTCGTCGGTTGAAAAAACATGCTAAACTCGTTATCGTTTTTTTCCGTTTCGCCTTTTGTTTAACTTTGGTGCGGTGAGTTCTCGGCCTCGGCTTATTCGGACAGCTTGTTGACTTTGTTTCTACGTATCATGTTGAAGGAAGTATGGTAGGAAAGGAAAGGATTGGGGATATATACTTTGACCAATTGTCCGTCCGCATCCTAATGAGGAGCCGATCCGTCTCGCGCATCTGTCCCAACCTGCCATCACCACTTCACCTGCTTCCAGAGACATTCTGTATTCAACGTATCAAAAATAACAGCGCAGCTATTAGGTCAACATGAGCGAACCCGGAGTTTTGGGCAAAGATGCCTCGGTCGATGTGGTTGAGAAAGATCCGTCGTTCTCCCCTTCGGCGCCACGACACAATACCGCCGACGAGGTGGCCATGGCGCACCCAGAGCGAGAGGTGATCGAGAAGCGGCTAGTTCGGAAGTTGGACATGACACTCATGCCAATGGTCTTCATACTGTATCTTTTCAATTTCCTCGACAGGAACAATATCGCGTACGTTTCGGTCCCGTTGGACCATGGGGTTAAGCCCAAGATGGAATAATACCAGAGAGGCTGACTGAGGTTCGCGAGATGTGACGATACAGCCAGGCAAAGTTGAATCACTTCGAGAAGGACGTCGGACTCGTAGGGGACCAGTTTAACACAGCGATTGCGATCTTCCACTCGGGGTAAAGCCTCCGCCCGTCTTTTCAGCCCCCCTTGGATCGTGAGCTGTCGCTGATCGGGGGATATAGATACATGATCGCACAATTGCCGTCCAACATGATCCTGACCCGCCTCCGGCCCAGCATTTACTTACCTTGCTGCGTCATGTTATGGTCCATCGTGTCGGCTTCGACGGCCGCGGCAAAGGGCTTCGGCAGCGTTGTCGCAATCCGCGTTGCGTTGGGTTTAGTTGAAGCGCCCTTCTTTCCCGGTGTAGGTTACTAGGCCGTTACAGGCCGACTGGAACAGTCTCTCAAGGTGGTCCAGCTGACATCTCAATCCTCTCAAAAGGTCTTGTTTATCCTCTCTTGCTGGTACACACAAAAAGAACTCGCCTTCCGGACCGCACTTCTTTTCTCAGGCAATCTCCTCGCGACGGCCTTTTCCGGGCTCATAGCCGCCGCCGTATTTGGCAACCTCGACGGCGCCCACAGGCTAGCGGGTTGGCAGTGGCTCTTCATCATTGAGGGCTCCGGAAGCTTCGCAGCGGCCTTCATCGCTTTCGCGTTCCTGCCAGACTTTGTTGGATCCAAGACGGGGGTCTGCGCATGGCTCATGTCGGAAAAAGAGTTGGAGATCGCCGCGCAGAGAATCGAGGCCGACAGGGTGTCGTTGCCTGAGCAGAAAGCTACGGTTTGGAACGGTCTTAGCCTGGCGGTGAAGGATCCGCGTACTTGGGGCTTTGTGAGTTCCCCTCTTTTTGAAGACCATACCTTCCTGTAGAGAAATGTGTATGTGATAAGGTAGAGATGGGCTGACTTCGACATTTAGGCTTGTATGCTAGCGTTCTACGTCTCTTTCGTTGGACTTAACGGCTTCTTTCCTAGCATCGTCCAGGGCCTCCATCTGGGTTCCCAAACGACGACACTCATCCTCACGGCACCTCCCTATCTCTTTGCCGCTGCCGTTTCCCTCGTAATCTCCATTTACTCAGATCGGCGTGCCGATCGTGGCCTACACATCATCGGACTTGTTTGCGCTGCTATGGTAGGCTTCATCATCACCGCCGCGACGACGAACCACGCCGCTCGGTACTTTGCCAGCTTCTTGTATGTACCCGGTGCCGCAGGCGCGACGTCTCTTGTTATCAGCTGGGCCTCGACCGTGATGAGCGAGACGCCTGAGAAAAGAGCGGCGGGGTTGGCAATTGTCAATCTGACGGGCCAACTTGGGGGGATATGGAGCCCGTACTTTTTCAGACCCCAGGATAGCCCGCGATACCTGTTTGCATTTCTGCTGATGCTTCTTTTCGCGTTATTGTGTATTGGGACAGTGTTTCTGATGAGGCGGTTGCTGGGGAGGGCGAACCAAAGGTTAATTACCGAGAATGAGGGGACGGGGAAAAAGCTAAGGCTCTACATGCTCTGAGACGGGAGTCGAGAAGGGCGAGAAGGCGCAGGTTCCATGGCCTCGGAAGTACAACTCTTGTGTGGCCAACTCGGAATATAGTCTTGGGTTCACCGGTATTATTGAGAAATGCGGCTCGGGATAATGAGGGAGTCGCAAACTAATGGTGACGCAAGACACTATTAGGGCCTGGGAAGCTCTTTGCTTACCCTGAGCAAAAGCGACGTTTGGCTACGTAGAAGGGTCAAACGTGGTCGTCGTATGGAACATCAAAAACCTGATTCCTAGATTAAACTCCACATTGGAATGAATAGAATATAGATTGATTATGGCTGTAACTCTGTGGTCCATGAATTCTCAAACAATTTGAAGATACTCCAGAAGTCTCATTGCGTCTTACAAAGTCAGGATGGGCAGTCGAGATCCGCCAGTCCAGAATCATAATCAACTACAATCACCAGACATTGTTCAGGCCTGAATTGCCAGGGTCACAAGCTTCGCATCCAGGAGCAGGAGATGCTCTAAGCCTTGTTTGTCTCATCAGTGCCCTGGGGATCCTGCCCAAATCGAGGGTCGCGACGGTGGTGTAGGTTTCTCTCAAGCAGCATATTTAGATGCTCAGAGAATTCAGTTTGCGCCTCAGCAAGCTGGTCAGGTTTCAAGTTCAGAGCCAGTACATCTGCAGCGAGTGGCATTCCCGACCGTGGATGCCCAAGGAAGTTGTTATCATGAACCTTGATGAAACTGCAAAGCTGCTGTGGAGTCTTGCCACGTAATAGAACGCGTGAATAGACTGGACGGAAGTCTTCGTATACCAGTTTGGCAATCTGCTGAGCTGCGATGATCAATTTCTGTTGCTTTTGAACATTGCCATTCAGTGAAGAGTCCATTTAATCCTGGGGATGCGCATAGCCCGGATTGTCAAAGACTCAAGACTCGGTACATCGGCCAAGATCGTGGCTACCTTCCGGGACATGGCCGGGCAATGCTTGCGGGAAAGCTTGTAGCCCTTCGTTGTGCCGAGTTGAATGTCGCGCAGATGGAGCCGGTTTTCCGGATCTATGCTATGTAGCTAAGTGACAGGGTCATCATGGCAACCGATGAGGATGGACCGAGAATAGAGTATTTCTCTTGCCTCAGCATGAATTGTCTTGCAGGTTCGAAGGATAGAGCCTAAGACCATGTCAGCCTTCTTGGTGCATTGATTCAAGTTTCTGATGGCAATGGTATTCGGGCGGGCCAGGGCAAAGTGATAAAGGATGTTCCGAATCTCTGAGGGCAGTTGTCTTCGGGTACAATTCAGCCAGAGAAGACTGCAAACACATAGTAAGGGAGTTGCTCACAAAAAATGAAAGTGGCTGGGCTCGTGTTCGCCGAGCTTTGTTCTCTAGAAAGAATTAGTCAGTCTTCCAGCGGTAGGCAGTTTACATCGTTAATATTTCCAAGTAGCATACCTTTTTCGGCGGTACCTCGCAACTGCGCTCACAGTCCTCTACGCAGTGGCGCTTCCGCTTAATCACGAAACGCGGCCGCTTCTGGCCCAAGGAAGCAAGGGCCCAGCATGGTTGTGAGCGACTCGTCCTGAGGTAAAAGTCAGCCAAACATCAGCTCGTAAGCAGAGTGAAGTACCACAGACTTAGAGGTCATAGTTCCTGAAGCAGTAAGAATGGTCGAGAGTCGAGAGTCGCAAATGAAATTCCGTTGGTATTTTCTTACCGACATATAATATATGTTATCTCTTTTGATTCCAGCCCTCGATGCCGCTAGCGGAGTAGGCAGTAAATCTTGCCGATACCAAAGATGGCATTACCCACCTGTTCGACTCCTTACGAAACATATGGTTCAGAAATCAGCCCAGAATAGCACAGGCAACAGGCAGAAACTAAGACCATGATTATTGAATGTGTGAAACGTTAACTCCTAGTTTGCTCCAGGCGGAACACGATCATAACCGACATTTGTGATTTCCCCTTCAGCCTTTGACACTGACTACCAGGTGCCCAGGCTAGCTATTCTAGGCCGACCGGAGCCGACAAGGAGCTCGTATAAGCTGATAGTAGTTTCTGGTCAAGCACGTTGCCGTGAACGAAGCAGACGAGGCGAATGAGGGGGACTTTCTACAAAATTACCTATCCTTATAGATGCATGAAACCTGGCTGTAGTGTCTACGTCGTTTTTGAACCGTTGATGGATTATGCATGGCTTTTAAAGCTAGATAAAAATACCTTGCAGATCGCGGGGAATAGGATAGCTAGTATAACCAGACGTGCATGATAGTGAGTAACCTAGATGTAGCACATAGTCAATAAGCCGAACCATTATAGCGATATCCCGATGCGCTCGGGTTGAGAAACGGTTCATCTGATAGCGCGTTGATAATGATGCAGCATACCAGCAATTTGTTTGAGTTATCACATGTGAGTAGGCTAAGAAAAAGACCCCTGTACCGAATAAGTGCTATTCCATTATGACAAGGATTAGCAGAACTCATATGGATTGATAAGACGGCGCAGACTATCGGGATCAGTGTGAGTTGCCTCGTTTATCTTTCTCCCCCTCTTCCCTGAAAAGACTACATTCACTTTACTGCCCCCTTGCTGATTTTGTATCAACATCTAGCCATTTAGCTTGGAAACTTCATATCCGCGTGCAGATTGTGTAGTATGAAAGTGTGGATACTTGAAGCCATTCACAAATCAATTATACCATGTTGAAGGCTTATGAGACAAAAGATACAGTCATGCTGGTCAATGCCGAACCGCAAATTGTAATCGTTGAAGCACCTCTCTTTAGAAGGAACCAGTGAAAAAGGCATAGAGAGATTTTTATAGTCCACAGTTCTGTAGTACATTCCAGATTCTTATCGTATTTCAAGGCAAGCAACCCACCTAAGAAGGTACGTGGTACCTGCCACTGAGCGGCTGGGAACTAAATGAATCATTCCAGACTCCCCAAGGACTAGCTCCAGGCAAAAGGAGCATCTCTTTCGCTCATGGAAACCCCTTTCCACCCAGACAGAGAGACGTTCTTCCAGCCCAATGCGTCGCAGCTGATAGTTCCCTTGAACGAACGGCAATCATTGCCCGAGAAGACAATATAGCCCCTTCCAGTCTCGGGACTGGCGGTTGCGGATGTTTGGTTATGTGGCGTCGATGGAGTCGCTACCTGTCCCTTCCACTGGAACCAAAACTTGGGTGAGCGAAAACTGTTCTTTTCGAAATTTTGGAACCGGATGCGTTCTTTGTCTTGATCTTCTTGGTCTTCTGACTCATCTGCCTCATCTTCATCGTTTGATGCCACAAAATCATCATCTAGGCTGGCGCTGTTGTGAACGGTTATGTCCTGTTCTTTGTCCTGCGACACCTTGTCGTTGGCAATTTCTTCAGGGTTCTCTTCTGATTCTTCGTCCTCGAGCTGTGAAACCAAAATTTCGAGTGTTTTCCTGCTACCCGTCATGACAACCCTGGCCTCGAGAGTCCCAGGCAGCATCAGATCTCCCAACAAACCCCTGCCATCGTCGGACAGACGAAAGATGTCTAATGTCGGCGAAGCGACATTTTCCCCATTTGCCAGACAATAATTTGTGCTCCTTTTGCTTGCATTTGGGCATTTGATGTCGTATCTGCCAAATGTCTTTTTGACCTCGAATGCCCCACCGCGTCGCCCACGTCCACCGCCTGCTTTCGATTTGCTGGCACGGTTGTGGACGTGTCTCGTCGTGAAGGCGGCTTCCTGCCAGTCGTCCATCATGAGAAAGTCAATCTGAAATTAGGAATTTCTTTTTGCGTCGGTGTCATGTGTATGAGTCTGAAATTCTCTTCCCTACGTCGCTGGACAGAGTTGGACACCCGTCACCGTTTAGTGCCAGTTTAGTCCTGACGTCATTGGCGCTCAGGTGTCTTACGAAGCCATTGATGAGCACCGAGTCACATCAGACGCGGAAATAGAAGTGCATTTTAAAACAAACAAAAGTGAACTGTTTGTTAAATTTGTTGAACACATATAAGTGCGCCTATCAAAGCACTTTGTGTTACTTTGTGGAGTCTCAACACTAAATTCTGGCTCGTTCAATCCGCCTCTCAATAAGCTTAGCTCCTCGCCGTGGGCGTGGGAAGCTGACTGTGCATGTCGACCATCGCAATGAAAACAGCTTTAAGCATTCCGGCAGAAATGTCGAGAACCTTCCCTGGAGAGGCGTTGAGATCTAGGGGATTCCACAGGACGACTGGTCTGGTTTTGACACGCTGCGGCGGGGAACTTAGATGATGGATCGAAGCCAAAGCCGACGGCCCACGATCTGGCGGGCGGAGCCGGCTACAACGTCGCGCATCAACGCTAACGAGATGCACTTGAGTCTGGATACCATGGCAAACCTTCTCGGCCGGGTTGTCCCCGGACCTGTCAATGCATGCGTTACATCAGAGCCTCGGATCTTTGACCTGACAAGAGCACAGCGACAAATGTGTGGAAAAGTCTAGACCTCGAAGCTCACACTGAGACTCAAGTAACCTGTTTCCAACCCCTGTCCCTCCCTTCCCCCGCAGTGAGCCGCAGGGCCCCTCTTCGCCGCTGTTCATCGCTGAGTGTGACGTCAAGGCCACGAAGACCGCAGCATTTTCCTGGCCACCCAATCACAGACACTGAACAGGCCAGGATTTCCTGTTTCTGGACACCTCCGTCCACGAGGCCAGAGCTCTGGACGACATCATAAGAGCTCTCTCGCCGCCCCAGATGCGCCCGCGCCCGTACAATACCAACACCAAACGCTCGAGCTTCACGATCGGAACCCCGCCATCAAACGAGACATCTTGCACGAAAGATCCATAGCAAACAGTCACACAAAATCCACGCGAACGAAGGGCACAGAGCATTACAATGGGCGACGACGATAACTCGGGGTCAGGAACCATCTACTCCCGCAACAAGGAAGACACGCTCGAGGCCGAGACCCTCCTGTGGCGCGCCATGTGCGACACCAAGCCCAAGCACCTCAAGAAGTACCTCGACAAGGAGGCCGTCCTTGCCCACCCGGGCCAGAAGCCCTACTCTCCGAAATCCAAGCCGACCCTACAGGAATATCTCGATGAGGACTGGGAGCCTTGGACGGCGTACAAAATGCACGACGACCCCGAGTTTGTCGAGATCGATGTTATGAGCTCCAGCCTCGTTTACCGCGTCACCGCTTGGCGCCAAAAGGGAAACAAGCTGGTCGCGACCGAGGGCATCTGCAACAGCGTATGGAAGCAGGAGCCTGGTGGGGAGTGGACTTGCTGCTGCCACCACATGAGCACTATTTAACCGGCGGTTAACGCTTCACGTTTCTTTGGGCATGGATGACGGTTCCCGGGCGGATGATGACACCTCATAGGCGATGCATGACTGGGCAGAAGACGACGGACATCTTGGCGTTTTGTACGAGTAGCGGCATAGTTCGCAGGCGCTGTTGAGCTGGTTTGATGGTATTCTCGTGTAATGACTTTGTCGCTTTATTTAAGGACAAGAAGGCAATTGATTCAAGCATTTTGGAAATACCATCGCTGCATTCGCAATGGCGATGACTAAGAAGACACATTGACATTGCTAATCGCTATGAGTTTGATCCCATAGATTCATTGCGACCAAGTCAAAGGCTATTTGACACTGGTGCAAGGGGAGTCGAAAACCTCCATGTGCCTTGATACCGACTGGGGCCCACTTCGGGGTTTGGTTCGGACGCACCGAGAACAGAGTACTCAATATTGGAAAAGATCCTGATCGACAAACAATCACGCACAATGATGAAGGAGCCAGTACAGAGACAAAATGATAGAATCGCTTGTTGACATGATAAACGCGATGCTCGGTGAAGGCCACCCGAAAGATTGGCGTAGGGAACCAAAGGGGGAGGCAGGACGAGATCACACAGGATGCATGGATCACCGGCTGTTTCGGAGGCAGCATGCGTATGGCCGGTGGTATGCCACGTTCATGTGGAGAAATTGTCACCACGACTCAGGATAAGCAGGGAACACGTTTCTTGTTTGAGAATAGCAACGCAGACACATTGCAGGCCTTCGCGGATTCTTGTATATATTCTCATTTGCAGCTGGATTCACCACTGTGATAGTGTTATAATCGCTCTCTAAGGAGTCCTAGACTCTTAGCTTCTGTTCACCTAGTTCTTTGGAAACCTTATAGGTTATATTTGACTAATTCTATAGGCTCTGGCGGCATTCTCGGCTTAAGGTTTAATCTGCCAATGAATATATACTAAACCACCAGTGTTGATCACTTCTTTTTTTCGGACATGCAACTCAGGAACCCCTGCAACACGGCCTAAAAAAACACCGGCCAAGCCGTTTGATTATTATCTTTTTGCGCGTAGCCTGATTCTAATATCGAAAATCTCCAAGCGCACTCAAGATTAACCATCTCGGCCTCCGGAACGATGGTCGCAACTAGAGATACCTGACGTAGACACCTAAGCTGCCTTTTCCGCAATGGAGCGGTACGGGTGAACTAAAAACAGCTCAAAAGCATAACAAATTTGACTGCTCGATTAACGGTGGTCACCCTCGCAGTTATGTACTAATATCCCCGTCTGTCACGGTGCTGCGCCATTGCCGATCCATTGACCCCTGCACCAAAACCGACGACCAACTTGCGACTCGTTCGGGTGCCAGTGTAAATCACCAAACATAAGTAGGGCCTCTGGTGCGGGAATTCTGTCGCATCGACGCTCAGCCGGATCAAGACCCTCAGACTTTCGCTCATTACATTCATTCGTTACCTTCGTTTAGTACCTTCGTTTAGCACCTTCGTTCACAATGCAATCCAAACCTCTATCTGCCGTGGCCCTAGGCCTGGCGTCCATTTCCTTCGTCGCAGCCGACACGACAGTCACCATCAATGCCAAATCTAATAACGGCGTATGGGAGGGATGGGGGACTTCTCTTGCGTGGTGGGCACAGGCCTTTGGAGACCGCGATGACCTCGCCGATATCTTCTTCACCACCACTACCGTTAATTTCAGCAACGTGGAGCTCCCCGGTCTCGGCTTAAACATTGTTCGCCATAACGCTGGCGCCTCTAGCACTACGCCCGTTGGCAGTGATAGCATGGTCGTTTCGCCTAGCATTAAGCCCTCCAGGCAAGTCATGGGCCACTGGATTGATTGGAACAGCGCCGACCCGACTTCAAGCAGCTGGAACTGGGATATCGACTTGAAACAACGATCCATGATGCAGAAGGCTCACGCCCGCGGTGCCGATAGATTTGAGCTCTTCTCTAATTCGCCCATGTGGTGGATGACGAGTAACCATAACCCATCAGGAGACGCAAAGGGCGGCGAAAACATCCAGTCATGGAACACTGCACAGCACGCTGTGTATTTGGCAAATATTGCTAAATATGCTAAGGACAACTGGAACATCACTTTCGAGTCAGTGGAACCGCTTAACGAGCCGTCGGCAGACTGGTGGAAGGCGGATGGCACACAGGAGGGCTGCCATATCGACATTAGCACGCAGGCCAGCATTATTGGCTCCTTGCGATCAGAGCTCAACGACCGCGGCCTACAGGGCGCTTTCATTTCTGCATCAGATGAAAACACCTATGATCAGGCCGTGAAGACCCTCAAAAGCCTAGGCGACGACGCACTCAACAATATCGGGAGGATCAACGTGCACGGGTACCAGTATGGGGACGGCGATCGCGCTGGAGTCCTTCAGATTGCTGTAGACCGGGGCTTGCGGTTATGGAACAGCGAGTACGGAGAGAACGATGCCACAGGCCAGCAGCTCGTCAGCAATCTGATTCAGGACTTCCGCTGGCTGAAGCCGACGGGCTGGGTGTACTGGCAGGTCCTCGACGGTGGCGGCTGGGGCGTCATCGACGCTGATAACGACGCGGGTACGGTGGGAGCCGCCAACCAGAAGTACTTTGTGCTGGCTCAATTTTCGCGCCACATCCGCGACGGCATGCAGATCCTGGACGGCGGTGCTGACAATGTTGTGGCCGCGTACGATAACGCCAACGAGAAGCTGGTGATCGTTGCAGTCAACTGGGGTGATGCGCAGAACCTTGTGTTCGACCTGAGCCAGTTCACGCAGGCCTCAACGGATGGAGCTGTAGTAACGCGGTGGCGGACGCAGCTTGGGAGCGGGGACCAGTATATCAAGTCCACAGAGGTAACGATGACTGGAACCACGTTCTCAGCGGCTTTTGAACAGAACATGGTCGAGACCTTTGAAATTAAGAATGTCAAGATCTAGAGGCTAGCTCTCCCTGCTGGGCATCTAGATATTTGCCAAGTACTTGGCAGTCAATACCCTCTGTTACCAATTTCTTTTTACGTCTATAGCTTTATCTTCAATTCTATGCAAACCATTGGAAATGATATAACGTTGCGATGCACGCTGGGTTTATGAAACAAGTGCAAGACAAGAAACGCATGCGCAAAAGTGAGGTGAACCGCGCAGGTCAAACCCAAAATAAAACGTTATCGGACCCAAAGCCGAATTTCGGAGTATGCCTAACCTCTCCATAGAGGATGTGAGGTCATCTGGTTGGGTTAGTCAACCCGGGTACAATGTTAGCGTTCGGTGCAGATATTGTGTACCCTCTCCCTTCGCTGGATAAGCTGTATCTGTCACTCAAAATCTTTTGACGAGTTGCAAGATTTCATTGGGTGGTGTGCGGACTGGACCGCGTCGTCTCCTTTTTGATGATATGGAGTCACTGTATATGGGTCGTCTCTTCGCTTTTGAAGAAAACAACCACCACTCACTACGTCAGGCAATGCAAAAAGAAGCGAGACAGAAGGGCACTCTTCTGAGTTCACGATTTGTTCATTCGGATTCGTTCAGATTAGTTCGGTTTTCGAATAAGCAGAATGTAGTCAGGAAAAGTTGACCTAACAAGAAATTCCTACGACCAAGGGCTTTGAAAATGAGGGGAAAGAAGGTGATAATGATAGATATTGTTTGCGTCTCTAGTCCATAGGACTTAGCATCCGATCTAATGAAGGAAACAATGATCCCAGGCAATACCACGGGGAGGCTGGAGTTCGACTTTGTTGCCCAAAGAATTGGTGATAGGCTCACCGGGGTCATTGCGAGATTAGGTGGGGAGAAAGACGATCACGGCTAGTCGGGGCTAGGGAGAGAAAGAGGTAGGGATGCAGGCGATCATAGCTCGCCGTGGCTGGGGAGAGAAGAGAAATTTGGATGGTAAGCGTTCTCATTACGCGAGCCTGAAGTCGGGGACCTTGCCTGCATCAGGTTGTGACGGTTATAGTTCCCGTTGTCTCAGCCAGAACAAAACAGTTGCAACCACGAGAGAAAGAGGAGGAGAAGAGGAGAGGAGGAGTAGGAGAGAACAAATATAAAAGCAAAACCACAGACAAAGGAAACGGTTTTTTTTCTTCAGGCTTTCTAAATCTTTTGGGGGTTCTGGGGGGTTTCTTTCGTTTGAAAAACATAACCCAAAGAATGGACTATCCAGAAGTGAATTTATTACAATAATAGCTAGTGGCTTTGACTTTACCCCTTGCTCCAGGCGAATGGGATATGGAATGGGTTGGTAGGCTTGTCCCCCATTGCTTTAGCTTTCTTCGAGGCCCATCTCTGCATAGGCTGTCTGGGCTGCTGCCTGCGCTGCTGGCCATTCTGCTTCTGCTTCTCGGTGTCCTGAGGCTTTTGCTTTTGGTACTTAGCCTTTCCCAGTCGGATACCATCACTGTGGGAGGGTTTGAGCTTAGCCTCAGTCTTCGCTTTCTTGTTCCTCCAGCGCTGACGCTTTTAAGTAGACTCGCCGGCGAACGGGTTCTTGCAACGGGCAGAGTTGGAGAGCCTTTAGGATGTAATCATGATTCAAGAAACCGACTTTGACTCGGTTAGACATAGAGCACAGGGTTGAGGTAACCACTAAACAAAAATAGGTTGACAAAATGCCAGCCCTATTAACACGCCACTTCTAGTGCCAGGAAGCATGTCGAATGTTGATTGAGATGGTCTAAGAGAGCATATGTAATCCGACTTTGAGTCCCAATCTTTTACCAAATGAAAACTGCCTAGTCAGTAGAATACGTCGACTAGTGTACTGTAGTTCGCGGTGGCAAGCTGTTGGGCTGATTGGAAAAGAATATCGCCTAGAATCACCGTACAGTTACGTCGCCTTAAAACACGTTTGTTACCAAGGATGTTCATTCATGACTATAATGCTGGATAAGGCGTGTGGCGGGGCCGTTGGGATCTGCATGACCGTTGCAAACAGCCGCGGGTCCTGCCGACATCAGGGTCTTGCACAATCCTAAAATAAGGCTCCCACCTCCTTGTTACTCAGAAACTTTTGCAACCTAGTCCTCGGCGCCCTAACTGAAGGTAGCAGCGAAGAAAGAAAAAGGTCACAAATCACTTTTGAAACGCCTCAAGGACTTCATGGGCCCTGCGGCGCGAGCCATTCAGTGAATAGATGTGATGAGGTTTAAGTATCCAAGATAGATAGTTCGTACGAGGCTGAGCAAAAGATTTTGAGCTGACATCAAAGTCTTTTGCTGACGGCGGCGGTATGACAGCGTTTGGGCCGGATCGGCAGGGTGGCTGTTGCACGGCGAATGAGTCGGAAGCCGGGAGTGCGGGTCGAATTAGGACGATGTCTTGTGACCAAGAGTTCATTGGCTGATGAAGTGAAACGAACATCCTTCTCAATAAAAGTTCCGGACACGCTTACAAGGCCATCGGACCCCCTAGATTCCATATCTGAATTTAGTTGACCCTAGATACCAGAATCTGAGTCTCATGGTCTTAGATAACTAGATAACACACAGCCCCTAGATTCCACACAAGCTTTTTTCTGAAACAACAACGTTCTTCATATAGCTAATGCTATATGTAGCAAAGAAGACATTAACAAGAGATATTCCCACTCAATCCCCTTCAATGAAAAACAATGTTGCTCCACTTTTACTCCTCGTTTACTCCGCACTACATAGGTACATTTTGAGGCCTGGATTTTACCCTACTCCTATGTAGTGACTACTTCTGGCTTTACCTGGAATAGCGGGCAGTAAACGTACTGTACGACCCCCCAACATGATTGGATAGACACAACCTGTTATTGTCTGTTACCCTGCACCTGTCAAGAATGGCGTTGTGTCGCTTTGGAGGAGATAGACAAATAGCATCACTACTTCTTGTCTTACAAACTCTAATGTCTTGTTAAGACTAAAAATACATGTAATCAACTATCTTTACTAATATATATCTCTCTGAGTCTCGCTGCTTCCCATGTAACTATCCAAGAATATTTGTCCGCCCTCCTCAGTCTCATTTGCTCGTCATGGCAAAATATCAGAGTACAGGCCATGGCATTAACCTGCCCCAGTGGATGAAATTACGACTCAGGTGGCGTCAGCCGGCCGCTCTCCTTCTACTTCTCCTAATTTTCGGCTTCTGCCTACCAATGACATATAAGAAATACCTCCTATCGTTAAGAAACTCATGTCACCGGAGTCCATCAAATGGCAGAGAAGCTGCTGACGACATAGCCACCTCGTTCACCCTTCTACCGCACATCCCGCCCAAGATCTGGCAGGTTTCGATTCTTCCCAACAACCCTAGCTCCGACAACATCTTTCATCCTCCAGAGCACGCAGCCACATGGCTTTTACATCATCCTTCCTATGCGTACACAATTGTCGACACAGCCGGCGCTCTTGCTGCCATTACACGCATTAAGCACATTATACCAAAGCAGTATCTCGATATGATTTACTCAAGAACTGGGGCGGATAGTCATAATCGAAACCAGAAGTTAAGAGGCGACAAGTTGCGCCAACACCAGGATTCATTAGACCTTATTCAGCTCTATAACGCTATTCCCCGGCCTGTTATGCAGGCTGATCTCGCTCGCTATGCCATACTCGCTGTCGAAGGTGGCGTTTACAGCGACTCAGACACGTCTCCTGTGCATCCCTTACCTCAGTGGGCCCCGCAAGAGCTCCGTAATCGCACGCGACTCATAGTTGGCATCGAGGCGGACTCCGAGCCGCCAGTACCAGGCACGACATACCCGGTACAACTTAGCCAATGGACGTTTGCAGGTGCAAAGGGCCATCCAGTCTTATGGAGGATGATTAGACGGGTATTGAGTGAGGTGAGGAGACAGATTGAAGAGGCTGAAAGAGCGAATGACGAGAAACGGTGGCCTGAGGTCGTCTTCTCTAATGACGACATCTTAAGGGTATCAGGTCCGGCAGGTTGGACAGAGGAAATATACGGGTACCTGAGCGAGGTGACGGCAACAGAGTTTACGTCGAAAAATCTGACAGGGCTGAAGAATCCCACATTGTTTGGTGATGTTCTGGTACTGCCTATCAACGGCTTTGCGACGGGTGTACCCCACTCGGGAGCAAGTCAGTCGGATGTAGAGGGAACTATGGTAAGGCATTTTTTCTCAGGATCTTGGAAGAATGGATCGTAAATAGGATGTTGCATGAGTGCAGGAATAATGCAACGAACAACAGCATTATTTTGTTTCTTTGGTTTGGCTTCGAGAGACAAGACCACGGGCTAATTTGGACCCGACCTTTTGCTTCGTCGTAAAACACATCGTTTTTCCTAATAGAACAGTTACTATGGCCTTTCTGCTCAAGGTCGTTGCAGCCTTTCTTTTCTTCAGCATGCAGCAGCTATCACCAACATAGTCGATAACCTCCCTCTTCGTTCTCGTCTCACAAAACTGTACTTAATGCTGTGGATGTGTCTTCGTCCTAGTAGATAGGTGTCAGAGCGCGTCTCAATCAAGAATTGAAATCATCCGCGCTCTGTCTATGATGTTTTAGGAGACATACTAGTACGGACTAGTAATCGACCGATAGCATACACACAACCTCAGCCTCTTACCCTTCCCCAAGCCATCACACACCAGCAACTATAGCACACTAGCTCGCCGCTACTTTGCCAGACTTTGCCGCCATGACTCGGATGTATGGCAGTCATCTGTTAATGTCTTGGACTTCTGCAGATCTTAACACTCCAGGTTGCAAAACGGCATGCCTGTTACTAAGCAGCAGCAGCATCAGAACAGCAGTTGGGTTATCAAGCACAGAAGCCTAGAAATGTGAGGAGTACAGACGAGGTGGATTTAGTAGCTTTTATTTCAACCTACTCTATTTGTTACGTGTATCTAGCCTTTCCTAGCGTATCAGGCCTGGAATAGGACTGATATTGAAAGCGTGTAGGATGATCAGGACTCTAGCGGTGCAGTGTTTACATACACAAACATAACAACCTCTAAAGCAACATGTAATTTCTATGTAACAATACCAATGCACCTGCCCAATAAGCAGTGTTGACATCAGCGCTTTCAAGCGTCCAGGCACTGGCAAACCTTTCGGGCACATGGCCCCACTGGTCACTACTAGGCGCGATCACTATCAGCCCGCCTGTTACATAATACACCCGTTGATGAACAATTTCAATCTTATTATAGCCTGGCAAATTGTTGCTGTTTTCTGGTGCTGTTTGTTTACATAAACACAATCCCATCCCAATCGGAAGCACGAACATGACGAATTGCGCCATTAGTATCAGGTTCGGACGGAACCCCATCACATTGAGATGAAACCAGAGCAAGCTTGACCTGCCATCTCCAGCGCTATTTTGCAGTCACACAGCAGCAGCCTGTGCTTTGGCTGCCTTCACTTGGGACATCACGAACTGAGTTGCCGCGTCCCCATCTGATTGGACATATCTGAGGTGAACCTGTAAGTTGCGGCCGCTATCGCAATACGGGTCTCCAGTATTGCAAAAAGACACCATCTTGCTAGCAACAGCATCGCAGCCGGCGGTGTTCTGTCTCGGGAAGCGCTGGTTTCGATGTCATTAGCAAACCTCGCAATATGGCAGGGGGCCTCTAGGATATTTCTTACGCCGTCTTTTTGGCTGGTTCCTTGGTTGAAGGATTGTCCATTGACATGAGTGGGGTCGCCCATGAGAAGGACTGCAGCAACTGTGGGACATTGTCAATCATAACAGTGAAAGACGTGAGGCAAGCTCTGCATACTCTTATCCGTGACATCGGCTGCTTGCGGTTGGGTGGTTTGGAAGCCCGATTCACTCGTTCCACATAAGACATCAGCAGTTACATGCGCTCCCTGTAGGCATTGTTATGTCCCATCTCTCGTTAGATATCATTGAACTAACTTACTTGCGAATATCCCATCAGAACCATCTGCGACTGTGGACATGCCGCCGCGTAATCTTGCACCATTTTCGTCATGGCCGTGACGCCGGCCTTCTGCGACGGCTGATAGGGGTTCAACTCGGCCGGGTAATCGACCGCCGCAATGTCGGACCCGGGAACCTGCCCTTGAATGTTTTCCGCGATCGCGCCTATCACTCCCGTTCCTGGCCTCTCGGTACTGGCTCGGGCCACAATGATGTGTACTCCCGTTACGCATCGTGTCTGTCGCTCAACAATCTTGCCGCTGCCCTGCAGGGCGCCGAGAAACCCTAAAGCGGCAATAGGTGAAGGCACCATCTTGGTGCGATAGGATTGAATATTACTGCAATGTCAGAAAGAAAATCTTTGGACATATATAGAAAGTTGCTGGGCATATGTTACGATGCCATGGAGCAAGATTAAAGAGCCTAGTGAATCATTTGAAGATGGGATGAGGTACGCGGCACTACTTATACGCAACTTGCGATGGCAGCCGTCAGCTCGACCGTCCGAGTAAGATCGAGCCGACTTGCCTCCATTACGGTAACAAAGCAATCCGAGGCTGTTAGGTTAACCCTTCCCAGCTCTTTTGCAACAAGAAATGCAAGGAGCCTCGAGATGGGTGCGTGCCTGGTTCATGGAAGAACAAGCAAGTTGTGATCCTATCGCAAAGTAGCTTCTGATCTAACAGGGCAGCCCCGGACCAAACCAAAGCATTCCAGGGCGGAAGCAAAATCAGTTCCATAAAACAAGTCATTCAGTTTCTCGGCCGAACACTAACGTACGAAACGGTGGGTGGGAACGTTGTCCTCTCGGGCGTGCTATGTTTCACTTTTCTGAGCTAATCTTGAGCTAGGATACGCACCTCAAGACTAGACTGACTCAGACGTTCTCGCCACACAGACAGTAACTGAGCGAACCGCGTACAATTAGTCTCATGGTTCGTGGTCCAAGACGCAGGCTGCTTGAGAGGTTGCGATGGTGGATGTCCCAGAACGGCAAATGCGACTGGTTAGTGCGGGTATGATTCACGTGGTGTGTTCAGTGATGATTCTTCTGAAGAACGAAGCACTTCGGGATGGTCTCAGTTCGGCATCCTGGCTATTAAAGAGACTCAAAAGGCAGAGATGCGATTGGTTGAATTCAATTCATCGCGCGGCATCGCGGCATCGCGGCACCGCGGTAGTCTAAACGGTGTTCATCCCAGCTCTACCGATGAATGAGCATCAGCTTTTACTGAGGTGAGGTATCGTTACAGCCTGGCGGCCAACTTACTGACAACTCAAACCACTCTTGAACAGAAGCTCCGCAGCTTGGGAATTCGCTTGTGTGATGAGACAAGACCCAAAACTGTCTTGATCGATCTGTTTGCCCGACTGCAATCTCTAGCATCCCCAGAATAGCTACCACTCAAGGAGGAATTTTCCAAGATTGACACACTTAAGTAGGGACATTGTTGTACATGTCTCGTTCCCTCACAAAAGCCCAGATTGAAAACCAAAGTGGTAGAGTCAGGCACAGATTGAGAGGAGTTATCAGAACATTGTTGTCAAGAGAACGGAGAAAACACGTGAGGAAGCTAGATAAGCGCATTTTTGAAGAGCTTTGCAGAAACCTACATGGAAACACACAAGCATGGAGAACAACGGATACCTGGATTATGCATGTAGCTTTGGTTCATATCCGATTGCTCTTGTGACTTCCATTCATATAGGGTTAGTCCACCTGGAGGCCACTCCCTGCTTGCCAGCTCTATGTGATTGTTTCTGTCACTGCATAAACCCCTATCCACGAGCCGCAAGACGTCGGCTTGTTTGCAAAGTTTTCAGAGAGATTGAGTGTGGTGGGAACTTTCAATCCTGGTCTCATGATGTGTGACAAGTTTCTCTTTCTAAAGCTTACGGTAAAGCTGCTCGTGATGAACTCTATCTCTAGCTTAATTATTCGGGGGTTGAAGCCGGTTCAACTTGTACGCCTGCTAACCTCGCCAATTTCAAATCATTGTTATGAAATTTCAATCCTCGCTTCCAATATCTTGAACAACAACTCGAACGTTACGGCTTGGGCTCTAGCGTGAACCACCCAAATAAGTAACTCATCAGGTTCTATTTTTGCTCTGTTCCGCTCGGCGGTCGTCGTTGGAGAGAATGTTGAGGCGTTCTTTGATCGCTGTGTTTCGGTTAGCCTGCAAGATTGTTATCACGATGTGATGTATCATCAAGTTGTACAATTGCAGTCTGGACATGCTAACAGGAAGATGCTTAAGGCGGAGGAACTCAAATACAACCTGCACAAAGATAGTTTACGTATTGCAGTATCTAGCTATATGTTCTTCAGTTTGATTCAATCTAACGGCACATACCAGATATCGATGGTGTTAACCCGTGATGCGGAAGCCGACCTGGTCAGCTCCATTTTGCCACCCCATCAATCACATCCCAATTATGATCCAACGACAAATGCACAAACCAATCGGCTTTCCTGCGGCCATTCCATCAACCAAGAAGATGTGAACTTGTTGCTAGTATTGGCATGTGTATGCAACTTTCCGGAGGCATCCATAAGGCCGAAGCGTACTAGGACCTCCCGGTTAACGGCAAGGATGGTTGTTGTCCAAAGACCGTTCCAACATCGATACATGGTACGAACCTCGATGCATGAAGTAACTGGGCACCATGTATGAATACTCTATGATGGAGGAGCTCAACCTGGCCAACATTGACCCCTACTTTTGGTCCCTTGCTAAGCAAGAGGCCGAGATGCTAGACCCGCAGCATTGCATATTAAAACGGCATGCATGTGAATCAGCGGACGATTACGGAATCGACGCTCTCTTCGGTGTCTATCAACGCAAGACTGTTTAGCCTTTCCGGTCGCGGCCTGCGGTCTGCTTACTTTGCGATAAGAGCACTTACACACTCACATGTCGCGTGGCGTTCAAAGCAGCCTTGGTTTGCTGAGGAATAAAACTAACAAGGCGCTGAACTGAAGTTTGCTACAAAACGCTGACGAAACATCGATTCTCCACGGATTTGAAATTTCGAGATAAATAGGACCTCACCTTAATCGACCGTTCCAAGCCAGAAGTCATATGTTTACTTGTTTACTTGAGCGTCTGTCACGGAAACCGTGCTCTGGCGTGCCGGTCCCTCGGCACCGCAAATAATGACGTAACGCCACCACCACGCCCAGGCTTCCACTGTCGATACGCAGATCCTCCGACCTCGATCATAACCTTCCTTTCTTATCCACATTAACTCCTGCGTACCGACTAAGGTCGACGTTAAATATCTCAACAGACATCGTCCGATGAGTTCCCAATTATTAGCATGGCAGGACGCCCATTGCGCGAATACAGAGACATTGACGTTGAGCTCGAGGCACTAGCCGATCCGCTGGATTTTGAGAGTCCAGATTCCCCGCTACCACTCCTTGACGGCGACGACAACGCAGCCAGACGGACACCCAGGAGAAGTTTCAATACGGTTAGTATCATGGATCGCACGCCAAAATGGATGAGAACGGCCCAGCCCTGGGGTCAGTCCTTATGGCGAAAGGTACTCGCAGCCCTCCAGCCACGACTCAGCTTCGGGTACGTCGTTTGCGCCCTCATCAGCCTTTACGTCGTATATTGCATCCTCGTCAGCTCGCCACTACTCGCATCGAAATTACCAAAGTATTCGGGCCTCTACGGAGTCGGCGCGATAGACGTCGAGGTTCCTGTCCGCACGCCTCGAAAGACCAGCGATCACGCCTTCAAAAGCAGCGGGAAGCCAGCATTCGAATTCGAAACGGTGCTCTTCACGCTTTACTACCCAGCGGAAAAGGGTTCCAGGGGTATCAGTCACCATTACTGGATTCCTAAACCCATCAGCATCACCGCGGAGGGATATGCAAGGGCCGCGCACTTTAACAACTTCATCTCGCGGCCAATCTTCACCTTTGCTCTATGGGCCATCGCGGGGACCATCAAGATTCCTGCACAGGTCGACGTCCCTCTGCTTTCATCAATCAACGCTAAGGGCAAGGAGCAGTTCCCTGTCGTGGTCCTGTCACACGGCCAAGCCAGCTCCCGGACGGACTACACGCACTACTGCGGCGAACTCGCAAGCCTTGGCGTCGTTGTCGCCGCCATCGAACATCGCGACGGCAGCGGTCCGGGATCTATCGTGACGACCAAGGATGGTAAGGAACGTAGAGTTATGTATATGAACAAGAAGGAACTCCAAGCTGGCAAGGAGATGGACTCAGACGATTTCAAGTTTAAGCAGCTCGCCTTCCGACAGGCGGAGATAGAAGAGATCATCGCCGTTTTACAGTCCTTGCACGCAGGAAAGGGGTCTACAGTGTTCGCGAACAACGCGCGTAAAGAAGGCCGTGACCTCGCGGAGTGGGAGGGCAGGCTCAACTTTTCCCAGACCGTCATTGCGGGCCATTCTTTCGGGGCAGCAGGCGCCCTCCAAGTCCTCAAAGGCGCCACCTCGAACAAGAACCCAGCCGTCGGCGGTATCATCCTAGATCCCGGCAAGAGCAGCGGCAAGCTGAATACCGACATTGACGTCCCGATTCTCATCATCCATTCCGACTCGTGGTCCAAGAAGCTTACAATGTTCTTCGGAAGGCCGCACTTCGACACCGTCAGGGACATCGCCAGGGACGTGCTCAAGCGCGTAGGCTCGAGTTGGTTTCTGACGAGCTTGCAGACGAGTCATCCGAGTGTCACTGATGCGCCGTTGATTGAGCCATTACTTCTGCGCTGGACGACGGGGGCAACGATTGATGTGCATCAGGGTTTGAAGGAGTACGTCAGAGTGTCTATGGAGTTTGTGGACTTCTTGAGGAACGGGTCGAGGGAGGGTGTGTTATCTGAAGGGGTCACACACGAAGAGTATGGGAAGGATACAATGAGTGATGAGCAAAAGAGGAAGATACCCAAGGAGACGACCAAGTACTGGCAGATTCACGTCGCCCCTCCTTATGAAGAGTAGAAGGTGGCATTGTAACCTAATGTTAATATATCCATTGTAGCTGTTCACCCTGGTTCCGTGCTCGCATGGTCGCCTGGTGAAGAGCCGACAACCCTTTCCAGAGCTTTTAGCGTTGATTCACCTGACAAATCCTTTTGTGCTCCTTTGAACGAAAATGTTGATCTGATGGCAGGTAAGTACTAGTCCGGCATGCTTTCTTTCCATCATGATGTCGTGGGCAACTTGGACTGGGTGGCCAAATACAATCTGCCCACTGGAAGACTGCGTCTCGGCCACATTAACCGACTGGATCAAGGCCAGACTACCATGCAGTATACTATCTCCGAGCCTTACGTCGTCTTCCTCTTGATCTGCCGAGCGTCACACGCCAAGGCAAGCAACGTCACGGCCGCGCTCTCGCCCTCACACGCTGCAACCACGCCCCAATCTTGTCACTAAAAAAGGCGGATGTAAGACGCATCGATACCGCGGCAAAGAAGAACAGCCCATTGTCTTGCGCAAGGACCAAGGTGTAGTTAGACACTCATGGCGATGGCGGCGACGCCGTTGCCGTTTGCCGCGGGGAGTGCAGCGACGGGAAGGCCCGGAGACTCGGGGGATTCGAATGGGCGCAGCAAGGAGTTGAGACCGGCCGCGAAAGACGAGATCCCACAGGCGAACATCGTGTAGCTGACGACGCTCGGTGCCATTGTTATTGTTGTTGTTAAGAACAGTCCCTTTCTAGGTTGGGTTTGGAAGTCGAGACCGGTGAAAGATCAAGTTTGGGTGGACTCGGATTCGAGATGTTACGAGCATTACGCGAGATGGAATGAGCCGCCGCTCGGGACGAGGACGAACCGAGTGTAGGGAGAGACGAACTTGTGGAGTTGTTCTTCTTCAAGGGGTCGCGTTGGGGGGGCGGTGTTTCTGCGTGGAATGACGTGCAGCGTTCGGTTAGCAACAAAGCCTAATATCAAAGGCGAAGCAATCGCCTATCAGCATTGCAACCAGCTGGGAACCCTGCATCAGACGTTGTGGTCTGAGACAGTTTGATTCCAGGAATCCGGATGAGGTCGACAATTCAATATCGAACCAGTATTGACGTATGGGGGCCTCTCGACGGCCAGACTAGGTAAAGTAAAACAAGACGTGGGATGTCTCGTTCAAGTGTGTATCCTGGGGGCGCACCAAACTTAGCGCCATTTCTGAAGCCTCGGGTTTGTGCAACCCGCGATACTTGCCTACCTTGGATTCCACATGCTGGCGCCACGTTTGCCATCATTGAAATGAGGGCTGTCTCATTGACGGTTGTTTGACTGGTCAGAATAGCTTGTTCAGACGTCTGAGGTGGCATGGCACGGGTCGCCGCCGTCGCGAATCGATGCGTGCCCATTCCCGCCCTCGTTCTGAAGCGGTGAAGGATTCGACTTGCAAGACGAACCCAGCGGAGGCAATTTGGGAAACGGCTGGGCGGGACGGGAACCGCTCGAGTGGAAACATGGTGAGACAAGCGTAAGCAGCGGCGCTGCCAAAACACAACAGAATGCAATGCTATAGGTACTGGAGGGTTTCACTCCCTCTCCCTTTACTAGGTCCGAGACAACGGCGTCCAACTATTTCAAGACACCGGGGACCCGGTAGAGAAAATGGACGTTCAACGTCAGTGGCAGAATTCGGTCAGCAGTTCGCCGGCGGCCTCGGATGTTTTCTGATAACTGACGACGCAGGGTCGATAGAAACACTCGTCTCGCGTGTCGTTGAAATAACAAGGAGCGGCGCAAGAATGCGGCCCTCTGATGGAAAATGAACAGAAGGGAAAGCGACGGGCCGCGTCGGCTTCTGGGCAAAGATGACATGTGCAGCTGCCCCGGGGGGTTAGAAAGAGTTGCGCGCACGAGGAAAGCTTGACCGACCCTGATCTTACCCTAGATACATCATCAGTTCTCTTCCCTAGTGTACAAAGGCAGGGAAGGACAGTGCTATCCTAATGATAAGATGGGCGCCCAAGTGATGGATGGATCCGACGAGATTCGGGAATATTCCGTTTGTCCGTGCCCCGAGAGCCAAACTCAACTACCGCAGGGCCATTGTGCATTCCACCGCTCTTTACGGTGACATGGTTCCTCGAGCGAGCTGGAGACTGATTGCGGCGATTTGCGGCATCGTCTTCAACAAACCATATGATTATGGGCATTCCTCCGGTTGGAACACATCGAGACCACTGCGAAACGTCCGAATCTCTCGCACCATTCCGGGCACAGGCGACTAGGGCCAACCACGACAATCCGGCAAGCTGCTCATCGTCTGTAACTCTCAGCAGCGCCGTACCGTCCTGGCGGCACAGCAAATCGGTCGCCTCGCAGGGACGTCCCGTCCATCGAGGCCTGCAAGGTCGTGATCTGGTCTTGGTCTTGGTCTTCCCGCACGACGGCTCCCTGTCGCCTCCTCTCCGCTGGCAACGGTACCAACACTGGCACCTCTCGCATCTTAATTGAGACATTATGAAGGGCAGCGAAGAGAGCCAATGGATACACGAGGCGTGCGGGCGAGGTTGGTGAGCGCGTTGTTCCTCACCGAGTGTCGTCGGACGTTTCGGTGTGACAGTATTATTTCTTCTTCCTCGTTGCCTTTCGGGACTGGTTCGGTCCCTGACGAATCGCTTTCGTGCAACCTCCCAGCGCAAAAGCAACGGGGGGCCGGAGCTGATTTAAAGGCCAGAGAAGAAAGCCAAGACAGGATCGGCCCGCAGGCGGGCAGAAGCCCAGCTCTCGCGCGCGCCCCTTGTGCCTCTACCGGTACTCTGATCGCTGATGCGGTCGCATACATTACCAGATCTCGGGGTAGAAGCCGCCCAGCCGACCGGGCCCTGCGACGAGAAAGGGGATTTACGTTGGACCGTTCAGTCCTGGCGTTAGTCTTTGTTACTGATGGCGTTTGTCCGTCGCCTTTGATGCAACAGGAGTGGACAGCCGCGCCGGCCCCCTTCCCCCCCTCCATCTGATCTGGTCTACACTAAATGTTAGTGTTGGTGTTCTTGTTCCAAGGCGATCCGATGTTAGTGCCACCGACCCTAGCTAATAACAAAACGAACCACATTGCATGGGCATCCACAGGGCCCCCAGAGGCCCAGAGGACGACGCATGAGTCGTCAGGTCCCTGGCAGAAAGCTGTGGCCAAGTTTGAATTTATTGTCGCTACGCGCGTTTGCCGCACCCCATTAAAAAAAATCTCCATACTCCAGACCCGACAGCCCTATTCTTTTCTCTCCCTCTGCCTCCTCTCTGTCTCTCCCCCCGACTGGGGCGAGCTATCTGCTTTGGCTCTTTGCGACACGGACGCCGCGGCAGACATCGGTGCCTGCATTTGTACCGTCGTACATGACGCCATGCGCCATCGTGCATCCACTGATCTCCTCTGATCCAGTTCTGGAATTGCAGCAGAAGGCGGCAACCGTCGGGCAAACGCCGTTCGGCGAAATTTCCCATCCAGAAAATGAGATTACTGTTCCAACTTCACAGGGATCCAGAATGGTTGTGTCGTGGCACTCCGAGAGCCGTGATTTGCTGGCAGACTGACTACCAGTCAAAGGCCGGGTCAAGCCCAGTTTGCGAGACATGGCACCGCATACACAGCACCACATCAGCAGGCGAGAGTGATGGCCTGCCGGCTTGCCTTTGGTTACGTTTTGCTTTGGTCTGGGTCTGGCCGTGGCATGGCATGGTTCGGCTACATATGATCCAGGCCAAAACGAACGGCTAGGGCTCCTGGGAGGCGCAAGCCTCGCCTCGAAAATATGACAGAAGTTCGTGAATGGTCACGAGCCGGCCCCTGGATCCCTTCCTCATTGCTCAAACGGGCATCTTGCAGGCCGCGGAGCAGCCCTGAATGTCAACGACACACGCCCTCCCCCCGATTCCAAGGTCCTCACACACACACACACACTCTCTCTCTCTCTCTGTGTCTCTCTACTTGTGACCCCGCAAGTCGCCGCTGGCGGATCTTCTGTCGTCTTCCGTGAGGTCATGGACTCCCATCCCACACCACCACCACCCTCTTCGAGCTGTCTCCTCCGTGTCCCGGCAATGCACACGCTGCCACCGTGGAACGCTGGAGCAATGTGATTCTATCCCCGGCCGGGCCCCTCCCCTCCATCCCACCACCTCATGTCAGCCACCCATTGAGACCGGGGGCCTCGAGCTTTTACCCAAGTTGGTCCCAGCAAGCCAAGTCCCAGGCAAATCCCCAACTGGCTAAAGTAGACTTAGACCAGCCAGCCGGCCGGCAAGGAGAAGTGTGCATCTGTCCCCGTCTCTGTCTCTCTTCCTCTGCTGTGCCCAAGAAGTACGGATCGACTGGAACCGCCAACTCTACCCCGTCCACCACCGTCCACGTTACACACCTCTGCCGCCCAATACCTGCATCCCGGCCACCGCACCCGCATCCCCGTCCCATTCCCCCTTCCCTTCTCGGACGCGGCCGACCTCCAATTGCCTCCCACCACCCCCTTGGGAGCCTTGAAGACACACTTTGTTGCTAATGCATCCGTGAGCTGACACATCCGGGGAAGGGCTTCCGGCGACAAGAACCCAGAACCCAGAAATACCCTCCCCCCGAGGTCCCAGAGCCTCATCAAGAAAAAAAACTCCCCAAACCAACTGGTCGTCGTCTGGTGGTGTTGCTGCCTTTCCCACCCCGGCAATGGCTTTCACATCGTCTCCCGTAGAGTCATCGCCGCCGTTCTTCGCTCCGGACCTCGACGGCCTCGCCCAAGCGCCCGCGCCCGTCGCCCGTGCCATCCTCGTGGCGCTGTGCGACGACCGCCGGGTACGGGCACAGGCGCTGAGGCAGCTCGGCCGGCTGCTGCGCTTCGAGGCCGACGTCCGCGGGCAGGATTCCGTCAAGAGCCCCGGCTCCGTCACCAGCCCGTCGAATCCGAAGAAGAGAAAGGTCACCAGCGAACCCAAGATCTGCGTCCAGTGTGACTGCATCTTCACAGACGACGAGAACGCCTTTGGGGCATGCTGGTACCACTCAGGTGAGCAGAACTGACGGACGAGTCGGCAAGCCGACGTCTCTTTTTTTTTCTTTCCCCTCCGGGCAAAGCCACCGTCGTGCTCTTAAGACTCTGGAGAAGGAGGTTACGTTGGTTTTTCTAACGAGACACGATACTGACTCGTAACACCCGTAGGCGAGCTGGAGCTTTGGGATGAGACCCAAATACCCACGCTCTGGGACGAAGTATCGTCGGACGAACTGGACACGGAATCAAACCGCGCCGAGTACCCCGCGGCGTTCCGATGGTGCTGCTGCGAGCGGCTCGGCGACAGGGAGGGCTGCGTCCGTGGTCAGCACGAGTCCAACCCGGACAGGAGCAGGAAGGGCCGCGGCAACGAACTCTCCGACCTCGAAGACGACCCGCTGGAGCTCGACGCATCGCTGGAGCTTGACGCACCGCAGGAACTGCAACCGCCCTGTCAGCAGCATTACAAGATCACGAGTCCTCAGGAAACCCGCAAGTTGCCGACGCACCAGCAGCATCAACAGCACCCGTCACATCAGCACCAGCAGTGAAGTCCGAAGAAGGTTTTCGATTAAACGAGAATAGCACAGAGGTTTGCCCTCTTCGATGGTTCCTCTGACTGCAACCGGCCCGGGTCGACCGGTCCTGGGGATTTTTGATTCTAATTTAGGGTTTCGGTCAATCGGATGGGTCCCGGTCTCCCCCGCGGCCCTGCTACGGTCGGTCGGTCAAACGATCTGGCAAGGCACCGCGGCCGACACGCCGGATCTGAAAGCGAAGCCGTCCGGTCGACTGACGGGGCCGCAGTCGATGGGAACATGTCACAGCGAGCGAGTTGAAACGAAGCGAAGGCAAGCATTCTTTGGGAGGCATAGCATTGGCAAATCTGGTACACACTTGACGGGAAGGCAAATCTGGGTGTTGGATGGTTAGGGAAACTTCTTTCAATCGGGTTACACATTACTTTGCGGATCATCAAATCGGATCCAACCGGGCAGGACGGGAAGAACATTTGGCGCACAGCACACAGCAAACAGCACAGCGCAAGCACAAGCACAAGCATAAAAACCAGGGGAGACAGCATGAAGATCGGGAGGGGCAAAGCGTGTCGATGCAATTTGGCCGTTGCCAAACAAAGAAGGAAAAAACAAGGAGATGATGATGAAACAGATACCCGGGCGGAGGGCATGTCGATTAGAACCGCACAAACCTGGGGCGATCCCGAATCACCTGTTTTATTTCCTTTGCACAAATGTATATACAAGCACACTCCTTTGGAGCACGATTCTGAGAAATGAAGATGATGAGAGCACTCTGCGTAGGGATCGAGATGTGTTCGTTCGACTCACAGACCGGCGGTGGCGGGTTCCACAAACACGACATGCGAGTCCGACGCGGTAGTGAGACGGAAGTGCATCCGGGGCCCGATATCATCTGCAGCGCACCCTCTGCAAGGGACACCAGAAGCAGTTTAGCCGGTGCCAGACATTCGCTTCACAGCGCCCGGTAGGCGTAGTGCAAAGCAGTCTCACACGCCAGGCGAGGGAGCTCTGGACGCCCCTGAGAGCGGTAAGCTGGTGTTACCACAGCAGGTCGGTCGCATAGGGAAATCCAATGAATGAGGGGACGGAAGAGCTTCCTGGGCAGCAGGGGTTACCCTGAACATCCGAGGTTCCCCGGCAAACCCTGATCGGCGGAGGACCGGGGATGGAAGAAGGGATAGGCACGGGAAAAGAAACCGTGTCTGTGTGCGCGATTCGCCCGAGGCAAAGTCAGGGAACCCCCGAAATGCTTCTCTTCCGTCGTGCCGGTCTGGAGTTTCAAGGTTGGACTGTTCCCCGTCCGCACACGTGTGGAAAGCCATGGAAGCGCGTCCAGGAGTCTAATTGTCGATAATTTATATTCAACTCGAGGAGTTTGGAGAAATTACAACGTTCACTTCGACTGTCTATTGTGCCCCCATTGACTTTGTAGTCTTGGTTCGGTGCCAACGTCTTTCTCTGCCAGATTTTATGTAGAGGCAGCACAGATAACGCTCGCCCGCGTCCGATATCGCAACGTTTTGGTGAAGGAAACGCCTTAGCTTAGTTTTGGGCCGGCAGCAGTCACATCAGAAACAATGGCGGAGCATGCCGTGCAACGTGATGGCGACCAGGCTTCACAAAAAATCCAGGAACTCAAGGCCGTGGCATGTATACCAGAGGCCGATGCTCGAACGGTCTTGTATTTCCTCTGCGACGACGACGAAATGATCCGAAGGAAGGTCCTCGGCATTTACCAAAACATCCCAAAGACGGACGTCTGTACGAACTGCGAGAAGGAGTTCGACACAGACAATAACGGGCCTGACGCGTGTTGTTATCACCCGGGTAAGAGTAACAATGTTAGCGTTGCAAGCCCAGCTTCAATTGCTGGGCTTTTGATGACATATGTTGGATCATTGCCTAACTCACGGCATAGGGGATTTCGAATTGGACGAGGATCTCGAATTCTGGGATACGATAGACGACGACGATGGCAACCCATATTATGAAAGAGATAGCGACGCAAATCGCAAAGATTGTCCCGAAGGATTCAGATGGAGCTGCTGCGAGCGCGTGGGGGACGTGGAGGGGTGCGAGAAGGGGAGACACGAGGCCAAAGGAATAACAACTGCCGAAGCGACTGCACACAGCCTGGCGCTTGCAGTTGCCCGCATTAAAGCCAGGTTGAGTAAGGCCGAAAGCATGTCACGCAAAGAGCCTGGGGGCGAGGTTCCAGGAGAGCAGAGTTCCAACAAGCGCAAAGCCGAGGAGGAGTTCGATGACGGCGATGCGGCCAAGGCAAAGAAAGGCGCCGACGGGTATGGTCTGGGCATCTTTGAATAATCGGTGACCAAGCTCAAGATGTGACGAGACCATTAGCTGCTGTGAAGACCAGCCAGGTACTATTGATTGTACGGGCGCGAGGCTTTCGGATGCTGCTAGTTCCGACCCCACCGATCGTTAATCTTGGTGGAACCCCTGTCGTTGACGCGTGAAGACTCTTGTGGAAACGCGTCGGACTTGGAGATTGATGGCTCTTCACGTCAACTATCCGCACACCTGTCTTGCTAAATTAACCTTGTACGCGATAGCCACTTTTTGGTCTTGTTCAAGGCTACTGCTCGAAAGAATTACAGGCGACACTACGCAACACAAACGTCATGTATTTGACGCAACATCCGTGGTTGCGCGAATTCTTGGCAGAAGAGGAGAGAAAGCAAGAAGAGAAGAGAACTGCCAAGAAGAAAAAACAGATGGACGACATTCGGGCGTTATCGGCGGATCAGGCACGGTCGGTGTTGGTTGCGCTCTGCCATGATGAGAGAATTCGCAGAGATGCCGTGTTTCTCTCTCGGAAACTGCGCAAGGCCGAAGAGGCACAGACAACGCAAGACGCTGGATCTGGTAGCGGCTCGGCCAGGTCCGCTATTTGCGTCCAGTGCAATGCGGTGTTCAATCCAACAGAAAACAACGGCCGAGAAGACTGCCAATACCACCCAGGTAAGCAGCCCGTTGTTCCTGGAAACCGTACAGACTGCAACCGTCTATGAGAACCCCTGGCTCTGACTAGCATTCCGAACTCTTTGTACAGGATTCTTTGCTTTGCACTGGGATGACGATTTCTGGGCGGACGAGGATCAGGACGAGAGGGCAATCGATACTGTTGAGTACCGTGAGGCGTTTCCGGATGGCTTCAAGTGGACGTGCTGTGACCGCGTCGGCCAAGTGAGGGGTTGTTGCAAGGGACCGCACGAAGCAGACCCGTGTAAATCGAGAAGAAAAGGGAAGTTTGGGTTTGTGGAGGGGAATCTGAGTGATGTGCAAGAAGTCAAGGAGCATGAGGAAGATGGAAATTCCGATGAAGATGAGGTTGACGAGAATGAGGATGATGACGACGATGATGAGCCAGAGGTTCAGTTTTTGGGCGAGCAGCCTTGCAATAAGCGGAAAGCTGAAGATGATGGTGGTCCAGGTGCACCCAACCTGAAGAAAGCGGGCTGATAGATGTGGCCTGGGAATCAGTGGTTGTATTAATGGCTGAATGGGGCATAGTTAAACTATGTGACAGCATCTCTATGTGACAGCATCTCTCAAGTAGGTGCGGCCAGGACAGAGGGATTGTTAAAGAAATACCCAATATTGTTATATCGAGGCTCTGATGCTTGGTCTTAGTTATTCAGCACTCATCATTGTCTATGAGCTAGGCTTCAGCTCCGTTCTCAGGCGCTCTAATTCCATTTCATAGCTAAATAAAGCAGATATACGAGGATACATTCAATGCCGTTTTCAATGTTTTGGCCAAACATTCATAGAAAGCAAGTTCAATAGCAGGCGCTGGCTTGCACTGTAATAAAGAACAGAGGAAGGCGAAGTGTATAATGATTAACACTCACGCATCTAGCTCACGACCATTAGCCAGCAAGACGCCGGCTTTGAGGACCGCATTGAGTGCATTCGAAGAACTCAAGTCCATCCCTGGGTTCACCGGGGATTTTTTTTATAAGAATATGAACGATTGGATAGATCTAATCACACGATGTCCATGATTGGACTGTTACGACTTGAACGTGCAAGGTCAACGCCAAGCAATATGCACTGCAATGTGGCATATTGTAACAATTCAATGACTTCTGACATAGACATTACTACCAACGCTGAACACAAAGTAACTAAAGTCTACTGGATAACCTGCTAGTATGCGTAAAACAGAGTCGCCTCCTGGTCACTTCGCCGAATCTTCCTATTCTCCTTCACAAGCATCCACTTCATCAACCACGCGCCAGCGGCACATGCAACGCAAAAAGCCGCGCTGCTGGCCATAGGGATGACATATCTCGGGGCATCTGATGTAGGCCACAAGTACTGCAAGTTTCGTTAGTAATAGCCTCGTCACAAGCGAGACGAGCCAGCGGGCTTACCGGAGTCCAAATGAAGCTAATACTGGCGCTTGTGTTGACAATCGCCAGCGCCGAAGCCTTCTTCTCCTTCGTCTGTCCGCACGTACTTCCAACCCAACCGAGCAAACTTCAAACGAGTTGGTCAGCAACCTCCTTGGCATCGGAATGGGACTAAGGGATCGAATCACTTACATCGAGTTCACACCGTACGTTCCCACCGTGAAAACAACCATGGCGAAATACCGAGCCCCCGTATTCATCGTCGCACAAGCCAACACAAACCCAAAGAGCGCAACGCACTTTGAAATCGTAATATGCCACGTCCGCTCGTTGTACTTCCCCGAGCTCCACGCCCACGCGATCGACAGCACGCCCGCGATCAAGTACGGAGGGCACGTCAGCACCAGCGTGATCGTCGTGTTGAAATTTAGCGTCTCCACGATCGTCGGGAAGAAGTTCTTGAACCCATTGGTAGCCAGGTGCATGTGCTGCATGTAGATAAACACCCACACCTTCGGGTCGACAATGGCCTCGCGGAGGCCCGCCCATGTGCTGCTCTGCAGGCGCGCGCCGACGGTGTCGCGCTCGATCCGGGCGTGGGCCAGTTGCCGTTCCGCGTGGGTGAGCCAGCGCGTCGTCAGGGGCTCATCAGGGAGAGTGAAGCAGGCGACCATGGCGATTACAAAGGTCACTGCGCCTTGAAGGATGAAAAGCCAGCGCCAACCTTCGAGCCCGTGGGCGCCCTCTAAGCCGTGGAAGACACCTGCCGCGATGAGCCCCGCGAAGGCGGTGGCCAGGATGTTGCCGGAATACAGCACGCTGATCCGCGTCGCAAGCTCTTTGCGGGTATAGAAGATGGACAGGATGTACAGAGCACCGGGGTAATATGGCGCCTCGACCACACCGAGGAAGAAACGCGTGAGCACGAGACCCTTGTAGTCCTTGACGATGGCGGTCAGGGCACTGACGACGGCCCAGGCCATCATGAAGCCGCCCATGTACCAGGAGGGCCGGACGCGGGTGAGGATCATGTTGCTCGGGATCTGACCAAGGATATAGCCGACGAAGAGGATGGAGACGCAGGTGGAGTATTCAACGCTGCTGAGGCCGAGCTGCTTCTCAAGGCCGTTGAGACGAGCAAGGGCGATGGCGTTGCGGTCAAGGTAGCTGTAGGCCGTTAGCTGCGTCGACAGGTTGGGTTAAAGCAGACTTGGACCTACTTTAGCCAATACATGAGCCATAAAGTCGGCTAGTGATAACAGGTTAGAAGAAGTCGTGAGGAGCTACTCAAGACTCTGTCGACTCACCATGACCCAGAGGTCCAACTTTCGCACAAGCTTGATTTCTGCGGGATCAGTCTTGGCCACGGCTCCGGAATAGTCAGCTGTCACAGCAGGTCTCTTCTCGTCATCCAACACGTGAGAATGTTCCTGGTGCAATACTTGCTGCTTCTCAATGTCAGCCGCAGACTGGGCTGGCTGGCCCGCGGCGACAGAATCCGTCTGCGTCGCCATTGTGACAGTGAGAAGTGTCGGTACTATTGACGTCTGCAAAAATGACAAAGTGAATCAGATCGAGTCTTGCCAACAGAGCGCACAGGACATGTTCTTGCACACAGAAATCTGGTCAGGGGGATCAAGCTTGTATTTGTTCTTGAGCTACACACTTCAAACCGCTGGAGCTCTAAACTCTTTCGTTCCCCGCAGCAACCCCGGATTTGGGATTCTTGGCTACCGGATATCTGGGGGTTCCCAATGGATGTGTGCATAGTCTGGTGGGGGTTCCATAACGCTGGATTCAGCGTGACGGCAGCGCAATGTTGCAGTCACTGCGGAAGCACGAAGCGGCAAATGTCCCCTTCGGCCAGCGGCGCCGAAGGCTGAAAAGGACAATGATCAGTCTTGTCCCCGCGCTGTGCGCCAGAAGGATCACTGGCCTCGCTATGCCAAGACGCTGGTCTCCTGCAACTCCAATTTCAACTGTAATCAGTGAACGCCCTCCCAACCCCCGCAACCCCGGTGGATCGAGACACTGGGGGTAGACCGGAACGGCTGGTCCTCCGCAGCTAAGCCAATGAGACCGAGTGCCATTGCAATGCTCGCATTTGACGGATTGATCACTGGCAAAGTGTTGAGAGGCTGGAAGAGTGGCCTTGTGGGGTGTTTTCGGCCTCGGCGTCCGCGCCCATCTTCTCGGTCGCGGATGCCGCTCTTGCAGACGTGTATCTATGCATCTCGCACCCATAGTCAGACTTACCAAAATAGCCCTCCAGTTGAAACCTTGGACCAGGTAGCCATTGTTGAGTCAATGGGGCTCTATCTCGGTGGATCTTGAAGGATGTCCAGGCAAAACGAGCGCACTCAGAAGTACGTTGCCCTTGGCTCGGCTATTGATCCGCAATCAGCAGCAATCCGCGATGTTAGACGGAAGATACCATTAGGTTTTCTCATGTGGTTCCTCATCTCTCAGAAATCCGTCGGCGCGTGTAAAGCAGTAGCTCTCAAGTTGCATATGAAAGCAGCGCGAACTGTGTCTTCATCCTGACAGTCCTAGTCTTCCTTGAAATCCTCGGTGTGATTCTCGACCCCTTTTCCTTCTCTTCTACCCTCTTTATACCCAAAGACCGCCAACAATGATTGAAAAACCCTCCATCAGAATCGGAAATGTCTCCGGCGCAACGGGCGATCACCCGCACGCCATGGCGCGTATGATCCGCTCGGGCAACATCCAGGTCATCACAGGCGACTGGCTTTCCGAGATGAACATCGCCTGGAACGCAATCACCAAGCGTGACGTTGATCCGAACCTCGGCTACGAGAACGGCTTCTACGAGCAGCTTGAGGAGTGCATCGACGACATCATGACCAAAGAAATACGCGTCGTCACCAACGCCGGGGCACTGAACACAACTGCGCTATTCGAGAAAGTCAAGAAGCTCTGCAAGCAGAAGGGATATCCTGAAAGTGTGGTTGCTGCAGTTCTGGGGGACGATGTATCTGGTTTGTTGAAGGACAAGTCGGAAAGCAAAGACCTGACGTTTCCACATTTGGATCATCCCGAGACCACCCTCGACGACTGGGCCTTCGAGCCTTGCTGCGGGAACGCATACATCGGCTGCTGGGGGATCGTTGAGGCTCTGAGAGCGGGCGCGCGCATCGTTATCTGTGGTCGGTGCACCGATGCCTCGCCCGTCATGGGCGCCGCGGCATGGTATTACGGCTGGCGAGAAGATCAGCATGAGGAGCTTGCCGGGGCGTTGCTGGCGGCACATTTGATCGAGTGCGGGCCGTACGTTGTGGGCGCCAACTTCTCTGGCTTCAAGGACTTCCTCCCAGAGCTAGTTGATCTCGCTTTTCCGGTTGCTGAGATTGGTCGTGACGGGCAGTGCGTCATTAGTAAAACGGCGGAGGGTGGTGGGCACGTAACTCGGCATACGGTTACGGCTCAATTGCTGTATGAGCTCCAGGGCCACCTCTATCTCAACCCAGACGTGGTGGCGGATCTGTCGCATGTTCATGTTGAGGAGCAACATTGCTCAGGGGAAGATCGTGTCCGCGTTTGGGGTGCGAAAGGTCTGCCTCCTCCGCCTACGACAAAGGTGATGTTCGCTGCGGAAGGCGGTTATCAAGCCGAGGCCACATTCTACATCAATGGTCTGGACGTGGATGAAAAGGTTGCCATGATGAAGAACCAGCTGGCTTACCTCTTCAAGGATAGCAACTTTAGCCGGCTTAGTATCGAGCAATACGGCACGCAAGTGTCGAACCCCAGTTCTCAACAAGCTGGCACCGTACAGCTTCGGGTATTCGCGCAGGCGCGGAAGAAAGAGGACATTGCGGCCATCAAATTCAAGGTTCCCATATACGCCGTGCGGATGCAGAGTTATCCGGGTCATCACATGTCGCTGGATTTTCGAACGATGGATCCGAAGAGTTTTATGGAGATCTTCCCGGCGCTAATACCGCAGTCGGCCATCGATCATCGTGTTCTTTTGGGTACTGGAGAGTTGATAGCCGTCCAGCCACCGAGCAACACGGCGACATACAAGGTTCTTCGCCCGTCTGCAGACACTGCCGATCCAATCGACCTACTCTCACTAGGGCCAACGGAGTTTTCGCCGTTAGGCAGCATTGTCCACGGGCGGTCGGGTGACAAGGCCGATAATTCGAATGTCGGCTTCTTCGTTCGCAACGAGGATGAGTATCCCTGGCTTCGAACTTTGTTGACGGTCTCTCGTCTGAAGCAGCTACTTGGCGATGACTGGTACAAGAACAACCCAGATCGGAGAGTGGAACGTGTTGAGTTTCCAGGCATTAACGCTGTGCACTTGTGAGTAATGCCTGCCTTAGACATGGCTGAGAGCTGACTAGAGTTCGATTAGTCGTATTCTAGATAACCTGAATGGAGGCATCGCGTCTTCTGATCGTATAGATGGTCTTGGTAAAGGTATTGCAGAATACCTACGAAGCAGGTACGTCGAGGTGCCACGGGTCTTCCTCCAGAGAGGGCGGATATGAGGGTCGGATGATAGACAACGTAAATTTCTGTAGACCTAAACATAATAGTTCTTTGATCATAGTACTTGCTACTCTGTTTGAATTGCTAAATGTAACGACTTGGGGTCTCTCCCATTCCAAAGAGCCAATCTTGAGAAAGCTGAGCAATGGCATCGCTGTGGTATTGGTCGTAACAGATGTTCTGCAGGTCGCCGAAGCAATCTCTTAGAGTCTCGTCGACCGTCATATTAACAAAGGTTGGGTTGGCCTGTCCGTACATGGCATCCGTCATGTTCATCTCCATGGACGGTTGCAATTGACCTTCAGACTCGCATGTAGACTGGACTGGATATGTTGAGTCGGAAGATGCGGAAGCACGACCCGTTTGGGCCTCCACAACGTCGGCAACAACGGCGTCACTGAGACGGTCGAAGACTTCGGAGCAGTTCCGTGCCATTGCCCATCGCTCCGACACCGCCACCAGAACCTTTGAGCAAGCGCGAGTGTCGTTGACTACCTGGCTAATGGTCGGAGTAGACCGCAGAGTGGCCTTGAGCGCATTCGTATTCGAAACGTTTCGGTTCTGTAGATGTTGTAAATGGTTGCGCAGGGCGTATATGTACGATAGCCCAGCGATGAAGATGGAATGCAGTGTCACCCAAGAGTAATTAATCTTTCTTGAGCGATGCAAGTTGGCGTAGAGATTGATCGCTTCTTGCGATGAATCAAACATGTGCTGTAGCACAGTGCTGTTCCCTGTCGCATCGCAGAGAGTTGGAGACGGGCGAAACAGCATCAAAACGCCGTTGTGATAAAGCAGTCTGTACCACTCAGCTGAGCGGAAGCTCGATCTACTCGCCAGCGAGGCGATTGGCGCATCCGCTTGGATCAGCGGTAGGTTAGTTGTCTCTGCATGCCATGATCGGAGCTCCTCGACCAAAGTGCTCCGGCTGTCCTCGTACACAATGGTGGACTCTCGGCTTGCGCCAGGACTCCGGTGTAAGATATTGAGGATCTTACCACAGATCAGCCTGTACCGTACTATGTGGACGAATATTGAGGTCCCGAGGTGCCACTCGGGAGTGCCAAACGGTGCGGTTGATAGTGAGTGTTGGGAAGGCAGCACCGACACGGGCATGTCGAAATGAGGGAGCTCGACGTCGATGTCCTCCAGTTGTATGGCTAGTGGCCGGCCGAGGATGAGACTGGCGATGCGATCCATAGATACTACACTCCAAAAACACCTCCGCTTGGTCTCCACCTCCTCTTGCCACGCGGCAGAATCTCCTTCATCTCCGTCACGGGCCTGAGGAGGGGCATAAGTAGTTGCCTTGTGCAGACCAAGCTCGAAACACGTCCTCGCGGCCACACCGATGAGGTGCCAGACGCTTGTGCTCGTGTCGTGTGAAGTGGTGCCCATTCGATACTGACAAATTAGGAGCAATGCTTGCAGTGCAGTAATGCCCCCTCGAGAGAGCACGTCACCAAGTCGTGTCATGGCGCGGTTATAGTGAACCTCAGCGTCCCAGATGCCGTTCCAGTTCATTTTGTGTACTTGTGCTGTTCCGATGGCAAGGGTCATGTCGATTAAGAAGCCATCCACAGGATCTACACCCTCCGTATTTCTTGCGTCATAGACAGCATTCAGGGCCCTATCCAATGCTTTAGGGGATAGAAACGGGTAGCAAAGTCGGTCATGGCTGCAATAGGCGTCTAGTATCTCTGTTGTGAGGCTTTTCGGTAGCAGGCTCGAGACTCCACTGGATGCCAAACTCCCTGATCGATTCATTTGTCGGGAAGCTGAGCTGGACTGTTGGCCAACAACATGGTAAGAGGGCCCCATGGACTGGCTATGGGTTTGCAATAAGTTGGCTAGAAACAAGCCGCTTGTCGAACCGACAAAATCCCGACCTCCGCCAGCATTAAGTGAGAGGTGAATGACCTGGCTTGCGATCTCTCCACTCCCGGCTGGTGCCTGAGTGTCATCGGACTGTAGACCCAGGCTCGATGTCGTGTTCGGGGTCGCCAACCTGTCGTCGGTGCTGGCTTGCTGCGGTTGTTGTTGGATACCAGCCAGTCTCCCCGTCAAATTGTCGTTCTCGGCCTGCAGATCTCGTATGCGCTGCTCGAGTCTCTCGACGTCCTGTCGACGAAGTTGTATCTGATGTTCCCTTGCGGCGTACATACACTGGACATTGATCCTGGCACATGGCGCGCACGACGGCCGTGTGCGATCGCATTTGACCTTTCTGCGGTGGCAGCGCTGGCATGCGCCGGTCCGACTGACGGAGCCGGACGGCATTGGAGTCGAGACTAGAGGTTAGGCAGCAACTGGACATGGATTTTGTATTTGTCGTTTCAGACGCGATGGTCGGGTGAAGTTGCCGTGATGATGCGGTTGGAGAGTCGCCAAGGATGATGGACGGAAATGGACCCACGAAAGTGGGAAGTCTGGGGTAGAAGTTCCCCTCGGGGTTTTCAAATCAACCACCCCGCCTCCTCCACTGGCTGGTGGATCTCCCCAGCTCCTTGGCAGTGAACTCTTCGATGATGGAAATTGTGTCGATGGACAAATCTTCTCCCAGGTTAAGACTCACAACAGTATTTAGGTACTTATTTATCGACTCAATGCCATCTCTAGAAAAACACCCATGAAATTGTATGCGCAATGTACCCTACAAGTCTGCTCCAGTACCGACACCATCAAACCTCATGCAATCCGGTCAGTCGAATTCGAGATAGTGTACACAGTTTCCTAGTGTCCTAACAGGACTTAAAGCTAGCCGCGACCTAGATGAATAGCTTGCTGCCATGGTACTTGGTGTCCTTGGCATAGGTAGAAGCAGCAGACGCCTTGGCGCGCTCAGGGAAGCCCTTGAGCGATACGGCATATGTGGCGACGGAATGAGAAACCAGCTGTACACCCAAGTCAGCAATGTAATAGAGGCCAGGAATACTGTAAAACATACCTTGGTGTTGATTTCCCAAGCAGTCAAGTTGACATTGCCAACATCGTCGCAGAGCTGGTGGTAGCAAGGGTCGTACCAGTCACCCGCCTTGCCGCCGAAGAGCTTGGCCTCCTCTTTCGTCTTGATGCCCTCCGCGCCAGTAGCGATTCCACCACCAGGGATACCGTTGCGGATGAAAGCGTCGTAGTCGCTGCGCCCGTCAAAGGGAATGAAGGTGTAGGCGAGGTCATGGGCCTTGTACCAGTCAACGTACAAGTCGCGCAGCTCCTCGGAGCCGGTGGGGTTGACGGCGTTGGTGGCGTTGTAGATCTGGTAGGCGTAGTTGGGGCTGCCGAGCATGTCGTAGTCCATGAAGAGGCGAATCTTCTGGTTCTCCTCCGGAGACAAGACAGAGACGTAATAGTCGGAACCGAGAAGGCCTTCCTCTTCACCAGCCCACCAAGCGAAGCGAACGCAGTTGTTGACGCTGAACTTGGTCAACTGAGTGGCAATTTCCAGAAGACTCAAGCTGCCCGAGCCGTCGTCGTTGATGCCAGGGCCCTCAGCAACACTGTCGCTGTGGCCGCCAAGCATGACACAGTTGTCCTGGTCGCCCTCGAGCGTCTGGGCCAGAATGTTGGTCGTCTGGATCGTGTTCACGACGGCATCAATGTAGGCGATGGCATCCACAGTTTCACCCTTGCCAAGCTTCTCCAGGATAGGCTTGGCATCGTCGCCGCCGAGGCCGAAGGTCGCGACGTGGTTGGGAGAAGGAGTACCGAGCGTCCCGTGGACGGTCTCGCTCTCGTAGTTGTAAACGACAGCAGCAACAGCACCAGCCTTGCCGGCCTGCTCGCTCTTGGCGCCGAACGCACAAGTGCCACGGCGGATGAAGGCAATGTTGCCGCTCACTTGAGAGGGGTAGTCGGAGGCATCGCAGCCATCGTTCTCGACGTACACCAGGTCTCCGTGCACAGGCTCCTTGTTCTTGGTGGGCGGCGTCAGGGCCATAGGCGAGGCGGACTTGGGCACCTGATCGCCGACGACGAGACGAGACTCAAAGACATTGCCGGAGACGGCGGGGAATGTCTGGTTCCAGACCTTGTAGTAGTCGCTCAGCTTGGCGAGGTTGAAGTAAATGTACTCCAAAGTTCCGGTATGACCTATCTCGATGGTAAGCGTGAACGAAGCTGGGCTGGTGGGGTGACGGCCTTACCATCGCTGCCAATAACGCGCGTGGGATGGTTGTACTCCTCCTCTCCCAGCTTAGCAATCTCATACAACTCCTTTGCACGCGCAAGTAGGTTGTCAGCCGTAATGGTGTCCTGGAGAGCCTCGGTTTCAACCAAAGGCTTCTTGGAGGACGACGACGACGTGGTCAACGGAGATGTCGAGATGAGAGGCGTTTCGTCGGCAATCAGCGGCGCTTGTTGATCAGGTAGCTGTACCTGCATCTGCATCTGTAGGGCGGAAGCGCCACCAAGCAGAGCCAATCCGGCCAATTGAAGTCGACGAGCTCCAGCCATTGTGAGTGATTTTTCGGGTTCCCGGTCCAAACCTTACGTTGCTGAGATGAGGTTAAGACGAGGTTGGAGAGCTGTGTGTCACAGACGTCGCGTGTGAGGGTCACGGTCTCAGTTGGAGCTGTTGCGATAGACGACCGATATCGCGAATCGGTTAGTCATCGAGCCGAGGCCCCCATCTTCGTCATAGCTCTTATCTTATCGGAATGTGCTTACCTAAGTTCACGGCCGATAAGGCACAGCACGGAGGGAGCGGAGACATGAACGTGTCAAGGTGCGGTGCCCTGGCCCCTCGCTTCGCTGGGCAATTACGTTGGCCTGCGCCGATTGCAGCTGTCAAGGTGCTCCTGGGACCCCGTCGACCCCTGTTTTTCAGCAAATCCAAGGGGTCAAGCGGCCCCCCAGATGCGGCGATGCGCATGTTTTCATAGGGGGGGAATAAGGACACAGTGGACCAAGGGGGAATCGGCAAGCCTGCAATCAGGGAGCACCGCCTCCCTGGGCTGTGTTAGTGGTGTCTGCCTGTGTCTCGTTGTGTTACGGTTGCTCACGACTTTACATAGTAATGCCAAATACGCTTTCTTTCGGTCCCGCGTGTCCCACAGCGCAAACTTGGGACGAAGTCCAGGCATCATCCATCCCCCTTTCCTTGTCTGGCCACTTCCTTTTCTTCGACCATCTGCATAGTCTTGGTGCAGGGTCGCCATGATATTGAGCCAGAAACCATATCCGTCCGCCGTCCAAAATGGGTGATACAGAAGCTTCGGGACTATGGCCACGAGGTGTGTATGCTACTGATGTCCTGCCGGAGATGGCTTCAGCTTCCACGTGTAGCTGTGACCCAAAACTGTGGTGGCTTGTTGACTAACTAACTTTTCCTTTTCCGAAGACGCCGCCTCCTGGGCCTCCATACCGACGGAGCTCCTCCTTGCTGAGCTCTCGAAACGACACGGCCATGCTGTCGCCAACGCAGAAGTTGCTGGCGCCGCCGCCGCCGCCGCCGCCGCCGACGCCGCTAAACCGCAGTGTGGTTCCTCGAGAAAAGAATCTTATGATACTGCTTTGCACATTGGTGCGCTGATCCTGATATTGGCGCTGAGCACAATCTGTAAGTGACGCCTTGGGCTTTCGCAGGTTCGCCAACACATACGGAGGCCATGATGGCACACTGGGGCGGCTCGCCCTTCGCGATCTCGAAAGTCAATGCTAACAAACAGCCAACAGCTTGCGGCATTCCCCTCCTTCCCCGAAGAACATCGAAAGGTCGCCCTCAGAGTATAATCCTTTTCTACTGCCAACACTTCGGCACCGGCGTGCTCCTCGCGACATCCTTCGTCCATCTTCTCCCCACAGCCTTCACCTCTCTCACCGATCCATGCCTTCCCTTCATCTTCAACCAAGGCTACCCACAGATGGCCGGGCTGGTCGCCATGGTAGCCGCACTATCCGTTGTCGCGCTCGAGTCCTACTTGGCAACCCGAGGTGCCGGCCATTCTCATTCACATTCGCACGAGTACGAGTACTGGGACGAAGAAGACAGCGCCGAATCTACAGCGGACCGACATGCGACGGGGAGCATGGCATCGCACAGACATGGTTCCCACCGGCCGGAAGACATCAACCTCGATAACATGGAGTCGACCCAGGGATTGATGGCCGGTGCCTCGCCCCTACCAAGCTCGACGCCGACGCAAGCGGAAGCGAACAACAGCCTCGCAAACGGGCGCGACAGCTTCGACGACGATGCGTCCGATATTGACCTCGACGTCAACGAGTTGAATCCCACATCTGCCGACGAACCCAGACGACAAAGTTCGCCTGGTAGCCGCCCCAAGATTACTGTCATGCCGGACGCGCCTCAGGTCGTCACAGAAGAGGAGCAGACCAAGCTCCTCCGGCAGTGTCTCCTGTTGGAGGGTGGCATTCTCTTCCACAGCATCTTCATCGGCATGGCCATCTCGGTAGCTACTGGCCCGACCTTCATTGTCTTCCTCATTGCCATCAGCTTCCATCAAACGTTCGAAGGGCTTGCCCTCGGCAGCCGCATCGCCGCTATCCAATTACCCAGGTCCTCGCTCCGTCCATGGCTCATGGTTCTCGCATTCGGCGGGACGACACCGCTCGGTCAGCTCATCGGCTTGATTGTGCATAATCTGTACGATCCCATGAGCCAGACCGGATTGCTCATGGTTGGGTTCATGAACTCTATCTCGGCAGGCTTGCTCCTCTTCGCTGGGCTGGTCCAGCTACTGGCGGAGGACTTCCTCTCTGAGAAGAGCTACAAGATTCTTCAAGGCAGAAAACGGCTCAATGCCTACATGGCTGTGATTGGCGGGGCGTCACTCATGGCCATAGTAGGGGCTTTTGCTTGAGTTCTACATAGTTATACCAAGGCGAAGATTAGGCTTCTGCCACTAATACAGCCTTGTTACGTTGGCCAAGGTCATTCTCTAAACGACTGGCCCCTTACAAGATGGCCTTAGACAGACCTGTCTTCAAGACGGTAGCAACAATATCATCTATACGATTTTGACGTGACATTTGCTGAGTTAGAACTATGGACATAGGACAAGTAAGCCCAAGTGTTGGCTAAGTGGCACAGATGTCGATGACAAAACACAAGAGATGACCAGACAGTCAATTGAACAAGGCGGTGGTGGGTGGTCCAAGACGGCCGAGCTAGCAGCAGTGGAATGGGGAGAAAAGAGACAACTACTCTCTTCCCCTACAGAACAGGGGACAAAAGAGGCAGAAAAAAGTTAACCCGAAGAGTGGCTATGCCAATCGCGGTGAGGATTTGAGCCTCACGCGGGGGTCGAACCCGCAACCTTGAGATTAAGAGTCTCACGCTCTACCGATTGAGCTAGCAAGGCGGGTTATTTGAGCTGATCCGAAGACCTGCTGTTGTTGAAAGCGAGATGCAATTGAGTCATTTAAGAAGGGACGGGGCCGTGTTGTGAAGAGATTTTTTTCCTCTGGTTAAGTGGGGCACCTCCGTGCGGTCCGGGTGTGTGGTCCGGGCGCTGACCCATGTCAAAGCCCGGAGGTCTGCCTTTGTCCACCTCATCAGTATCTTTACAAAGGAGAGTATGACAAGATCTGTAGTCCCTTTGGATAACAGTCTCATTTTGAGGGCACAAGATGTAGAGGAGAAAGAGAGTAGAGAAGAGAAGGGGGGGGGGGGGTTGATTTGCTCGTCTCCATCAATATGTAGACAATACGGAGTTGTCTAGAAAGTCTCCCATTTGAAAACCATCATGTTTTGTTTAATACGATCCTTAGATGATTATCATGGTACTGGTAGCATTCGAAGAATTCAGTGCTTAGGGCGACAATTCTCAGGCAAAATAAATCGGTTGAATAACGTCGTGGAGCTTTGAGCTGCCCGCACCTAGGTGATATCGTGCCGCCCCAAATTCCAGACTAGGAGTCCGTGTTTTACCTTCTTAGCCTCTTACGATGCCGGCAATTAAAGACTAGATTTGTATAGCTATTTATTTGGCGGCTTTCCCTAGGCAGCATTTGTAGCTTGGGGGTGAGTTATTCATCACCTACGCCTGGCCTTGTCGATGTTTTAATTACCGTCTGATTGTGTAAATAACTGCCTAGTGTCGACACAATTGAATGCGAAGGGACACTCCAGTTCTGGGTTGTTTCAATTCGCAAGGTCAAGAGAGTGAGGTCTTCTCGGGAATCAACACTATGGCTAGCACAAAGGCCGCCACCTTGCATATTTCAGAGATACTGGTCGTTGGTACACGCAATTCTCTTGGCTCGATTCCTGGCTTCTGGTACCGACCCAGACGAGTTCTTAGGACAGGCTTATAGCATGTTTGACTTTGTCGCTTGTGACTGCCTGATCTATCTTTTGTCTAAACAAACATTACGATTAATGTCCCCAAGTCAATCGCACAGAATGGCTTTGTGCAACTATTTTGACCTTGCAGCCCCCTTACATTGTGCAATAAGAACAAGCATGAGTGCCTACCCTGTTTTTTTGTATCATCGCACCGCTAGTTTTATTCTATATCGTTTACGTGTTCATATTTACGAAGTTGAAAAGTTGGGCGCAAGAAGGAGCGACTCTTGAGGGATCAGTACATACCATTAATTCATTTGGACACAACTTGAAATGGCCTTCGTCACGACAAACAGAAAAGCTTTCGGTTGGTGTGAAACTCGTGCGGAAGCTGTCTATATCAGTGTTTATGGGATGATAAGGTTGTTCATATGACGGAGACAACGCATTATAAATGTTGCCTTGCAGCTTTCAGGACCGCAAGGTTCCTGTGTTTTGCCAATTTTGCTTGCCCAACATACCACTAGTAACCACCTTTTGGCCAGATATAGCGTTCAGCCACTCCAGGAGAGGAAAGATTGAGGCACGGGCTGAAGAGGTCACGTCAATCAACCTTGACATTTCGGGCAGTGAGTCACTTGAGGCGACGAGGGCGGATAAAACGCCAGTCATACCGGTCAAGTCGACCATGGTTTTCTCCCCCAAAACAACTGTTTACTGATCTGCTGTCAATAACCAGAAGCCATTGCAATAACCAGGAACTTACAGTATCACTCTATTGCCTGCGCAGCGGACACAAAAGAAGAGAAGCCAAGTCAAGCTGTTGTTGGTCTTCATATCGACTCCACCAGTACCCGGTACGTATCCGTCGTCCATCGCCAGCAGGCCTCCCCCTAGTACAATTTACAGCCACCCGTAGTTCATCCGGCGCCAATGCAAGGCTGATTTCATGTGCTGCAGCGCCAGTCGCCCAAAAACCCAGCAGTGGTCGCAGCGACCCCCGGCCCTCCAAAAATTCGAAGGCGGGGCAGCTTTTTTTTCCTCGTCGTTGCCGCTGCGCCGATCATCCTGGCTCCGCGACCACTGATGCACCTCCAAAAACCAAATCCCACCATCGTCGCCGACCCAAGTCACGCATCCACGCCTCTCGCGCCTCCGAACCTTTTACGCTCTTCCCTCTGACCAAACCCACCACTATCCACCAATGCTGTTCAATCGGTGACCTCTGCCCCCCCGTCTACATTTCGCAGATGTAGGCAAACCGTATTACGACATCCCAATCCATTGTCGACGGCGCGAGGCCAGCTCTCCGAGGCGCAAAGCCAGATACCCCCGGGGCAGGAAAAAAAATCCCCAAAGCCAACCCCCACCATCAAGTCGATCTCGATCTCGGCCACCAAACTTGCCGCGCCACGACCGCTTTCTCGCACGAAGCACGAAGACCACGACCCCCGATCTTAAACTCTAGATACCAGGCAGACACCGACGGCAGGCAAACACCCGCAGCTAGCCGCCGCAATGGCCCCAACCCCCCCGGCGGCGTCGCCCTCGGCGGCCACGACCTCGAGCACCGACTCTAAGATGGAGGTGTGGAAGGAGACGCTCTACGACCACTTCCAGAAGGCCGGCGACGAGAACCAGCTGTTTACGCAGTACGACATCCTTGACTTCGACGTCATCCCGAACCGTGACACCGTCACCCTCCTCAAGGTCCTCCAGAGCCTCACCAACGACCGCCTCCTCATTGCCGTTTCCTCCCAGACCGGTCTTGCCTGGCGATGGCGCTCTGTCGAAGATGCGGAAAAGTAAGTCCTTTCTTCCCGCTCCTCCCCCCCTACGCTGCCATGCCAACTCACCCCTGCCAGATACAAGCTCTGCTCGACGGACGAACAGCGCATGGTCTACGGCGCAATTGACGAGGCGGGCGGCGACGGCATCTGGTCCAAATCCATCCAGAACCGCCTCAACATGCACGACTCGGTCCTCAAGACGGCCCTCAAGCAGCTCCAGGGCAAGGGCCTCATCGCCCCCTTCAAGAACGTCGAGCACCCCAACAAGCGCATGTTCATCAAGGCCTCCATGCGGCCCTCGGAGCGCGCCACGGGCGGGCCCTGGTTCACCGACTCGGCCCTTGACGAGGCCTTCATCGAGGAGCTGCAGCGCGTCATCTTCGACTACGTCAAGCGTAAGAGCACCTACCTCAGCACCGGCTCCTCCGCCTCGGGCGCGACCCGCACCGCCGTGCCCAAGAAGGGCGTCCTGAAGGGCGGGCTGGACACAAAGGGCAGGAAGCGCAGCGCGGGGGAGATCTCGGGAGCCGACGACGAGGCTGGCCCCAAGAGCGCCGTTCCCGCCGTCCAGCCGCCCAAAAAGGTGCCCACCAACCTGCCCCTCCCCGCGGGTTTCAAGGAGTATCCCACCGTGCGCGAGATTGCCCGCTTCATCTCCCAGTCGGGCATCACCTCGGACACGATCCTCGGCGAGGAGGACATGCAAAAGCTCATCGACGTCCTCGTATTCGACGGCCTCATCGAGCCCATCCGCGTCTCTGGCCGCCTGGGCTACAGGGTCACCCGCGCGCCCCGCCAGAGCACGACGAACTGGGCCGCCAGGCAGGACGGCGGGCCCGACGAGGGCGGGCCGGAACCCTTTGTCAACGGGTACACCGAGGCCCCCTGCGGCCGGTGTCCCGTTTTCGATCTCTGCGAGGAGGGCGGCCCCGTGAGCGCGAGCAATTGCGTGTATTTCCAACGCTGGCTGGGCTTGGAATGAGGGGCGGCGTGTTTCGTACGACGGCGGGTTTGGGAGTATCAAAAAAGTCGGGCGGGGTTTGATTGGGTTGTCTCGATTCGCATCATGGGAAGCATTGCACAGGCGTTGGCACGATTACATAAAAACATAGGACACGGTCGGGATGGTTTGCCAGGGTAGTAGATCTTTCATCCTCCCAAGCGGAATTAGTTTCAATAGCAGCCGGGGCACTGGCTGTGCAGGTATACCAAAGATATGTTTGAGCCTACACGGGTCCCATGATTGGTGGCCGGCAAGTAGAGAGCAGTGGGGCAGTTAACTCATCATGCCTCATGGAAAACATTGCACATATGCGAATCACTTGGGTCGGAAGTGGCAGTAACTTTTTGTCTTGGCTAGCTATGTAGCAGCAGCGAAGCTGATGACCGCCAAGCAGCGCATTGGCGCATTTCCCAAGTCTCCGCCAAAAAAATGTCCTCTCTTCCCGTCAAGTTGACTCTCGCGACATTTCAGAAGCAGGACCTAACGTACAAAGAACCGAGCGAAGGGCAATTTACAACTCGCCGGACTTGACAATGGTGGGGCGCTTGCCGTACTTGACGGTACCGCTGGAAGAGCCGGTAGCCTCAAGAGCCTTGACGATGTTGAGGGAGTTCTGGTCAGCGACCTCGCCGAAGACGACGTGGCGGCCGTTGAGCCACGAGGTGACGACGGTGGTGACGAAGAACTGGGAGCCGTTGCTACAAGAGGGTCAGACTGGGCGTCATGCAAGAGGCAGAAGAAGTGGGACTCACGTGTTGGGGCCGGCGTTGGCCATGGAGAGCAGACCGGGCTTGTCGTGCTTCAACTGGAAGTTCTCGTCGGCGAACTTCTCGCCGTAGATGGACTTGCCACCGGTGCCGTTGCCACGGGTGAAGTCACCACCCTGAAGCATGAACTCGGGGATGATGCGGTGGAAGGAAGAGCCCTGGTAACCGAAGCCCTTCTCACCAGTGCAGAGAGCACGGAAGTTCTCGGCGGTCTTGGGGACAACATCGTAGAAGAGGTTGAAGGTGATGCGGCCGTTCTGGGCTGTAGGCAGAGTGGTTGGTCAGCAAAGCTCGGTGAACATTGGCTGGTTGGCAGCGAGCAACAGAGTTGGGGGAGGGCGAAACGACGCCATAGAGAGCTCCCAGACAAGGCATTGTAATGCCGGGACATGCAAAAGGACATCCGTGATGGTTGCTCGATGGAATCCCAATTGCAGAGAAAAACTTACCCTGAACGGTGGAGGTGGGCTTGCCAGTGCCGTCGAGGACGGGACCCTCCCACTCGATGTCGAAGTAACTGGGAAAGAAGGTCAGTTATTGCGTCATTGAGAGCTTGCGATGCTCTTGAGCTGGTTGGGTGGTAGGAGACTTACACTTGAGGACCAGGCATGATGTTGGATGCTGAGAAGAATCGAACGGATGGCTTGGTAGATGCAGGAATCACAGTTCGGAGAGGTTTGATGAAGGCAGAAGGTCGAGAAAAGGGCGAGGGTGAAACGGAGGAGCAGGAGAAGGTATGGCGGGGTAGGAGGGGTCGCAAAAGGGTTGGTCTCATTTTTTCAACAGCTGGGTGGAGGGGTTTATTGTTAGCGCAAGAGCTCCCCACTGCGGGTGCCGAAGGGGCGAATGGCAGGGCGGGAACGAGAGAAAAGAGGGGCGAAAAGTCACGTGAAATGAGCTGTTGCTGAGGTCACTGACGGGCCGGGAAGTACCTGACCAGTCTGGATCAAGTATCCGTACTTCCCACGACGTGGTGACGGAGGGGAAGGTGCCAAAGGGCAGGAAGGAGGGGTTGGGGGGGGGGGGCGTCGCGGTGGGGAGGGGGAAGAGGGAGGAAGGCAAGGAGAGGGTAGACGAGGGGCAAAGGGATCGTCTTTCCAGCTCTCTGGCTTGGTCTGTGGCTTTGACCTTGGTTTGGTTTCGCCTTAGCCCAATTGCTGCTACTGGCTTGACTTCCGTCCAGTAAAGCCCACTTTGTCTTCTCACTGCCCGTCAAGGAGCAGAGTGGGATGACTTCATCGGCCCTGCGAGCGTCCGCGACTCCCCATTGAGCTTGGCTAGCACAGGGAATAAAAGAAAACAGAAAAGAAAAATAATAACAAAAAAACAGTACTGAGCCAATTCCCAACTGCTAGTTCGAGTAGCCAGCAGTCAAATGTCACCGTGTCAGGCAGGAGGACAGAGAGAACCGGGATCAATTCTCAAGCTCAACCGCGGGGTCTGAACTCAGACGACAGAACGGTGTACTGGCTGGCGGACCGAAAGACGCAATGCCCACGGGGATGTACCTGCACCGCCCTGCGAGCCTATTACCGGTACCTGGATGAACTCGCAGCTCAACAAAGAGCGGCAAATACCTCGGGGCAGGGTAGAGCTACAAGAGCCATTGGGAACCCCCGGTGCGGCACGGGCAGGAGGGCGAATGCGCGTCAAACCCCCGAGGCCGATGCCCATTGGAGCGACATGAGAGGGGGGACGACAACAAAGCTGGCACAGCTGGGGCCGGAACTCGACTCATTGTCGGCGACGGCCAAGTCACCGTCCCCCACTGGCCCACGTTGTCCCTTGACATCTTCGGAAGCTCGTGGAATCTTGGGTCTGTGGGAGCGGGGATCTCGTGGATGGACGAGTGGATGGTACAGCAGCAACGAGCGGTGGACAATGACCTGACAAACAGGAAAGGAGATGCAGCAAGTGCATCGCCCATCCGCGGTCAGCAACAGCCAATAGCCGAAAGGACCAATGAATGCCGTCCTGTCCCGGGTTGGAACAAATGGCACCATCTACCGCCGTGGCTGTTCTGTTTTGTACTGCCGCGCCTGTCTGCCACACGAAGCGAAAGCAGCCCAGTGGCCGTGCAGCTCGTGCTTGTGCTTTTGCTTGGAGCTATCCAAGAGCAATGGCTACTCTTTGCCAGGAGTTCGAGCTGCAGAAGTAGGATGGGAGGCACCTCTTCCTTCTGACGGCTCAATTGGCTTGCATACGAGCTGCCATAGCCGCACAGCGAGCTCTTGCAGCTCCAATGACTTGTGTGGGAGTGCGGACGGAGCAAGATGGGAAAGGTAGGGGAGCTTCGGGGGTGCAGCAGGCATGTGTACGGAACTGTGTGGTTATGGAGGTCGACAGAAAGAACGGCTTTTACGTACCTTGATGAGCAGGATTACACGGGAAGAGTGATGATACAGATACAGAAGAAGAAGAATGAGATGGAGGTTGTTGTTACACGCAGGCCGATGGATGAAGACCGGATGTCGCTGATGAAAAGAATCGAGTCTTCTAGCTTCTCAGGAGAGAAAAGTTTTGGTGAGGTCAGGGACTTCCCAAAGGGGACGGGAGGCCACGGCACGGCGCGACCTGGCGCGGCAACCTGAGGAACACATTTTCATGACGGAGCAGGGGAGAAGGGGATGGAGACACACTCAGTCTGTCACTCTGGAGCACGGGGCACCGGCGCCGATTCAATCTGGACAGCTGTTGCAGCTGGCTGACGGCGGTCTCGGGCCATGTTTTTCTAGTGTACTTCTGAATTGACCTTGAACTTTGCAACTTTATTAAAAAAGACACATCCATCCCCTTATAGGTAGATGTTGGAATACAGAAATAGACAGAACCTTGTTAAACTTGTCTACCTCAGCTGGGGATTTTGAGAACAGCGTCCTATCGAAGAAACAGGAGCTGTTACAAATCAAGGTGCAAACAGGTAAAGCCCAGAGGTACGTACCGCTCACCTTCCCAGACCAATCCCAGTCGACTAGGGAAGCTCTTTTGCGCTGCCGCTGCTTCTATGGCTGCTTCGTCCCCCGACCCTCGAATCGCTTCACGTGACTCGGTAACATCCTTCTCCACGTCTCCTATCCTCAGGATGGGCCAATCTTATCTTGTGGCAGATGGTACGTACCCCCTGCCGCCGCGCCGTCCGAGACCGATTGACCTGAGCCTGAGCCTGAAAGTTCCAGGGTGGCCAGGTCGCTGAGTTGCGCATCTTCCTTTGAAACGTCGACAAAGGATCACAAGGGAAAACAACTCTCGTTATCCTCACCTGCGCCTTTGGGCTTCTTGTCTACTGTCCATCGCATTGATCTCCCATTCTCACTTGTCAAATCCGCCAAAATGGATTGGAATAACCTCAAGGACACGGTCTCCAACATGACCCTGTACGACGTCAAGGCCGGCGTCAGGAAGGTCCAGAATGGTAAATTGCCAGCTGTCCAATTCGAAATGCCCGTGATCGCGTGCTGACCGCGCCCAGCCGTCATGAATTACACAGAAATGGAGGCCAAGGTTGGTATCATCCGCTTCGACCTTGTCGTCGTTGTCCGTCTAACAGCTGTCAGGTCCGCGAGGCGACCAACAACGAACCTTGGGGCGCGTCCTCATCGCTGATGCAGGAGATCGCCAACGGCACCTTCAACTAGTACCTAACCCCCCCAAAACTAGACAACCTCTTCCGCAGCGCTGACGAGCTTCCAGCGCTACCCTCAACGAAATCATGCCCATGATCTACCGCAGATTCACAGAAAAGTCCGCTGAGGAGTGGCGGCAAATCTACAAGGCTCTCCAGCTGCTCGAGTTCCTCATCAAGCACGGTTCCGAACGCGTCATCGACGATGCCCGCGGCCACATCACATTGCTCAAGATGCTGCGTCAATTCCATTTCATCGACCAGAACGGCAAGGACCAGGGTATCAACGTCCGCAATCGAGCCAAGGAATTGGCCGAGCTTCTGAGCGATGTCGAGCGGATCCGGACGGAGCGCAAGAAGGCGCGAGCGACCAAGAACAAGTACACCGGTGTCGAGGGCGGCATGAGCCTCGGAGGCGGCTTCTCCAGCGGCAGCGGCAGCCGTTACGGCGGTTTCGGAAGCGAGTCTGGTGGCTACGGAGGTTACTCTGGTGGTGTCTATGGCGATGGCGGCGGTTTCGGTGGACAGGAGAGCAACGACTACGGGAGAACACAGGCACACAACGACAAGTTTGAGGAATACGACGAGTTTGACGACGAACGCCCAGCGGCCAGCTCCTCGGCGTCTCGATCCAAGCGACCCGAGCGAACGGCGGCCCCCAAGGCCGAGCCGCCCAAGAAGAAGGAGCCCGAGGTGGACCTCTTCTCCTTCGACGACCCTGCGCCCTCCTCCATGCCCGCCCCCGCCGTCGCGCCGACCCCCTCCAATGGCTCCGGCCTGGCGTCGCTGTCAGCACCGTCTAACGCTAACGACGATGACGAGTTCGACGACTTCCAGTCCGCCGCCCCAGCTCCGGCTCCCGCAGCTGCTAATCCCCTCCCTCCTCCCCTCATGACCGCCAACTCCGCCACAACTTTTGCCGCCCCCCAGCCTGTGTCCGCACCGCAGCAGGCCAACATGAGCAACATGGTTAGCATGTCCTCCATGTCTCCCGCTCCGAGCGCCAACTACTCGGCGTTCAGCACACCCGCCATCGCCTCGCCCGCGACACAGGCAAAGTCCAGCGGTTACCAGCCTTCGGGACCCAACTACTTTAGCTCCGTCCAGGCTGCAGTTCCTCAGCCGACGGGTGGCTCTTTCGCAGGCACCCCTGGCGCGGGCGCACCCAAGGCTGCTTCGGCAGCTGCCAAGCCCGGCGCTGCTGGCGGCGACGCTTTCGGCGCACTGTGGTCGCAGGCCAGCACCGGCGTGAAGAAGAGCACGCCCACCGCTGGTCCCGCTTTGGGCCAGCTTGCAAAGGAGAAGAGCAGCGCTGGCATCTGGGGGGCTCCCGCTCCGGCATCCTCTGCATCAAAGCCCGCCGGCGGAAACCATGGCCTAGACGACCTGCTCGGCTAAGCCAATTACATGACAAACGGGCGGAGACGGCAATCTGGAGAGATAACGGAGTTCGCCCTGCCAACATCATGGGCCTCTTAGTGAAAGCAACAAGGCGGCCACCAGGTGGAGGTAGGGCAAGGGGTTATGTGTGCTGATAGGCTGCTATTCCAAGGCGCATCGGCAGGCAAAAGAAGGCTGCAACACCTGAATCATATACTGAAATTTGAAGCGAACCACATTTCTACAGTTTTATCTGATGCATCTGCCCACGTCGTGCAATGTGACATCATTCTCCATGGTCCGACTGTCGTACGCGTCTGCGCATCTGCCAGGGAGCATTGAGTATGTTCATGCCTGCCCTGGCCATCGGGGCATAACGATTGCAGGACCTCACAGCCCTCTGCGGCCGCCGGCGCGACCTCATGCACCCGCAATCCCGAGGCAAGCCATCGCCATGGTGAAGGGTCGATTGAACGGAGTCCAGACCGTCAAACACTCTACCACGAACAGCCCATGCATGTGCCATGGCGATCAACAAGGAATCTGGCCGTCCGCGGACCAACCATCGTCGTTCCGCGGCTATGGAAGGTTCAAGAGGACCGAGTCGTAGTTCGCGGTCCCGGCTTGCGTTGGCCGCGTTAAACCAACGAAGGCCCAGTAACGGGACGTGAGCTGCCCTCAACAGAGAGCCGCCTTGCAGCCAAGATATGCGGCCCAGGTCGGCAGCCGCCAGACCAGGTTTCAGGTCCGGTACCTTGCATGGCTCCGGGCTAGCTCGTATGAACAGGCGCCTCAGCCTCCGCCATCGTCGTTCGACACCGGCCGCGTCTAAAGGCCTGCTCATCCGTCCGTCCAAGAGGCAAGACGGGGGGGCCAGGAGCTCCACCAGGCCCAGGCCACGGTCAAGCCCAGGTGAAGGCTCCGGGTTGAAGCAGACCCAATCAGATCCCGGCCAGCCCGGTTCAAAACAGGCGCGCTGCCATCCAATCCTGAGCAGAGGCTCGATGACATGCCATTGGGACGCGCCTATCCAGCTCCACCTTGTTTGCGTATATGCGTATGGCTCAAGCGAGCCCGCAGGCCCTGGAGCCTCCAATCTCCCGGAGCTGTGCGTCGCCGTCGTAAGTCGCAACCGCGTCGCTTGTCCAACCTGTCTGAGACTCCACCACCGCTAAGCGCCGCGCCGCAACCCCGGCCGTGGACGGTGATTGGCCCACCCCAGCGGCTCCTCATACCTAGCCGAACGACATCCATCCGGGATGTTGGAGGCTCCAAGGATCTTTGGACGAACCACCACTCATTCACTGACTCTCACGAAAGTACTCGGATTTGACGTACCTCGTGCAGGAACCGTAATGTAGCGTCCATAGCTTGGTGTCCACTGGCATGCTCAGAGGCCAAAGGCCCAGAACGCGGGTTGCTCGATTTAGCAACACAACAATGCAGAGGAACCTGACGTATGGTACCTTGCCATAGTGAGCAGGGAGAGGCAGAGAAACAAACACAAGATAGATTAAATCAGTCGTTGCGCCGTGAGATCGAAGAACGTTGACATGTATAAAGCAGACTGGTCTCATCCGTCTTCAACTCCCCTTCCTTTCTGTCCCTCATCAACACAACCACAAAGCATCAGAACAACACCGTCTTTTCCTTTTCCTCTCTCTCTTTTCCTTATTTCCTAGGTCAACTTTCCTTGGTCAAGTCTGGGTCTTTTCAATCTCTTTCTAGCCACTTTGGTCAACATACGATTTCATTTCGCCTCTTCTCGGTCCTCGATTTTCCTTTCTTAGGTCACGACGAACGACGACGACGCGATCCGATTAAACACACACGCAATCTCAAACGACTTCCCTCGCTGTATCGATTTTCTATCAACATCAACTTTTTTTCTTTTTTTATCAACCGCAAACCTTCATTCTTTCTTAACGTCAGGTCCCAGTCGCTACACCAAGCGACGCCTCCTGCCAACATTCCCTCCTCAACCTCCTCCCCCACGGCTTGCATCCCCTTCCCGCCCCGGAAATTCCCCGTCCGCACGGCGCTCCACCTGCACACGCCGCGCCCGAAGCTCACGCTCGTCACGCCCGTCTCGCTCGCTCGCGACTTCCGCCGCCGCCGCCACACAACAATGGGTTCCGCTCCGCAGCTCGGCGCCCTCGGGCACACCTTCACCGCCATGCGCGCCATGCAGTTCGCCTCGCTCGTCGCCATCATCGGCATGGTCTCCAACTTCATCTCCGAGATCAACGGCGCCGACGCGCAGTCGCCTCAGGTCCTGGTCGGGACGCTTGTGATTGTGAGTTTATTCTATTTTATATGAGCGCAACTTGCATTTATGTATTATGGCGGTAAGAATACGACTAATATCCTTAAAAAAAAAGGCCTGCATCGCGTCCCTCTACATCACCATCACCTACATCCTCTACTACGACAACATGCTCCCCTCCTCATCGCCACCGCCGCCGACTCGGCCCTGCTCATCGCCGTCATCGTCGTCGCCTGCCTCCTCGGCAAGCCCCTCTCGTACCTCAACTGCGCCGCGCTGCCAAAGTCCGGCAGCACCGCCAGCTTCATGGCCTCCGTCACGGCCAACATCAACACGGGCTCCGCCCTCAACTACTTCATCTGGGTCGGCGCCGACCAGCGCACCTGCTACGCCATCAAGGCCGTCTGGGGCCTGTCCATTGCCCTGTGCGTGCTCTTCGCCTTCAGCGCCATCACCGCCGTCTGCCTGTGGCGCCGCATCAAGCTCGCCCCCGCCGCCGTCAAGGACATTGAGGGTTGAGGGTGCGCCCGTGGTGGGAGGGCGGCGGTCGGCGGTGTCGGCCAGGCCTCTTCGTTCCCGCCTCCCCCGACGAGGGAGGCCAGGGGCTGCTACCGCAGCAGCAACAAGAGCCTGGGCACCGCCGCGGTGCTGGCCAGGGAGAAGCGGTGGGACAGCGACTCGGGTTCCGACTCGGACGACGTCGCCGTCCCGCCGGCCGCCTCCCGCGCCGGCGCGAGGCCATGGTTCCCGCCCCCTCCCACCATGGCGCAGGTGCAGCACAAGCGCGTGCGCATTGTCGAGCAGCGGCAGCCCGTCCACCCGCTACCAGTGGTGCCCGAGGTGATTGTCTCGCCGGCCCCGCCCGCGTCGCCTGACGAATGGCAGGCGACGCCGACGACACCGGCCGGCGACAACCAGCTGCCCCGCAAGCCTCTCGCGCGGGGCAAATCGAAGCGCAAGACCATCATGGAGTTTATCGACGGGTGGTGGGATCTGGGGCTGCTGGAGCAGCAGAGGCAGACCTTGCTCGCCAGGGCTGCTTCTCGCAAGAAGTGATCTACCGGTGTGTGTGTTTGTGGTTTCTGTCTTTTTGGGTGGAACGTCTGCTCTGCTGGTAATAGAGCTTGTCGACCGGGGGCAAAAAAGAAGAAGCGGGTGGGTAATGTTTACTGGATAGATTGTTTCGGTTGGATTATCGCGGAAACGGCGGGCGGGCTGCACTTGGGTTCCTTCAGGCGTTCGTTTTTGGGTAGTCGGGCCACTGATAATAAAAGAAAAATAACCGGGAGTTCCAGTGTCTTTCGTCCCTTTTAGGTATTGGGTCGTGAGGTCGAAAGTGTTCTCGATTATTGACATTACGTTGCCAGAGCGATTGGTGATAGACCAAGAGAAAGTAAATCTTGTGCGTCTTACCGACCCGATAGTGGTTCAAATGAAGCCAGGTCTCGGTACACTCTCAAGTCAGGAGCACGGCGTGGCCAAGAACCTTGAAGCAAGCGGCGAGGTCCCAGCTCTCGTCAATGGTGTCCCGCTTAGCCCAGACGTTCTCCATGACGCCGAGCGCGGCCTTGATGGACCCAAAGACCTCGAGCGGGCCCATCTTGCCGACCATTTCGCGGAACATGTGCTCCTGGCAAGGGTCCGCGAGACACCCGATGACGCAGAAGGGCCACACGGCGGTCCGCAGGCACACGGGGCTGTGCAGCGAGTTGAGCAGGTCCAGCGTCGCCTGCACGCTCGTCATGGTCTCCGGGCACGAGGGCTGCCACCCGGAGACGACGGTCGAGAGGTACGTCAGCGCGGCGTAGGCCCAGATCTTTGTCTGGATCTTGGAGGCCTCGACCGAGTCCCGCGTCTGCTGGTGCTGGTACAGCGTCAGCGGGTCCGGGGGCAGCCGCGTGGTGTCGGCGTGGGTCGGGTGCGGCGGCGGGTAGTCCATCATGCTGCAGGCGCCGGCGCACGAGGTGAGCTCGTCGGAGCCCAAGAGCTGCGGGCACTGGTTGTCCATGCAGGCGAGGCCCTCGCGGAGGGCGAGCTCGAGGCACGCGGCGCGCGAGACGAGGTGCGTCATGGAGAGGGAGCCGGCGCGGCGGGTCTCCTTCTTCCAGGCGTCGAGGGCGGCGATCTCGCCGATGAGCATGAGGACCCAGCTCTGGCAGCCAAAGTACTCCTCCAGGCGCAGGCGGGGCTCGAGCTCGAGGCACTCCTCCTTGCGGGGGGAGAGGAGGTGGCGGTGGTAGGCTTGCAGGGTGGGCGGGCGCTCGAGGGCGGTGGCGGAGATGATGTCGAAGTAGAGCAGCGACGCGGTGAAGAAGCGCAGGGCGGCCTGGTCGGAGCTCCACGGCTTGTGGGAGCCGGGGGGGAAGTCGACGCCGGAGAACATGGGGATGGCCATGTGCTGCATGGTGGGGTCCCAGTGGTCGGGCTGCGGTAGGATCTGCTGGAAGACGACGGTGGCGGCGTCGAGATGCATGTGCCAGTGGCTGGTGGAGGCGAGGGTGACGTCGAAGATGAGCAGCTGGACGATGCTCTCGAGCACGCGGCAGCCCTGGCGGAGCTGGTCCTCGACGCCGCCCTCGTTGATGCGGGCCATGTCGGCGCGGAGCTCGCGCAGGGCGAGGTCGAGCTGGTGCTGCAGGCTGGCGACGGACTTCATGCGGCAGGGGGCGTGCTCGACCTGGGCGCCGGTGAGGACGACGCCGAAAAAGTGCGACGAGAGGCCGAGGGCTGTGTGGTAGAGGGCCTTGTTGTGGTTGAGGACGTTGAGCAGCCAGCCGCGACCGCCCTCGAGCAGGGCGGGCTTGTAGAAGGGGAAGAGGAAGGGGAAGACGTAGTCGAGGTAAATCATGATGAAGCTGAGGTTAGAGCCGTCGGCGAACGGGGGCGTTGGGTTGGCCTGGTCGGCCGAGATGGGCACGGAGGGGTGAGAGGCCGGGAGGGTGGTGAGTGTGGGAACCGATGCCGCAGCGGCCGGAGGACTGGAGTGGTTAGTCCATTCCGGGGTTAGTTGGCGCATCTGATCCGGCGAGCCGCCGGTCGCGATTTCGTGGATGGACGACTTGACGGAGCCCATGTGGAAGGGCGGGCTGGACGAGTCGCCGGGCGTGTCGTTCACCGTCGACGGGCTATTGGACTCGGTCGCCTTGGACGAGCCGCCATCGGCACTCAGCGCCGGGACGGGAGGCATGCCGTGATCGCCGTCCTCGGAACCGCCAATGAGGTTGCCGTCGACGTCGAGGCTCTGCAGGTACTTGCGCTCACGGCGGTTGTTGGCCTGGATCTTGACCTGCTTCTTGAGGTTGTCGGCCATCTCCTTCTGGCGCTCGCCGCCGTCCATCCAGTCGGGCTTGGTCTCGCTGTAGTAGCAGGTGATTTCGAGCTGGGCGCAGCCGTCGCAGACGGGACGGACCTCGTCGCACTTCTTGCGGCGCAGGCGACAGGTCCAGCAGCCCTCGGAGCTGCGGATCTTGGCGGACGAGGACATGCTGTTCTTGAAGCGCGTCCGCAGCCCCGAGAGGGACGACATGTGCGAGAGCTCCTTGTTCCGTGAAAACATGGTGAGAGAAAGAGAGAGATTTGGTGTCGCACGCGGGCGTCGATGAAAGTTAGGTGGGAGAAGTCATCCAGGGGGAGAGATGCGCGTCGTCGTCGTCGATGATCAAAGCTGTTTTATGCTGCGCCGAAAGATTGCAGACTGCCGCCTTTGTGGGTGCGACAACTTGCCGATCGAGACTGAGATGCGCCGATGAGAGGGACGTCGGCGAGTAAGTGAGTGAGTGAGTGAGTGCGCTCTCTGTCGTGTTGTGTGGTCTGAGTGCCTGTCGCGCCTCGGGAAGGGAAGGTCTGAGTGAGGAAAGGCATCCGCCGCTGGTCGGATTTGTAATCCACTAAAAAGCGGTGCCCGGCAGTGCGCCAGCATGCCATCAGCCTTGGTGGGGGGAACACAAAGGAAATAAGGTGAAAAAGGGAAGGGGATTGCGAGGAAGGGGCCTGGCAAAAGCCAGGGCGGGCCAAGGCTGGCCAACGCGACGCTGATTGGGCCGAGACACGCGGATGACACGGGATCCACTTTCCATGGTCGATCGCTTGAAGAACTCCATCCTGTCCATTGCCTTGCCCCTTATTCCTGTGATTCACGATAAACGAGACGGGCCATCCATGGCAATATGAGCTGCGACGTGATGCGGGAGGGCGAACATCAATCACCAGGGGGGCCAGATCATTTCTTTCCTTTTTATTTTAATTTTTTTATAGCTCATCTGGGATGCTGGTGTGGAGATCCAAAGGCAATCTTGTTATTTTGGAGGTTTTCACTCTACATGGAACACATGAATCAAGTGGTCTCTCGGCCACCTCACCTTTGCTGCCTCCTTAACACATGAATTAACTGCACTGTCCGACAGACGGTTGACTGAGAATTATCAGATGACACTCGGCACGTGCCAACTGACAGGCAGCTGAAGCCATTTGCTACCGCCCCTTCTAGTTTCAGCCCTAGCACTAAACGCGTCCACCCATGAGACCTCTGAGGCTCTGGCAACGACGGCCGTCATTCACGATGCCCCATCTCACAAAGTCACTTGGGGCGCCAATACCGGACGACCCTCGTCCATGGGCTTGCCGTACGAGCCGTCTCGCGGCATCGAAACCGCACGTCGCCGACGGACAATGTACGGACAAGTCGTATCGGCGCACGAGCCATGTCGTCAACTCAGCGAGAGCTATGGTACGAGCCAAGTCAAGATATGAGGCCAAACGCCGATAGACTCTAGCGTCCAGCTTACTTGCCGATCCCTGTTGATAATCATCAGCTCAGATTATAAACGACTGACGTGTAGACAAGTAACAAAGAGAACCGATTGAAGGGGAGACCTGGGTTAGTACCCGTGCATACACGTAAGGAGATGCTCCTGAATGGCTTGCAGTGGAGAAACTCGATACAGGAATGTTGTGTTGGACATCTTACGCGTCGGTGATATTGAGCTACATTTCGAAACACTCCTCCAAGGCATGTAACATGCAGGTTCTGATCTGAAATGGGTGGCTGGACTCCCGGCTCCTGTACAAACCATTGTGCATGAACCAAGTCGGCTTATTTTAGATGAGCCAGATCGAGAGCTGGCCAAGCCTCTTACCTGTGCTATCACAGGAGAGAGTAAAAATCACCATAGCGAGTAGCCGCGTTATTGTGCACTGGCTGTGCCTTTCAGCGGCACGAATAAGGGGGAAGACGTCCTTGAACGAGTGGGCGTTGCGTATCCTCAAATGGAGGAACTCAGAACACTATGATTGTCAGCATCCGGCAACTAGTGTGCTACCACAAGCATGATAGTATATGAATTGGGCCACGTTAAAGGTGACTTACTGAGTGCTTAGGCTTTTGTAAGACGTCATCAATGCCGTGGTTCCATCACAACTTTGAAAATGCAAGACATTGGATACAGTGAAAGTTGCAACTGGGGAACGCTGACTGTGATCCGAGGCTCCTTACATTATTTGTACTAATCCAATATTACACCCCAATAACAGCAAACTAATCAACTAAGAAATGGCCAGGTTGGTATCTGTACAAGAAGGACTCTTTTCGACACTTTCTCCACACTCCTGCTTCTTTACGCCTTCCGCTCTCTGGCTCTCCGTATCAGAGTCTACCCCTATCAGAGTAGTCTCAAATCCTGTAACTACAGATGGAATGAGTGTGTCCTTGTGAGGAAAGAAGTAGTTCAGTGTGTAATATATAAAGACGGAAAGAAAGAAGCCGTACAACCAGTTGAAGCTGAAGAGGTTGTTCAGACCGTCGTTGAGACTGACAGACGAAGAAACCTTCGACGCAAGACCTGGCAATAACGGTATAATTACGCCAAATGTCGCGATTGCTGCGCGCCAATTGGTGCCATATTTGCCGTAACGATAGATTCCCTGCGGCTCGTAGAGCGCAGGTACGTCGTAACGTCGCCCCTTGACCAGCCAGTAGTCCGCAAACAGAATACCAGCCATGGGCGCCATGAAGATTGAGTAGGCCGACATGAAGTTCATGAATGCCTTGCCTGATGCCACGATGATCCAAGGGCACAGCGCCCAACCCCCAAGGAAGGCGACAAACACAGTGCCTCGGCGGTTGTTGAACCACTTGGGCGCGAGCGTTGTAATATCGTTGGCAAAAGACACCGCGTTTGCACTGATGTTGACACTAATCTGCGCAAGAAGCCAGATAGAAGCACAGAAGAAGGCCGCAGCGCGGCCGCCCGGAGTATTCTGCCATGTAGCGATGATCTCGAGCGGTGTCCAGTAGGGGACGCCCCAGATCTCCTGCGCAGCCGCGGCCGAGACGACACCGAATAGAGCGACGATTGTCTTGAAGAATGGAATGACCGGTAGCTGCCAGAACTGAGCGCGGCTATCCTTGCTGAAGCGAGAGAAGTCGGGAATGTTCACGGCCAGGGTGCTGTACCCTCCAATCACACTGGTCTATGAGTAGTAGAGCCCTGTTAGTACTTGCTGCGGAGACAAGGAAACGATAGACCGGAGCAACGTACCAGGCTTGAAAGCCAGAGCCAAGCTCGTTCAGACCCATGGACTTGAGATGGCGCATGGAAGAAATCGCCTCCACCACCAGCTCGAACAGCAACCCATATAACCTTGAGGTGACCACCTTTAGTCATTTATTTGTAGGAAACGTGTGCAGAGCTATCTTACCATTCCTATCGCCATCGGAAGTGTTACGATGGTCTTGACCCAAAAGATATATTGCAGTTTGTGTGTGGGAATCAGAAGAAGCGGGAACTGAATGAGCCAAAACAGAAAGTACGATACCATCCCGGCTGTCGTTAAGCCTGCCGAAGCTGGCAGGTGGTTTGGAACGTTTTTAAAACTGGGCCAGATTGATGTGATGATCTAGGATTACCAAATTAGAACTGAGGATGGCCCTTGTAAGCTATGGACATGGCAGGCAAAAGACTCACAGCTGTGACGCACGTTGCGCCGTTGGCTGTCTGCACCCCGAACCAAAACATGGCCAGGACGCCTCTGGAGACCACGGCAAAGTAGCTGAACCAGTAGCCAAAGCTGGCTCGCGAGGCGATTGGAAACGCAATGTGAAGGTCTGCACCGATTGCTCCGTTGAGAACTGTTGGGATCGCATTGCAGAAGCCGGCAAGCAAGACGATGAGAATGGCATCCGTAGCAGTCAATCCTGAGGGCAATTCCTATCAGCGACGGACCAAGCAAGAGTTGTTTGCTTTGGCAAAAACTGACCTGCTGTGACTATGGCTGATCCAGTGCTCCAAGTTGAGATGGTGACCAGATCAGAAAACCAGTATGTGACGAAGGTGCTTTTTCCCCAGGTTCGTTTTTCAACCGGCACAGGATCCATATCGGAGTTTGTCCATACCTCAGGCGGCGCAATGCTACTAGGTTGCTTGGGTAGTTTCCAACTACTAGGTTGCGTGAGTCTGAGTCTAATCTTGTCTTTCACGGAGCGAGCTTGTGCTCGCACATCGAGTCCGTTGACCATATTGAGCCACCAACTCCTGGGACGGATCAAGGTAGTCAATGAGTTGGGGTAAATCCTGAGTTGCAACTGGGATGGTGGTGCTTGAAGTCACTAGCAAACAACGTGCATTGCGTATGGTGCCAAGCTGAAATGAATCCAAGGTCGTTGCCAAAATACGGACAGTGCCTTCAACAGTTAGTCCACGTCTCATATTCACTTGAGCATAGCAGGCTATATCATGATATGAGAATCTTAACCCAACAAGATGCGCATGCATCAGTCGGGTCTTATCTTCATTGTAGTACTAATGGCAGCTGTGGAGGTTGGGGTTACTGAATCGGCTTCAGCCAACGATATCGGGAGAAAGAGGGAGATAAGAGCATTTTCCCCGCAGCACATCGGATCTGCAAGTCGAGCGACTCGGGGTCCCGTCCTCGGCCGGGCCTCTCTCTATCGGTCGTACATTAGGACCTATCCGCAGTTCTTTGGCCACTGCAAATCACCAGCATGCATTACGCAGCGACAAGGTCTTATTTAAATGCGATCGGCTGATTGGCAGCTAGCTATTGCGACACGCTGCGTTGGATGCTCCTTTCCATCCGTTACTTCTTTTGACCGTCTCTGAAAGATAAGACATATGGCCATGGCAGCCTCTGATAAGGCCCAACTATTGCTTTCCCTTATCTCGTAGGCCCCAGCTCATCCTAGAGGGAGATGTCCACACAAACTCTCAACCACCCGGCCGAGGCTCTCCGAGTACTTCCCGAAGCTCGATCTAGCTTATCAAGTCTGTGAATATTGGCAAAAGGATGCTCCGTTTGAAATAACATGCCAGCGTTCGTGACGAGCCGAAGCAGACTGGCCTGCGCCGCATGTACACGCCGAAAGGTCAAGTGCAGCAAAACAGTACCGTGCACGAATTGCCTCAGAAGGTATTTCTGACGAGATATTGCCTTGGGATCACGGGCTGACTAGCATTTCCAGGGGAGAAGAGAACTCTTGTACTTCTGATGCACTCGACAATCCTCGTGTTGCTTCCCCGACATCAGCGAGACCGCCTTCTGTACAACCAAGTTACTCAGCGTCTCCTTCAACCTGCGTAGCTAGTGTCGATGAGGTTGCTTATCTTCGGCGCAAAGTATTGGAGCTCGAAAAAGAGGCACGCCGCAATATTCTGAACAGTCCGAGGCACGATGGCAGCCCGAGGGAGTATGCCAGCCCAGGCCCTCAAACCATTAGCGTCGGATCGGATAGTGTGCGGGACGACCCGAGGTTAGAGCAGCCGTCCTTACAAGCTGTTACAACCGACATTGGCCTCGAGCGGACTGAAGTTGATGACCGATCCATGAAAGATGCGGCTTCTATCCTCGAGTTCCTGGCTTGGGGTCGCAGGAAAGATCCCGAATACCACTCCATCATTTCACCCGAGGCAGCGACCATTTTTGGTCAAGGTTCAGAAGGGCCTGGCGTCCCCGAAAGCAACAAAGACGTGATGCTGGATTTTAACAAATGCTCTCAGTTGGGGTTACTTCAGCTTCTCTTGCCAGACTCACGGAAGGTGTGGGACCTGGTCAATTATCATAACGAAAGCCTCCTTTGGTATCATGGCTCATACTTCGCACCAACATTCCGATCACAGCTTGCCGCATTCTATGCGGAGCACAACGGTATAGTTGAAAGTGAGGGAGTCGATCTCCAGTGGGTTTCCCTCCTCTTCTCTGTCTTGACAGCAAGCCTGGTATGTGCACCATCACGACGAGCGCATGCCTGGGGCTTTCAGGACAGCGAACGGGAGACCCTTTCCAGGCGCTGGTTTGAAGCCATGATAATATGTTTAAACCGCGCGGATTACACGACGAACCTCAGTATTCTGTCATGCCAGGCCATCGCAACCGCTACAATATCCGCTCACCCTCTGGGTCATAGCAGCTCTCAGAGCATACATCTCGCTGCGGCAGTTCGCATCGCCCAATCACTTGGTCTTCATAGACTAAAGTACAATGTTGCGGGAAGCAATGTGGAAAAAGAAACGGGACGTCGTGTATGGTGTCAACTTTGCAGCCAAGATTGGTTCGGTATCCCTTTCTCGGAAAGCTACCTTGTTAGCCCTCTGTATTCGACCTCGGAGCCGCCAGCCAATTGCCATGATCATGACTTGATATCCCAGCCGGCAGATGTTCCGACAATAACGAGTTACTGCCGCTTTCTCCGTGAGATTGCTGCCATCATGCCACAGCTACAAGATGGCTTGATGACCAACAACACGGCGTACACCCGATACGAACAAGTCCTGACATGGGACGCCCGTCTCCGCACTCTCGCTACAGCAGAACGCCCGAGTTTTCTCACAAACACGCCAATAGAGAACGATTGGCCTGTTTGGATCTCGTGGGCCCGTCGTACTTTGGCTATCAGTTCCAGCCACAAAATAATCATGATTCACCGCTCGTTTTTGTCTGATAGTTTCACCAACCCTGCCTTTGCGTTTACCAGGTTGACCTGCATCGCAGCATCCAAGACGATAATCAAAGAGTACAAGTTTGTAGTCCAGGAGGATGGCCCTGTTCTTTGGGTACACCAAGCCTTCTCAGTCGCTGCTTCAATCATCCTTTTACTGGACGTACTGCATCGGGCACCGGGAGAGGTGGAACACGTTGAGCATCGCCAATTGGTCGAAAGTGTCATTAAGATCCTGGAGTCGTATCGCAACAGCACAATTGCCACCAGAGGAATCAAACTTCTTCGAGCCCTACTCGTGGAAGTTTCCAATGCGACGAGTACGAGAGCAACATCGTCGCAAAGACGAAAGCGCCCAAGAGAAGAAAACGACCTGTGTATAACAGTAGGAAAAAATATGGCGAACTTTGATGTACAGACATTCGTCAAGAGGTTCTGCGAAGGCAGCACGGCCAGTCAGTCTCGGGAGACTCGTGACAACTGTGCACTGCCCAGGCTCCGAGAGCTTTCTTCTGGAGTTCCAATATCGGATACTACCCCGATTTCCTACGGAGCCAGTCGTAGCCATGGTCCAGACATGATGGACCCGAGCCGAACCGATTCCACATTTTCATTCCCTTTTGGTGGATTAGACGGTGGGAATAACTTTGAAAACCTTTTGTATCTTGCAAACTATGATTGTTTACCTTAGAAATGGACCGAATTACATCGCTTTACATTCTTCACACCCTTGAATCTCTTGTAACAGTGTGTATCAAGCCATTTGTAATGATCAATTTATGCAGGATTTACAAGCTTCGGAAAAAGTTGCATCAAAGCCTCCTCGACACCCTTCGGGTCTTCCAATATCTGCTGATGCCCGCTCTTAACAGTCACTACCCAGCTTTCACCGCCCACCAGCTTACTGAGTTCCTCAGATCGGCCTACTGGGCTGATCACATCTTTATCTCCAACCACGAAGACTGTTGGACATCTGATGTTCCCATAATCAGGGTCCGTATGGTCCAAGTCAACCAAAGCTTCGCAGGTCTGAGCGTAGCCCTCGGGCTCAGAGGCAGCGACGGCCTTTCGCACACTTTCTCTTGCAGATGGCTCGGCAGATCGTTCCGGAGTATCCACATAGAAGTTTGACTGAGTTGCAATATCAGCCACAAAGTCTATGCCCGTCTTCCTTACGTTGCTTGCTAGTTCTAGCATGCGCTGCCTCACAGCAGGGATATGGCCAGCTGCTCGTCCTGGCCCAAGGAGTGCAAGACCAGCAACTACATCGGAATACTCGGCGGCGTAGTGGAGAGCAACAATCGCACCAAAAGAATGCCCGATGAAGGTAATCTTGTCCGAGTTTGACGTGCCAGCGCTATCTCGGATAGATGATATGAGGCTGTGTATGTCGGAAACAGTCCCAGCAACGGTCACCGGTTTCAAATTCTGGTTGAGGGGCGACTTGCCGAAGCCTGGGAAGTCAACAAGGACGGCGTTGAACGATTTCGGGATTGTCGAGAGGATCGAAATGAAGGTTTCGCTTGAGCCACCAAGACCATGGAGGCAAACTAGAAGGGGGCCGGAGGATGTTCCTGACTGGAGATAATGTATTGTATTTCCAGAAGGCGCTGTAAAATAGGTAGAGGTAGCCATCTCGCCTGTGTTGCTGGGTTCTGTGTACACACACTATGGCTACACGTAGGTGCGAAGAAAGTTATACTTCAGGATAACAGGCTTTGTTTAGGACAAGAGTTCGTCCGATGCCCAAAAGAAAATCGGGTTGTCTCTTTGTTGGGACCACTCTGTCGGGGATCATTAATGTCCATAGATGTGTTAGGGACTCGGCCCTCGGCCGAGGTGGATCCCTACAACAACGAACCCGAGCACCTCCCTAATCAGATGGAGACCCGTACCATGGTAGTCTGCCTTTTCGTTGTTTTATGCGCCTCTGAGACAACATAACTCATTTCGCATGATGCTAATAACTGGAAGCTCAGCATCGCCTGTGTTTTATATATATAAAAAAGTCACTACCTGTTTAAATAAGGCGAAAACTCCTGCTCTCGCTATCGAAGCATAAGCAACCTAACCTTGCCAATCGACTTGACTCTTGTTTGGAAAGTTGAGCCACGGACCAAATCAAGCATCTCCTTTAATTAACCAAACAAAATGGTCATTGTTTCAGTTGTTACGGAGGAAGCCACGGACTTTCGTCTTTCTGCGGCAAGAAGTCCCTGTGAGCTTCGTCACGCCGAGAAGTCGACCGGACGAGTGGTTCCGATCCAACACCCTAAGACTAGCATGGTGGATTTTGGCGCCGAAATTTACGGGATTGACTTGAACGATTTCAGCGACGCCGACTTTGAATTCATATCTAATGCCCTACATACGCACAAATTGCTCGTCTTCAAGGAACAACCCCAGATGCTTAAACCTCAGCAGCAATATCTGCTCACATCAAAGTATGGCTATTTCTTAAAAGAGATTTTGCTGATTTCTTCTGACACTTGACTAGCTTTGACCCCGACGAAACGACTGGGGGCTTTGCTCACGGGAGAGACCCCTTTCTGACGACTCATAACGGCATCGACATCTACGGCATCCCCAAACGTCCAGCGATTCCCGAGCAACCGCAAGTACATATACTTGGTCGTGGACCCCTACCTGAGAACCACTATGGTTTCCCACCCGGATTCGAGGTTCAGGGCATTGATCATGAGGAGTTCCATCTCCCACCACATATTCCAGCCGTAGATCGAGAGAATGGTGCCTCCCGTTTCTACCAGTGGCACTTCGATGGTGCCTTATACGCAATCCCTCCGCCCCGGGTAGGTTGCTTGTTGGCGGTCCGAACACCCAAGGGGCCCGATGTCACCGTGCGGTGGGACGATGGTAGCGGCACTGAGATGAAGATGGCACCCGGGTCAACGGCTATGGTGGCTGGCAGTAGGGCCTTGGCTCTCCTTGATGATGACATGCGGAAACTTGTCCTGAACAGCAGGATCGAATATGCACCGCATGCATTTTCATGGATGGCCGGAGCTCACAGTACGCGTCTGGGACATCTGCTGGAGACGGAAGGATTGGAGAAGCCGTTAGACCAACTGCCAAAGTGGGAGAGCAGCAAGGTCTGCGTGTATCCCATGGTGTGGACCAATCCTAAGACAGGCGAGAAGTCGTTGCAAGTTCACGGCCAGGGGGCTTTCAAGCTCTACCTGAAGACTGAGCCAAATGGTCTGGAGACAGTTATAGATGACCTGAAGGAGGTCAGAGCTTTCATGGATAGGTAAGTACAATGGTTATGGTGAAGAGCCACACAACTAAAGATGAACAGAATTATGAAACCGGTACTGCAACCGGAGAACATCTACGCCCATCCCCATCAAGAACAGGACGTGATTCTCTGGTACAACAGAGCCTTGTGGCATAGCATAGTAAGTTGTTCCCCGTAACTTCTGTTCCACGTTTGCTAAGCGTTCACCAGACGGAGTTCCCCAAGGCATATGGGCCCCGGGTGATGCACCAGTGCAATGTTGCCGCGAGTGATCATCCTTCAGGCTGAAGGCTTAAAGCATGTTCAGAGCGGTCCACGCTATTCGCGTTCTATTCGATCAACCCCAGGATGTAATCGACTGTATCTGAGCCAAGTTTCAAGACTCAAAAACTCAAATAGAGATGACATTCACGAAGAGCCACTATATGCATTGTTATTGATAGTTTTTGTTGGCCCACTAAGCTATTTGCCTTCGTCAACTAAAATCTATGTCGCGCCACTATCTAGCTCTGGCGTTGTTTTCAAATCAAACTGCGTGGCGTAATGGTGTCAAAGTCATTGCGAAGTTTCCGATTTGCTGTAGTGGCTCTGAATGTTGAGCAAGATCAAAAACGTAGCTATGTTGAAAGTTTCATACACGGGCGAGAGCTTGAATACATACAACCCAAGATCAAATTGAGGTTTCACTAAAGTTACATCCTGAGAAAACCCTAGAGCGTGTTCCTGCTGTAGTGTTACGATGCTCAGCTTCAATTGTCAACATCTTTATCATCCTTATCATCCTTGTCCATCCTTATTCAACCCTACAAATGTGGACGGTAAAGAGATAAGGAAGACCACTGAACACTGACCATTGACAACCGAGACAGAAAGATGGACTCTGCGAAGATAGAGCTCAAACGCCAAGACCCTTGCTAATGAGCTTTCCTGGATGAGGGGAGACGCTATCGGGCTCTTTGGACACTGGCGATCCGGTGTGGATGGGCCAATGCGTGAGGCCGGCTGTTCCAAAGATAAGCTCGGCCGAGGTTGCAGGGATCCACCAATCTGGCCTCCCGTCAAGCTTGCACTTACCCGAATGCATTAATGTCATCATCGCCTTCGAAGGGCGACTCGTTAATGTGCTGAAGCATCATCTTTTATCCTTCACCGCATCGAAGTGAAAGCATCATCAACCTACCTTCATCATCTCAAACGGTAGCTTGCTAAATATCTCATCCAACTACGAAAGAATTACAGTGGTCGGTGTGCTGTCAACATCATTCCAAGACCATGGCGGAGAACACTAAATACGTTGATCGGGAGATCCCCGAGGTACGTTGCGGTCATTTGTTCACGTTGCGACATCAGTAACTGAGATGGGCTGACATTCTTGTGATTCAGATTTCCCTTCAAGATTTTGAAACTCGAGTCGATGAGATTACTTCTCAGTTGTGTACCGCTGCTGAAAACGTTGGGTTCTTCGCCATAAGGGATCATGGCCTTACCGAGGCCGAAGTTGAGGACATGTTCTCATTGTCCGAGTCCTTTTTCCGATTATCGGACGAAACCAAGGCGAGCGTGCCGTGGACTCCTCAGAACGTTGGCTGGGAGAAGATGTCGCAGGTCAGGCCGTCCACCGGTGCCCCTGACACCAAGGAATCATATCAGCTTCAGTTTGGAGAAAACATGGAGGGGAAGTGGATGGGCGACGAATCCCTGCCTGGCTTCAAGAGCCGTTCTCTAGCTTTCATGCATCGTGTGCAGGGCATCTCTGAAAAGTTGATGCTGTGCTTGGCTCGTGGGCTTGGCTTTGAGGACAACTACTTCATTAAGTATCATGATACTAGCCGCCCCAACGCCCAGTCTGTCCTCCGTCTTATTCACTACTACGAGACTCCTCAAGTCAACGATGGCAAGACATATCACCGAGCTGGAGCTCATGCAGATTGGGGTTTTCTGACGCTCCTTTTTCAGCATACCGGCCAGTCTGGTTTGGAGATTTGCCCTGGCCGAGAGGTCGTGACTGAGCATGCCTTGGGCGACGAGTGGACCAAGGTCGAGTTCAAACCAGGTGTCATTGTGTGCAACATTGGGGACCTGCTAATGAGCTGGAGCGACGACCGGTTCAAGAGTACTTACCATCGGGTCAAGGCGCCATGCGAAGAAGGTGATTATTATGGGGAACGATTCAGTATTGCCTTCTTTAACCAGCCATGCAAGGATGCGATCATCCAAGGCCCGAAGAAGAAATATCCCGTGGTAACGGGGAGGAGTTCAACAGGAACGCGATGAACAGGATGTACACGGCTCTGCAAGCGAAGTTGGCTGCAAAGGAAGAAGCAGATGGTCAACAGATGAAGATTGGAATGCCGGCAATTAAATCTCAAGGATAGCGGCTAGTCTTCAAATCGAATTGCTTCGGTTTTCTGTTCAGTTTTGATGAATTGAGTCTCCTGTTTAGCCCAGGTCAATGGTGGCAGGTGTATTTTGGATGATGTAGTGTTGATTAGCTGTATTTGAACTTGCTCACTTCAAATGGATTCGTGAAGTTTTCAAGGCCGCTAAAGCTAGGTGCTAATTAACAATCAGCGATCATTATTCTTTCAATATTCTTTCATTCTAACATGTTTGGAAAACAAGTGCAATCTTCAAATTTGGGCCGAACTTACGTCGTTCGATCTTGGGAATGATTGGGATTGGGTATCTTGTTGCTATTGGTGATAATGCCTTATCAATACTACAACTAGTACTTCGGACGGTGCCGTGGGAAGTGAGAATATTGGCTGCAGTCATCGGCCGAGCGCAGCTGTCTCCGGCTGCTGAAAATGGCGAGCCTCGGCCGAGGCAGCCGGTACCCTGTAACTCATTTCAACGAATGTGATTGTTCACTTTGGCTCGAAGCAATGCACCAACCTCTAGGCGAGATATCAAACTTCTGTTGAGATAACAACAACTGCGGAAAGCATATTAACAAAGAGGGCTGTCTCATACCGCATCGAATCCATCAAACAGTAACTTACCACACTTCAACACAGCAAAACCTATCAGCCATTCGTACAACAACGCCTCACGAGCCATCATAGCTTACCCACGATGTCCGCTGACGTGCTAAGTGCTAAATCTAACTTTACAGTCACCCCGGTGGCGAAGACTGCTGAGGAAAAATATAACTTTGGTGCCATTATCGAAAATGTGAACCTTGAAAATATCAGTGGTAAGCTTTTCATATGTGCGGAATATCAGAACAAGGTTGATAATGTTCCTAGATTCGGACGTCCAAGCACTATCGGACGCTATCTGGACACACAAAGTCATTGTCGTCAAGGGGCAGAAGCACATACACCCAAGTAAGCAGTGGGAGCTTGTCACCCGTTTCGATCCCAAAGCGCCGTTGGTGCACTCGCATGGTGATCTGGCAACCTTCAATTCGAAGGGTGGCCTTTTGTCAGTAAGTTGTCTGTAGATGTCCCGATATGTTTCAATTGGCTGACGAGCTTGGAAAAAGAAAAGTCGCGATGTTGTCGCCATCCCAGGGGTCGAGAATGTTCGGGTCATCGGCAAAGGGTATCAAGGAGAAGATCATTATGGCATAATCAACAAAACCATCAAGAAGCCACTCTCGCACGATTGGCACGATGCGACACTGCCAAATGAAGAGTTTGAGGCTGGCCATACCCGCTTCCAGCGCTGGCACGTTGACGCGCCTCTTTATGCCCGGGATCCAGCCTGGTTTACAACGTTGCGTTGCGTGAAGCGCCCTACGTCACCCAAGGTTGTGATTCACTGGGATGATGGAAGCGGGTACACCATGAAGTCAGAGCCTGGTCTGACTGCTTTCTTCAGCTGTGTTCAGATGTACGACCTCATGACTGATGAAGAGAAACAAGTCGCGGATCATTCGTGGGTGGAGTATGCGCCCCATCCCTACAAGTGGATGGGTGAATGCAAAGGCAAAGCCAATGGTCTCGGCGTGGTTAGCCAAGGCAAGGAATTGAGCCTCGAGGAGCTGGGTTCCTATGAAGAGGCTTCTATCAAGAAGTATCCAATGGTTTGGGTCAATCCCGTCACCGGCGAGAAAGCCTTTATGGTGCATGGGATTTGCGCTAAGAAGATCTTCATGCGATCTAACGCGGATGATAAACCTGAAGTCATCGAGGATGTTGTTCAAATTCGGGATTGGCTCAGACCAATCCAAGAGCGCGTGCTCAAGCCTGAGTACATCATGTTGCCCAAAGTTGAGGAAGGGGACGTCATCATGTGGGCGAACTACCAGATGTTCCACACGGCTATCGACTATCCGGATAACCTCGGACCGAGAACAATGCACCAGGCAAACATTGGGGCCAGTTCTGGGCCTGTAGGTCCAGTACCTATTCCGGTTGCGGCCTAAGAAGAGTCTGTTATCGTGGGTCATTGGTAAGCCAGAAACACAATAGACCGAACGGTCGTTAAAATGAAACATGGTTCTATCGAGGCCGATGATGGAATACAAAGGCTTTTAACATAGTTGTCGTCCAATTGAGCTTGTGACCATTCTTTCACTTTCGTACTCATACTGATGCTTCGACCAAGATAAGCCTTGTCCCATTCAGAGAACAGCCATCACCTTGCCCATATGTATCCATGCCTTACCCCAGCATAAGACACATGCAAGCTAAGAAAATTGATGGCACTGAATCCACTGGGAGGGTGATGAAAACAAGCAACTGTGGCCACACCACAGAGGCCCATCACTTTCGGACGTTCGGAGAGGGAATACTTCTCAGAACCATCCCGTCGTTATCCAAGCACATACTGGTGTTTATACCACGTTGGAAAGGGTCATGCCGTGCATTTGCCGCAAAAGAAAAACCGCTACTGAAGACCAACGATTGTGCCCTATATCTTACAACAGCAGCCAGTGAGTGAACGCGACATGAAGATTGATGATGAGGCTTATCTCGGTTGTCAATTACCTAAGTTGTGCCTCGAAAAAGGTGACGATGTCGGTCCCCATCGTCAATAATCCCGTTTCATGTTAGAGCCGACTTAGGACAAGCACTAGTGAAGCGAGATTTCTAGCCCTGTGACCGCTTCAACAATATGCGGCCAGACCTGCATGGTTACATACAAAATGGCCGATCCTCGAACCAAGTGTGAACTTGTGATTCGCGAAACGGCCAAAACACGGCCCACCAGGCTAGGAAAAAGTAACGTTAAGCGGGTGAGCGGCACACCCGGTTGGGGCTTCCGGGTGGTTTGAGTGAGGAGAAGCTTCTCCGCGACTGCGGGGTTGCCGTGCATCGGGGGCCCTGCGGCTATTGAAAAGGCGAGATGTTGCCGCTCTGTTCTTGTGAGATGGGGAAGACGAGAATTTTGTAGTGACTCGAAATAGTTTTTTGGTGTTTGAGGGCGGCGCTGTGTTCATAGCCATGATCCCAGCTCTCAGTTGGCCTCTACCTTGTACAAGCACCCTGTAACAACTATAACAACTATAAATATTTGATGGCGACAACAAGACCACTGTTAACTCGCCGTTGTCAATATTTCCAAGATGGCTTCTACGCCCGACGCAAAGGGCTCGCTGGCTTTAGGCCGCGATGATATCGAATCACCTGCGGTAAAAGAGGTGGGCTATAAGAATAACATGACTCAAATGCGACAATACATCTAATCACCCTTTCCAGGATTTCTCAGCCTTCTCACACATCCCAATCGACGCAGACGCAGAGAAAGCCCTACTCTGGAAGCAAGACAAACGCATTATACCGCTATCGGCGGGCATCTACTTCCTTTGCTTCCTCGACCGCTCCAACATAGGCAACGCAAAGATTCTCAACTCATCTTCGGGCCACGATATGCAGACAGAGACCAACATGTCGAACTACGACTTTACCATTGCTCTCATGATCTTCCTCATCGCCTACGCGCTCTTCGAGGTCCCCTCCAATATCCTCCTCAAGAAGCTCCGTCCCTCACGCTGGCTCGCCTTTCTCATGTTCTCTTGGGGTGCCGTCACCATCGGTCTCGGTGGAGCCAAAAACTTTTCGACCGTCACAGGCGTACGTTTTCTGTTAGGCGTGTTCGAGGCCGGTTTATTTCCCGGGCTGGTGTACTATCTTACCTTCTGGTACAAGCACGACGAGAGAAGTGTGAGAGTCGCCATGATCTTGGCGAGCGCGACTTTGGCGGGCGCGTTCGGCGGTGCGATTGCGTATGGGATTGGGCACATGAACCAGGTGCACGGCATGTCGGGCTGGAGATGGTTGTTCATTCTTGAGGGAATCCCGTCTTGTCTATCCGCCTTCTTGGTGTGGTTCTTCTTGCCAGACTACCCCGAGAGCGCAGGGTGGCTGTCGGAGCGAGAAAAGGATGTTGCACTGCAAAGACTGTACCACGAAGGCAGCAAGAGCAGCCACAAGAGCATGTCGTGGGAAGAGGCCAAGGAGACGTTGACAGACTGGAGGTTGTACGGTCACTATGTCGTGTACTTTGCCATGTCGACACCGTTCTCGTCGCTGTCGCTCTTCATTCCGTCCATCACTTCTGGACTGGGCTTCGTAGACCTGCAAGCACAGCTTATGACTGTTCCTCCATATGCAGCAGCATACGGTGAGCCTTACCTCTTAGTCTCACATCTGCACAAGACCTCCCCCACCTTAGAAGTTGCTGACACCCTCCTAGTCGTGCAAATCCTCGTCGCCTGGTCTGCAGACCGCTTCAACGCGCGCGGCGCGCACTCAGCAGCCCTCGCCCTCATTGGCGGAATTGGCTTTGTCATCTCGGCGGTGCTCCCGCCTGACGCCTACAATGCGCGGTACGGGTGTCTCATCGTCGGGGCGTCGGGGGCCTTCGCATGCATTCCGCCGCTGCTAGGGTGGCTGACCTCCAATGTTTTCAGCACGGCAGCGACCGGGCTCGCTATTGCGCTCAACGTCAGCATCGGCGCCGGTGGCGGGCAAATCCCGGGAGTCTGGATCTACAAGGCCGATGAGAAGGCAAGGGGCTACCCGACGGGCCACTGGGTGAACGCGGCGCTGCTGTTCGTGGTTGTTGTTGGGTGTGCCGGGTTGAGAGTGTACTATGGAATGCAGAACCGTCAAATTTTGAGACGAGCGGCGGAGGATGGGACGGAGCCGAGGTTGTACAAGTTATGAGATGTTGGCGTTGTCTTAGTGACGCACATTCCTATCTCCTAGGCGCGGATGCATACATGTTTCTGAGCGATCTTTCGGCCAGTGACCTCAATCAACTATGTAATGATAGACTATCCGTCGACTTTGGTGAACGTTCAGCTGTCGCACAATGGACATCTTGGCTAGACGCAGCCTAGAAACCAGTATCCCCACAATCAGTGTGGATTCATAATGACACGGCGTTGTGGCAGAGTGGTCTAATGCGCAAGACTAGAAATCTTGTTCCTTCGGGAGCGTCTGTTCGAATCAGGCCAACGTCGACTAACGATCTTTTTGCACATATCTTGCATACAACCATTGAAGGAGCTAAGGGTGGTGGTGAGCCACATGAGCAGTTATGCAGCCTTAATTATGGATAGCGTGATGCACCCAAACCGGTCGCGTGTTACATGGTTGCTTTCGGAGGAAGCCGACCGTGATAAGATGGGGTTGTTTGTTATTAAAAGCCAATCTTGTCTTCCGGCCTCAAGGTGCCCAATTCCCCAATTCCTCTTCTGAGACAGACCCTCGTCAGAGCCTATTATTATTTGGGGCCATGACAAGCTAGGGGTCATCCTAGACATCAGTTGCCCAAGTTACTAGGAACAACCGAGACGAGGCGCTGGAGCCATATCCATATCTAGTGGGATACCGAGCGAGGATAAACCCCCTTGCAGATTTTCGTCGACTCGACACCGTCGCCTGAAGCACGTCAGCCATCTGTCATTTTCCCGCTCTTTTGAAACGTCGAACAATGTTGTATTGAATGTGAAGAACCGCGGCTTGGTTGTGGCTGGTTGCTCTTGAGTGAGATTCATCAACGAGCGCGTGCAAGACTTGACGATTGGAGGGAAACGGCTCCCCCAAATCATAACCGCGACAGCTGAAAAGCTCGTTGAAGCCACAAGACGTCCACGGGCGACGCCAAACAAACGACACCATGCCCGCCTTCACAGTCCTCAACGGCAGCATTAAGACTCGGCGCGCCCGTGTCGTTGTCATCGCCCTCCTCATCATTGTGTTCCTCCTTTTTCTCAGCAACTCACGGCTCGGCAGCGGCGGTGGTTACCTGGATTCGGCGGACGCGGGACAGCCACAAGCCCCGGGTAGTGGGAATTCCGCTGCCGGTGGTGATGCCGTACAGCTCCCGCCGCCACATGGGAACCAAGACAAGGACAAGGAGCTGCCGGTTGCTCACGGCGAGCCCGACCCTGCGGGCGAAAAACTGAAGGCAGACGCTGACGGCGAGGACTCTTACCGCAACAAAGATGAGGAGTTGGTCAAGCAGCCGCCTACGGATGCCGGCAGGCCCGGCAACCCGAAGCCCAGCGATTCCGCGACGATGCCGTTGCCGCCGACACCGCCCGCAGACTGCGAGTCCTTTGAAAACTGGATGCGCAAGCGGCCCGGGCCGGCGTCTGAAGGCAAGCGCCAGTTCCCGCTCAATCGGCCCCGGCCGGAATGCCGCACCTTCCGCCTGCCTGCCATGGAGAATCTCATCACGCGCATGAAGGGTGTTATCAAGGACCCGGATCTGTACCGGCTGTTTGAGAATGCGTATCCGATGACACTGGATAGCATGGTGAAATGGCGCGGCTTCGCGAACGAGACGGACAAGCAGACGGGCGAGACGAGGATCACTGACCAGGAGCTCACGTATGTCATCACTGGCGACATCGACGCCTTGTGGTTGAGAGACAGCGCCGAGCAGATCAGCCCTTACCTGCCTCTCCTCGAAGCATCCGAGGACAAGGACTCCCTCGCGAGTCTCTGGCGGGGCCTCATCAACGCGCATTCCCGCTACATCATCATCTCGCCATACTGCCACAGCTTCCAACCGCCACCAGAGAGTGGCATCCCGCCCACCCACAACGGCGCCTATGTGCACAACCACCCGATGCCGGCCTACGACCCCGAGAAGGTTTTCGACTGCAAGTGGGAACTAGACTCCCTCGCCTCATTCCTGAAGATGTCCGTCTCATACGCCGAGAAGACGGGCGACTGGAAATTCTTCTCCAAGTATAACTGGGTCGACGCCGTAGAGGCTGCTGTTAACGCCGCGGGTGCCATGCGTCTGGGGACCTACTCCACCGAGGGCAAGGTCGAGAAGTCGGCCTGGACGTTCACTGGCTGGACGAACCGCGGTAGCGAGACGCTGACCAACGACGGCCTCGGCAACCCGATTAAGGAGAACGGCATGATCCGCACGGCCTTCCGACCTTCGGATGACGCGTGCATCTTTCAGTTCCTCGTGCCGGCCAATATGATGTGGGCCAAGTACCTCGAGTCCGCATCCGAAATCATGGCCAAGCTCGACGGCGAGAAGGCGCGGAAGCTGACGGAGGAGATGCGCGCGCAGGCGTTTGGTATCCGCCACGGCATCGAGAAGGACGCCATCGTGCACCGGCCCGGGTTTGGCGACATTTTTGCCTACGAGGTTGACGGGTATGGCGGCGCCAACTTGATGGACGATGCCAATGTGCCCTCGTTGCTGGCGATGCCATTGTGGAACTTTACACAGTCTAACTTCAAGCTCCCTGACCCGCCCAAGGGCGAGAAGCAGCGCGACTACGCCGAGGTGTACCGCAACACGCGCAAGTACGTCCTCAGCGACTCCAACTCGTACTTCATGAAGGGCCCCGTCATCTCGGCCGTTGGCGGGCCGCACGTGGGGCCCGGCAAGGCGTGGCCGATGGCGGCGGTGATCGCGGCCATCACGGCGTACGATCCCATCTCAGGGATCAAGGATGTCGAAAAGGAGGTCGAGGAGCAGCTGCGGATGGTGCTGGATTCGACAGCGGGCACGGGGGTCTTGCACGAGAGTGTCAACAGCTGGAACGAGAATGATTGGACTCGGGCGTGGTTTGGTTGGGCCAACGGGCTGTTTGGGGAACTACTCTTGAGAGTCGAGGACGAGGAGAAGAAGAAGAAGGGCGGCGATGGTGGACTTTTGGGGAAGAGTTGGCAGGATTCGCCGGCGTCCAACAAGGCGCCGTCAACCACGGTGAATTCGCGGTAGATATGACCATTTTACCGGCATAATTGTTTATAGGTGCATTTTCAGGTGAATTGGTTTGACCATGCTAGAGTGCCTGTGACTAGTTGCGAGCGCGATGCATCCTAACTCGGCATACAATGCTGCGCACTGATAGATCGTGATACCGCTGTTCTGCATGCCACGAGTCATCCTCGTGCCGGAGGAAAGTTGCAAAAATGCAAAAAAATCGACGTTGGCCTGATTCGAACAGACGCTCCCGAAGGAACAAGATTTCTAGTCTTGCGCATTAGACCACTCTGCCACAACGCCGGTTGATGATTGGGGAAATAGTCCACACTATATATATACTCAACTCAACCCTTTTCTCCGTTTGTTGAGTCAACTTCCAGATTCTATGCTGTCGATTTTCTCCAGTGATACAGGACTAGTCTCAAGGACTGCCTTTCTCGACTCAAGGCTTTCCTCCTCTTTTGTGTTTCTCCTATATCTCGGGCTCCAAAGTTGCCCAGAGAATGTCTGGGCAGCACATCGCTGATCGCTTGTTTACACCGAACAGTAGAAGATACCAATCGGCTTTACTAAGGGATGGCTCGAAAAGATGGGCTTAAATCAATTGATCGCACAACACTTGTCTGTGATTTTGCTCCTTCATGATGATAATGCACTACCCCGTCAGACTGTTGTAACTATTTATCTCTGTCCGTTTACATATATCTCCCAGATAGGTGACCAAGTGAGCCCACCCCGCCCATCCCGCCCATCCCAGCAGACGTCCAATCCTGCTCACCCGGATTCATATCCGTCCAAGGCTGCTGGCCTCCCGCCATGGGATCATAATACGCTGACTGGTCCCAGCCCATGTTCGCGTTCCATCCGGGCATCTGCAACGACGCCAAAAAGTTCTCCTGCATTTCAATCTGGTCTACCCCCTCATAGCCCCTCCAACCTGGGTCTCCGGCTCTCTCACCTCCGTCTGCGCCGCCACCATCTTTGACCACCTCTCCTGCCTCAGCTGTGCAATCTTCACCTTGGTCGCGCCGAGACTCCAGATGTTTCCGCGCCATTCGCCCTCGTCGATCGACATCTCCTGGAATGCGGCGTCGATGGCCTGCAGCTGTGCGATGACCTTGTTGAGGTAGTCGCCAACATCGAGCATCAGATCCGGCTGTGTCGAAAGCTGCGCCCTCAGCGCTGCGAGGACTTGCGGCAGGTTCTTATCCGGAAGCGTTGTCTCCCAAGGCGAGTTCCCCTTCGATGCGGCGGGTGGGCTCGACGAAGATGCGGGCGTGTTGGGGCTGATGGCCGCCTCTATGGCCGCTAGGGCCACATTGGGGTTATCTTGGGATGGGTCAACAGGATCCGCTTGTAAGATTGAAGGGTGAGTTCCTCTGGACGCCAGCCATGCCCATCGGCTCAGCATCATGACGGCGTAGACCATGTGAGACGCGGTCGAAAGGGTCATGCCGCAGAAAGAATCCTTAGGCAGAGCAAGCCAGGTGTCGAACCATGCCTTCAGGGCAGCGTTGGACTGATAAAATGCATCTAAAGCGCTAGTCGAGCCCGCACTGAAGGAGTCTAGAGACTTTGACAGCGATGCAAGCAGCTCAGCATCGATATTGGGGGGTTCGTGGATGCGAAGGCGAGCGGTGGCCATTTGTATTTTGAGATGAGCTTTGACTTATTAGTCCAGTAGGCCTGGGTATTGAAGTTGGACTTACGATTATGCCGTAAGCTTGGAGGCATTCCGGCCTGGAGCTTGCTGAATTCAGCTGTGAAGCCAAACATGTAAGCCGAGGCGGGCGCTCGACCGACGCTACCAAACTCTTCGTCGCAGTAGTCTTTGGACCTTAGATCCGCAACCCTCTCGCAGAGCCGTTGGATTTTGACAATGTAGATAAGGTACATGTCTGACTCGTATTCCCGGTTTTCTTGGAGTTCTCTTAGGCACTGCTGCATGTACCCCGAATACCTCAATGGGTCAATTTGGTGGACGTCCATGGCGATGCTATAGGTGTTAGGTGCAACTTGACCAAGACTCGAGGGGTTCAGTGGCTTACGAAGAGCTTAGATACCATACAGCCAGCAACACTCGCCTCTCCTCGTTCGTCCGTTCCCTCATCTCCCAAGGACGCATAACCAATAGCCTAGTCCGCTCGGGCAGACTAGGGCTCCTTTTCAGACCCAACTCACCTACGAGACATGCAGCCAGAGACACAAGCTGATTGAGCTGTGCGTGAATGATACAGTGGTGATGAAACCAGGCCATCATTACCACCAAGCCAAGAAGAAGGTCAAAGGATCTTTCGGATCTTAGCAGCATGTAGTCGGCAACGTGGTTCAATAGGCGGTACATCTGACCGCGCATCGACTTCATACTCCGGAACGACGACACCATCCGGATGGCAGCCATGAGGAAGGGTCTTGTGGCGCCGAGAGTGGCGGCTGACACACCATCCGGTACCAGCACAAACGGGAACCGTGGTGCCATCTCCTTACGGTAGACCTTTAGCAGGTTCTCGTCTGTATCGGGGGGTGGCGGAGCTTCGCCCGGCTCGGGTCTGCATATGCATGTCGGCGGGACGAACGTGTTGTAGGACTCAGGGATCTTGATAGGTCCAACTCCGGCTAGATCTGCCGTGCTACATGAGGAACCTCGGGTCTGCTCGTTAAGATCTGGTCCCGCGTGGCCAGGCGGTAGTGTGAAGGAGTGATTGGGGACAAAGGGTGTTTCTCTTATAGACGAGCCTAGCTGAGAGGGCTCAGTGTAAGGCGATAGGGCAGAGGTGCTACTAGATACCCGCAGTGAGTTGACAAGGCGGTTTAGACGATCTTCTAGCTGAGTTGTTTTCCTGCAGAAGCAGATGTTAGCGGGGTGCGAACGTCACCTCTCGAAAACTAGATCGGGCAGGTGTCCCTGGTCAACGCTTGTATCCCAAGTCTAGTCACCAGGTGCAGGAGTTGGAATTTGTTGGAAACGACCTGTGAATCTTGGCTACCTAGTCAGTTGGTTCGAAGGAGACAGTGTACTTACGAAGGTCGGCTCTGTCTTTTCTTCCTCGGTTTGTGTACCTGCTCCGTACACTTCTTGTACAGACGCTCACATCTAGCGGCCCAAAGGGCTTTCGAGTTAGACGACTTCCATAAACGGCAAAGTGTGATGAATAGTCCATGGTGTCGTGTTCACCCCGTTGGCGGAAACGGCATTGCCGGGTAGCGGAAGGGGATGCAGCCGACAACGATTCACATCCACCCGGATCATCGGGTGCGGACATCTGATTGAATCTCCGTCCCTTGATCGTGAAAAGCAACTATGGAGGCTTGCATATAATACATAAGGGTGTGGCTTTCAACATACCTGTCACACTTCGACCCCGGTGTCTCATTTGATCGGAGACACTTGGCCTTCGCCGACGCGCACTGGGCGCAAGCGGCGCCCCATTTCGCAACGGACGGCGCCCGAGGCCGTCCGGGTTCAGGGCTTTCTGTCGACCGGGACGGCGATGAATCAGTAGACACCATTCTCTTTACTCTCGAGTCCGCCGGTGCTCCAGCGATGGAGGAGGGTGTTATCAGAAGGGAACCTTGGGGATGGACTTGTCGGCGTCTCCGGTATTGTAATTGCTCCTCACAGTGTGTACGGTGGGAGGAAGGCGGCGATTCGGAGGTTTATCAAAGAAGAGGCAGTCCGCCGGGGTGGAAATGGAAAAAAGGAATGCCCTCGCGGGTCATCAGGCTGGTGCTGATATCTCCAACCCACTGTATCATCGTCCAATGTTAGCGACCGGAGTTTTCGCCGCCGCGCAAAAGTCCGATCCCTAAGCTGTAGGGCTGTGCAGAGCGGCGGGGTCACCCCGACCCTTTGGCATTAGCTAGAGTCCGAATGCGGTAATTCTGCTCCAGTGTACGCCACACCGGCGTACTGGTGCAGGAGTCGGGGTTTTCGATAAAGTCCGGTCTGGGAGCCAAGCTTTCTCATTTGCTTGTAGAAAATACAGTTGAAACGGGTTGATTTAGGTACGCTGCCGGGCATGATGTGGAGAATGATGCGTCAAGGGGCTCAGACTGCTTTTGATGATGAGAGCTCTGACCGCAGTTGCTGTAGTGTAGGAACGCAGACGCCCGGACTGAGTGGCCTCTGAAGAAGAAGCTCTGGCGAGGAGGTCGTCATAACATCCCACCGGCGGCTGGGCGAGCTTTTGCTGTTGTTTCGACCCGGTGAATCGTCCTACCAAACGCTAAGATGTCACTATACACTCAATCTCTTAGTTCGTCGCTAACTAGGCAAACGTGAAGGCGACCAGTTGCAAGGTTGATTGGTTTGTTTCATCTTATTACATTTGTATAACTGTCAAGGAGTATGATCCAAATCTAGTGTCTCTACCAAATCAACGTTCTCAGTCAAAACAGTTCAACGATGCTTCCTGGCCAGTCCCTTTTCTTCATCCCTACCCCTTTCCCTCCCCCGTCCCAGCGCAGCAAGCCTCTTCCTCACACCCTTTTTCTCGTTGGCAGTCATGCTCGCCACAGGCTGCGAGATGGACGACCGCCTCTGTCTGCTCAGCTGCGTCGACGCGCCGAGCGACGAGGGCGGTGACTTGCTGTGGTTCTTGGCGGACAGCTTCTCCATCTTCCTGACGGCGAAGAAGTTGGACACTCTGCGCCAGAGTTGCTTCGACTTCCCTTGGGTGAAGAATTCGTATATTGGCAGGGAGAGGGCGATGAGAAAGAGGGTTGCGACTAGACTTAGGACTATTGCTACGAGTCAGACTTTGGTTTGACGTGTGGTGGGGTGAATTGACCTACAGCATGAGAGGAGGAGGGTTCCGGCCGTGGTTGGCTGAGCCAGTCCGACAATGTCAATCTGGAAGATTCCTGCAGGAGCTTGTTAGTTCCTCGAGTTTCACAAAACCCTTTGGAGTTTTGTATTGCATACCAGTGGCCCAAGATATGGGCGCCTGTGGATGCACTGTTAGTGAAGCCCTACCTCGACGATGGGTGAGCACCTACAAACACGACAGTCGCTCCAGTGAAGATGAAGAGAATCTTGGACTGCTCGCTTGCAGACAGTGCCTCTTCGATGTTGGCCTCTCGCTGTCTCAAGTCCAACAAGGTGGTAATCTACGTCCTCATCGTCAGCCCGCATCTCCAAACATCATCAACACTTTTAACCCCTGATGCACCACCACACTGCGGAAAGGAGGGAAGGGCAACCCACCGAGTCTCGAACCCGATTCGCGTCCTCCTCCAATCTCTTGAAAAAGTCTAACGTGGGGTGCTTGTACGCCTTGACAGCGCTCTGCGTCTCCAGCCCCGTGAGCCTGCGGCCCGCCTCGGCCTCGCGGAACCCGTCAAACACGCGCTCCTGGGACCGCAACACTCGCTTAATCATGTTAATCTCCTCGCGGACGTCGTCAATCTCCTGCAGCAGCTCAATCTCCGCGCGGAGGTCGTCGAGCACCGTCTTGGAGGTGCCCATCTTGCTGATGGACGCCTTAAAGTTGGCGTAGCGCTTCATCACCTCGTTGGACTGTTTGCCACGCGTGCGTCAGCTTTCATCTGCCTCGAACCGACCTCTTTTGCAGCCTTTGTTTCGGGTTGCACATAGAAGACTGGAGGAAGGACACTTACGACATTGGCAATAGACGCCGCGAATACGTTGCAATAACTCCGCGGCCCCTCGAACTGGAAATGAAACTCCTCCTCGCTGTACCCCACCGCGCTCTCGAGGATGCTCTCAACGATGCGCATCATGTCCGTGTCGTCGGACCGGATGTCCCTCATGCCAAGCACGCGGTGTTTGATGCTGTTCAAGAGCGTCTTGGCGTTCTTGTTGTCCCACCGGTCAGGGAACGCGCTAATGATCGTGTCTATATCTCGGGGTTAGCCCTCCACCAAGGTTCTAATATCCCCGAGTCCCCGAGTCCCCGCGCGGAGGAAACTGAAAGAAGCGGGATCGGGATAACAAGGACGGGGAAGCGACTCACTGTCATCAATCTTCCAGATCCAAAGCTGCGCCACGACCAAGATCTGTTTCCTCCTCTCTCGATCCATGCGCCTCTTCTCCCGCGAGATCTTGGCTTGCACACTACTCGCCTGGTCCTGCCGCCCGGCCATCCGTCCCAGCTCCGCCTTGGTCCCGTCCGTCTTCTTCTGCTTCGAGCTGCTCTGCCTTGACAGCGTCCTCTGCACATGCCTGTCGAACGGGTTCGGCTGCTGCGTCGTGGTCGTCTGGCTCCGGTTCGCCCCATCCTCGGTCAGGGGTTGCTGGCCAGCCACGGACTCCGTCGCGTCCGCGTCGATCTTGGCGTTTCCTGCGGCCCCCGAAGCTCCCGCGAGGCGATTCTCTACGCGGCGGAGGTATCGGAATAGAACCTGGCTTTCGTTGCGCAGTGCTAGGTCCGTGGCGCTGAGGGATTCGTGATACGATTGGTCGAGCGACCGAGGGACGTGAAGCTCCGACTTTGTGAAGCTCGCACGCAGTTTGGCCATCGCGTCAAAGTGCGCGAGGTGCGGGAAGAGATAATGCTGCAGGTTCGTCGGCATCGCGCTGAGCGGATGTCGTTTCTGCGTCCCCGGTGGCGGTCCTCTCCTATCATTCCCCCCTCCGACCCCCACCATCTCAAGCGGGCGGAACATCTTCGTCTCGTCTCCAAGCTGCACGTCTTGTAGATTCTGCTTCGTGCCCTCGTCAATGTCAACATCGATAACGGGCAACACAACCGAGAACATTTGCGACTTGGGCGGCGCGGGCGTGCTCGGCCCTCCTCCAGACGGCATCCCGGGTCCGAAGCTCGCCTCAGGCGCACCACCGCCAGTACTACCGTCCGCAGCCGCCGCCGCCTCCATCTTGAAATGCGGCTTCCGATACGGCGCGTTGATCCGAATTTCGTGGAACGTCTCCTCGATGAACGCAATGATCCGGTCGCACTCGGCACCCGTCTTGTGATCCATCGCGCAGATTCGTTGCACGAGGTCCATCACCCACGCCACGTTGTTCGCGGGGAGGTGGAACCACCTCTTGACAGGCTTCTCGTCCTTGTTCCGCGATGTGTAGGAGCTCTTGCGACGCTGCTGGCTGACGTGCTTCCGCATCTCCTTCATGTTCAAACCTGTAGTCGGGTTCCCCCCCTTCCCGTTCGGAGGATGCAGCAACGGCGAGTGAGGGGGCGAGTGCGTAGGCGTGCGAACAGGCGACAGCCCCGGGCTCCTCACCGGGCTCGTCGCCCTCGAATGTGCCCTCGACCGCTCGGGACTCCTCGTCGGACTGCCCACGGGACTCTTCACCGGACTCTCCGCCGCAGGGAGCATCGGCGGCCGCGGGCTAAGTTTGATCTCCGTCTCCGGGTCGTACAGCATGTCCCACATGTTCAGACTCTCGAAGCTGCACTCGCTCGTCGGACACCAGAACAGCCCCTGGAAGTGGCGGCACGCGTCGATCTCGGCCTCCTGGTTCGGCTTCGACGGCGGACGCGCCCTTTTGGGACGCAGGTTCCAAGCGACGTTCTGCTTCGGCACAACCTGCGGCGAGTTGAACAGGTCCGCGATGGAGTTGCGGTTCAGCAGCTTCGCGAGGCTCTGCGGCGTCTCGCCCGTCGACGAGATGACTGTCGGATCGGCGCCGGCCTCCAACAGGTCGCGGACCATAATCTTGTTCTCGTTTTTTACGGCATGGTGCAGCGGTGTGCAGTCTTCTGTATCCCTGATGTTGACGTCGGCGTCTGCAGAGAGAAGTGAGGCCACGACGGCCTCGTGTTCGAACATCACGCCCGCATGCAACGGCGTCTGGTCGTCTTTATCCTGAAGATCCACATCTGCGCCGGCGGCGATCAAGATTCTAACGACCCCGTCATGGCCCTCAGACGCAGCTTGGTGGAGAGGTGTGCAGTATTCATTGCTCATGGTGTCGACGTCCGCTCCCTGCTCCACCAGCATCCTCACGATGGCTTCCCGTCCATGCCGCGCAGCAACGCTCAGTGGCGTAAAATCATTCGCATTCTGCGCCTCAATGGACACCAACCCCGTCGCAAGGAGCATCATCACCACGCCCTCGTGCCCGCCCCTTGCGGCGTCGTGGAGCGGCGTATCTCCCACCGCGTCCTTCGTCGCCGGGTTCGCGCCGGAATCAAGCAGCACACGGATGGCATCCTCGCAGCCCCTCCTGCTGGCAATGTGCAAACTCGTTCCCAGATCCTGGTTCGGCGAATCGACGACGGCCCCATTCTCGATCAACACGCTCACGATCCTCGCAAACCCGCTGCGACTCGCCTCGTGCAGCGGCGTCTCTCGGAAGCTCTCCTCCGCTCTCACGTCGGCGCCGCGAGCGAGAAGGGTCTTGACCACGTCCTCATGGCCGTTGCGCGCGGCGAGGTGGAGCGGGGTGCACTTGTCTGCGTCCTGGACGTTGATGTCGCATTCCGGGGTCGTCTCAAGGATGGCGTTGACGATGGCGTTGCGGCCTAGGCGGGCTGCGTGGTGCAGGGCTGTGCGCTGGTCTTCATCGCGGGAGCGGAGGACGGAGGGGAGGGAGGCGATGAGCTGGCGGACGTGGGCTTCTGCAGTTGCCGGATCGGGGTGCCTGTTGCGATGACCTCGATGAGTTGGACGTATGCTGTTGCGTGTTAGCGGCGTCTGGCGATGGTGAGACTGAGACTCGCCTTCTCTCATGGGGGAATCCATGGTTGATTCAGACTAGAGCGGCGGTTCGAGAATGCCTGGTAAGAACAATAACATGGGCACGGAAACAAAAAGACAATAGAGTCGAGCCAAATCCTCTTCAACAATGAGATTGAGTCCCGAGTGGCGCACCTCTATATGAGATGAACCGACACGAATGATTCATGTTCCTCTCTGGTGACAATCATCATGAACGGCTGACACTTACACGAGCGAGAATTACGGGCCTCAGTCGGTCCACCACCACAGCTACTAAGTCGCTGCCAAACTCTTACAGCATAGCATGTCTCAGAAATTCGACAAGTCTAATCCCGGGGCCTCAGTCCCCGGAATATCCCATTTCGAGATTGAGTGGCCGCGCAAGTCATTCAGCACAATCAGCAAGCCATCCAGGGCATTCACGTGGAATATCTCTGTTGTTAAGGTCACATTGCAACCACTACGAATGACCTAGTGAGCCCTTTTAACGTTTCTTCGTCCAACCATTACGCATGACCATTTTTTCTCCTCCGCCTCCGCCGGTGTCTCCACATTACGCCACCATCTCTTTACCGACCGACGCGGATAACTCCCGCCGCTACCAGCTTCTGCACCTTGGCTCTGATGTCGGTGTTCTTCATGTGCTCCGTCAGCGCCGCAGGGTCCGACTGCGCTTGCTGGAGAATCGACTGCATGATGGGGTCGTTCATGATGCTCATGATCTACAGGGTTTGTTAGCAAACTAAGCTGCTGACGGAAGGAACCGGACGTAGCGCCGGTCTCATTTTACTCACCTCGGGGTCGCGGGCCAACCGCTCTCTGGTCTGGTCCTCCGTCTCGTTCTCCCGCGCCGAGTACATTGCGTTGAACGCCTTCTGCTGCTGCTGCTCAATCTCGCGCGCGTTGGCGCCCTTGTGGTGATCCTGGTCGACCTTGGCCGCCTCGGTGCAGGCGTCGACCGCCTTGGAGTACTCGCGCATGCCGTGGAAGGCCTGCGCCTTGCGGATGTAGGCGCGAATAAAGGTTGGGTCCTTCTTGATGGCCGTGTTGCAATCCTCGACGGCACTGGGGAACTCGAGCAGCTTGATGAACGCCGCCGCGCGGTTGCTGTAGCCTCTAGGGTCGTCGGGCGCGCGCTTGATCATCTCGCTGTACGCCGCGACAGCGCCGGGCCAGTCGCTCTCCTTGAACTTCTTGTTACCTTCCTCGCGAGCCTCCTCGGCCTTGGCGGGGTCGAGATAGGCAAGGCGGGCCTGCTCGATCTTGTTGCGCTCGGCGGCGCGCAGCTTGGCGTTGACGTCGGGGGTGCGGTGCTCCGTCAGAGACTTCTTGTAGTTCTCGATGGCAAGCTCGAGGTTGCCCTGCTTCTCGTAGGCGGAACCGATACGAGCGTAAGACTTGGCGATCAGCTTGAAGTCGGCGTAGATCTCGCGGCCCTCCTCGACGGCCTTCGTGCAGGCCTCGATGGCCTTTTCGTAGTCGCCCTTCTCGAAGTACGCGGCACCGAGGTTGTTGAGGTAAGTGATGTCCTTGTACAGCTCCCAGGCCTTGCTGTAGTGTGCGATGGCCTCGTCAAAGTTGCGCTTCTTGTAGTTCTCGGTACCGAGCGCCTTCTCCTTGTCGGCCTCCTCCTTGGCCTTCTTCTTCTCCAGGGCCTCCTCGTCGAGTTCTTCGGGCTCGGGCGCGGGCTCGGGGGTGGGGGCCTTCTTGGGAGCAGGCTTCGACTCGGGAGGGGGGGGCGCATCGCGCATCTCGGCGTCCTGGGGAATGTCGTCGGGCATGCCCATCTGCATGTCAACGCCCATCAAGACACCGAGGACCTGCAGCATGCGGGGATCGGTGAACAGATCGGGCGAGCCCTTGGGGTTCTCCTTCATCTGCTGGAGTCTGGCCATGAAGGTGGGGTCTGCGAGGAACCCAGCCGTCTTGGGGTTCGCGGCGAGCTTCTGGAGGAGTTGAGGGTCATTGAACATGTTGCCGAGGCCACCAGTCGGGTCGCCGGCGTCTGCAGTCAGTTAGCATCTCTATACTCAGTTATAGGTGGGGATCGTTGAGCGTACCACCACCAGCCTCCGCCTTCATCGCCTTCTGGGTCGCAGCGAGGTCCTTCTTCAAACCGGCATTGTTGGGGTCAACCTTCAATCCCTCCTCGTAAGCGTCGTTCGCGGCGAGGAGGTCACCCAGGCCGTAGTGCGCTGTGCCCAGGCGTCCCCAGCCCTTGGGCCAGTCGGGCTTGATCTCGGTCGTCTTCTTGGCGTCTTCCAGAGCGTGTTGCCAGTCCTTCTTTGATGCGTAAGCGGCAGAACGGTTGCTGTAAAGGATGTGGTTGTCGGGCTGGAGCTTGATCGCCTCGGTGAATTTGGCGCTGCAGGACGTCAGTGACTGGACTGTAGAGCCGTGGGGTGAGCTATAAGGGAGAAAGGAACTTACACAGCCTCGTCAAAGTTCTTCTCGGCAATGGCCTTGTTGCCGAGAGCCTTAAGCTCGTCTGCGGAAGCCATGGCGATTTGGGGGTTATGTATGCGGAGTTGCTTATGTACGGCTTGTAGGAAACTCGAATTAGACGTCGGAATGCAAGTGTAGAGAGTTGGGGGGTATCTGGGTTGGTTGTGGAATAATTGGAGAGAGAGAATTGCAGAGTTGAGATTCTCGTCGAGGGGTGAGGCGGGCACCTAAAACCAGCAACCACGCAGAAAGAAAACAGCCCAAGCTGCACCTTCTAGCTGTTTCGATGGTTGGAGCGGCACCACGTGCTGATTGGACGGGCGGGACTGGGGCTGGACCGTGCAGTGGAGGGGTTCAAGGCTGAGCTGGTGCAGGCGCCCGCCCACCCCTCCTTTTCGGTGTGCAAGGCAGGAGCTCCGCATGGTCAGTTCGGTCAGTTCGGTGAGATGGACCTGTTCTATTGTCAGACCATATGGCCGGATGAGAAGTCGATCGTGTTCCTCAAAATTCGGCATCTCTTTATATAATCTCGAGGGACTAAAAACCAGGTTTCATAATCATTTAACAGGGATCATGGACCACTGTCTCCATCGATACTGGAATACCGATGGCTCCAAGCTTTGGATGCCCTGCAACCTCGTTGCCATGTCGCTCGGAACGTGGTCCAAGACGGCCTTTTTACTCCCTTTTGGCCAAGGCGACGATGCTAAACTCCAAGTTGCCGTCCGCATAGCTCAAATACTTCTTGATGCCTTTCTCCAATGCCCCCTCGCTCAACATATCTTCCCCTTCCCCCAACAATCCCCGATCAACAGGTCCATCTGACCCGCCCTCCAACTCCCAAAGATGGCCGTCCTTCCCCTTGACGAAAGCGATGAAGTGATACCCCGGTTTTTCCTCGGCAGGTGGCGGCGCCGTATCCCCTCTCCGCGCGGCCTTCATATGCGCCTCTTCGAGCTCCTCGCTTTTGTACAAAACGTCCGCCCTCTCCTGCCACTTCAACGGCTCCGCCTCCTTGAGCAACCTGTCCATCAACGACCCCTCCGCGACATAGCTCCGTGCCTCCCCGTTTCCGACGGCGTGGATGAGCGCGTACAGCCCGCATGCGTTGCCAATTGTCTGTAGAAACCAGATCACGGGCTCCTCAGGTCCCGCGCCTTCGTACGTGATCCCGTCTTCTTTGACAGTTTTTGTCCCGTCGGCGGCGCGGACTTGATGGTACATCGGCGCCGGGGAGATAAAAATCAGCGCCAGCACAGGGCGTGGGACAAGATCTAGGAGGGCGGGCTCGTCGATGCTGTAGACGTCGAAGAAGCCCAGCGAGGGCGAGATGCCCAGGTCATGGACAAGGGATGTAAAAACGTCGGGATTGTTCTCGAGCGGGATGAAGGTCTTTTCCCCCGTGGGCGAGATGTGGACGCCGTCTGCTGGCATGTTGGTGGATGCAATTGAACTTGCTGTGCTTGAAGTGTACTTGATGGTGAAGTCCGAAGTTGAAGCTGGCTATTGATCCGGAAAAATTGATCGACTTTGGCAGGCTTGTAGGAATGAGACGAAATCGAGTCCGAGGGAGGTGCTTGCCTCACTTACAGACCGTACTAAGTAGGCACACCGCGTACGCAATCCTGTTGCGTGCCTGGAACCCCGCACGTTGATTCATCCTCACCACCACATTTGGTAATTGATGCCAACACAGCAACATGAAAGCGGGACGTAAACACACCTTCCTAGGACTATTGCAGCGATCAAAATCGGGGTCCTCTTCTTGAGACCATAATATTCGTGCGTGGCTATCTTGGCCATTTTCCCCGTGGACCATTTTCTGGGGATATGACTGAAAAGCCTTGTTTTCATTAGAACATCCGAGGAGTCACAAACGGTCTTTGTGTTTCGCCGACCCCTCTTCTGCCTATATCTAACACTGTACCCGCTCAATCTACATGAATTTCTTGCTTCCAAACGAAATTGAGGTTTAATAAACGCAGTATCAAGTTACAGCACAAAAGCCCAGTTAGCAGTTGCTCCCCATAGTCCTTGACTTCTCCAATCTCATTGGCGGCTTGATTCTGCTCTGCCTCATTCAGAGCTCGATCCGATGCTGATGAAAAACGGCACCGCTCTGTCCAGAGGCCGTGGTAGAGCCGGGCTCTGGCTGTATACTTTGAAGACACAGTGATCTTGGCTGGTTCAGACTGCTTCGCGGAGTCTCTTCGCTGAAGACCAAGAGGGGCGAGCTCTGCCGAGTCTCTGACCAACGGCGGGCGTTGCAAGTCTCTTTTTCCTTCTAAGAGGCGCCTATTTCTGCTTCATCTTTAGCAGAACCATTGGACTCGGCTTGGATGTCTGTTCGGTTCACTCCTTCGCCCTGCGTGAGCCTCTTCTGTTGGGATATGAGGTCTCTCTTTCCAGCTTCTGGCTTACGTTGCTTTCGCTACTTCTGGTGGTATTAATACATTGAGAGAGCGCGGTTGCTGTGCACTGTTTCATGAGATTCAGCGCCTTTCTTCACCTCTTTTGTAGCTCTATCTGAATTCCAACTCATCTCCTGCAGCATCTCTCGTATTCAATCGTTAGATGGAGGGGTGTGCGACCCATGAGATCGGTGACTGCGATCATTTCCTCGGGCACGAACCTGCACATAATCCGGACGATGTCTTCTCGTGACTTGTCCACCATAAAGTCACATATCAAAGCGCCGTAGAGGCAGGTAACGTCGTGATCGTTGTCATGTTCCTGACATTCGCTATGAAATGCTGTCTTTATGTGTTCCAGTGTCTTCTGAGTTTGATCTTTGAATGCCGAGCGGGTAAACCCCTCATTTACCTAGGCCGGGGTGAGAACGCCGGCGAGTCGAGCCGCTTGGAATCTGCACGCCACCAAGCGGCGGGACACCGGGGTGCCGGAGTCAGTCAAGGTCGCGAATCTCATGCGCCGAGAAGACAGCAAACCGTCCAATGCCATGGCAAAAGTGGGGGCCCATGTAGACTTCGTCTCTGGCCTAGAGCAGAAGTTCTCAAAGTTACCTCCAGATGACCCGATTCCGTCAAATCCAAAGATGACTAGGAAAAGGCCTAAAACAGGAAGGAGTCATGGTGCCCATATTATGGCTAGTGAAGATTGGTACTCTCTCTGCGAGTTCCGAAGCAGCTTTCAAGTTCCTTCTATTGCCATTTAGGAGGACACTTTGATAGACCCTTATGGAAACAGACGGGGACAAATAACCCCTGGAGCGCTCTGAATGTTGCCTCCTACCACCAGGCTCATAGATGCGTAAACCTCATCCAGCGTGCTTTTAGTCTGCCTTGGGCCTGCATGTCCGCGGTATAGCTCAACGACGCATGCAAGATGACAAGTTCGGTAGCCGCGAGCGCCGTTGTAAAGATGTAATCCATGTAGGACGCCATACTTCCCCCCGCTGACTCATCGTACTAGGTGGATTCAACTGCTGTCAACTGCTGCCTAACATATGGACCCCCTCATCATTGACTTTTCCTAACACCTGATTTGCTTATTGATACATCATGATCCATTGTCTTATGTTCAATCAAGAAACGCCACACTGCTCAACTGCTTAACTACCCACAGAACGCCAGATGGACGATTTGGAAACTCAAAAAGTGCAGTCCCCAATCCTCTTCTTATGGTCTAACTGAAAACCGGATGCGATGTTTATGTGCGAGCCCTTGAGACTAATCCATTCTCTTAAGTCACTGTTAGCAGACCGCCACAACACAGCTGCCCATGGGACATCCAACTACGACAGAGAGGAGACTGAGAGCTGCGACTTTTGTGACAAGCTTATCCTCATAATACAGAAAGACCCAACAGACCACATGCCTTTCGACCTTGGACCGATCGATCAAATCTTGTCATCAGGATGCCCTCGACACCGGCCACTCCTTCAACGATTGACGGACTGGCTGGACCTACAAGAAGGAACAAAAGAACAATTGAGGCTCTCCCGAGAATGGTACTCCTTATCGGTCTATTTTAATCTTCCCGAAAAGGGTCACAAGACGTCGCCTCGTTTGGATGTGGTGACAAACGCGAACGACAACCAATCCATTGGATTTGGAATCGAATTTGATCCATGGTGGATCGAAAACGACACGCTGACTCGATGGTATAGCACGTGCATATCCAGACATGGAGAGCGGTGCAGCAAACCTGAATACTTGGAGTATCTTCCCAAGCCTGGGCTGAGGATTCTGATCGACGCGGTGGACAACTGTCTAGTTACTGCTCCTAACACTCCATCATATTTGGCCCTGAGTTATGTTTGGGGCAAGGTCGACATATTCAAAACGTTCACCGCCAACCTGCCCCAGTTACAGAAGTCGGGGGCCTTGGCGAATATCGATCTTCCAAGGACCATTAGGCACGCCATGCATTTAACAACGATCTTGGGGGAGCGCTATCTCTGGGTAGACAGCCTCTGTATCGTGCAGGATGACGAAGAGTTTTTGAACGATCATCTAGGCCGTATGGCTTCCATCTTTGCGCATGCTCAAGCCGTAATTATTCCGATCGACGGATCTAACGCTGAAAGTGGGATTCGCGGATTGAAAGGGACGCCGGCAGAGGAACCACGGCACCTCGAGCAGGAACAGATCCCATTCGGAGAGAGGAGTATCCTCGTGCGTACTAGTATGGGAAATTTTGGGAGAAATAGCGGCCATTTTTCGAAAGCGAATTACTTTGATCGTGGTTGGACATTCCAGGAATATCTATTTGCACGGAGACGCATCTGCTTTGAGAATAACAGCGTCTGGTTCGAATGCTGTGATTCCACTATGTATGAGGACCACAGCTGCCCGGACAAAACAGACGGCAAACGGGATTTCATTCTAGATGTCGGTTACCCGTCCACTACCATCTACTCGCGCCTGATGAAGCACTTCAATCAGAGACAGCTCAGCTACCCGCAGGACTGCCTCTCTGCGATGGCGGGAATAATCCCATGCTACACCAAAATTTTCAAGGGGGCTTCCTGTGCGGGCTTCCAGAGATGTTCTTCGACGCAGCTTTGCTTTGGCAGCCTGAAGACGACCTAGTGCGACGCGAGCCAGTCGGGACGACCATGAACCATCACGGCATCATCAACAGCCATCTCCCAACGTGGTCCTGGGTGGGGTGGCAAGGACAGATTGATTTCCAAGGCTGGGCAACCGGGAACGACTTCATGGCGGATTGCAACGGCTGGATTGCCACATCGTGGCAGCAGATGTTCCCGATAACCGAGTGGTACACCAGTACTGATAGCTCAGGAAGGACCGGCAAAAGGCGGATAAATGTTGACTGGACAGCATGGAGAGACCGATACAGGGACCCGGGAAATCACTGTCTTCAGGGTGGATACGAAAACAACGGCCGAAAAACACGCGCTGGACCGTCAACACACCTCCGGACGGATTCGGCGAGTATGTGTACAAGCACGAGTCCTGTGACGCGATCTTTTGGTATCCGATACCTCTATCTGACTCGATCTATTCATACGAGCAAAGGAGCACGAGCTTCTCCGAGGCATCCTACCTATTTGGCTCTGTGCAAATGGCACACTTATCAATCTCGGGTGCGATGTGGTTGCACAGCATTGGCGTCTTTGACGCTGTCGATCCGCAAGTTGCTTGTGTGTCACTATATACATCTCGGAACGACTGGGCCGGAGTGCTGCGGCCACATCGCCGCGACTACTTTGAAACTCGGGGGTTGGACCCTGCCAAGAGCCCCGTCGAAGTGCAGCTGATTGCGATTTCCAGAGGTTGCATCCCGAACGGCCTTGAGTTTGATTTCACGGACATTGCAGAGTACACTATAGAAGAACGGCCACAGCACGGTGACAGATACGAGTTTTATAACGTCATGTGGATTAGCTGGAAGGATGGGATTGCCTATCGAGAAGGTCTTGGCCGGGTACACAAAGATAAGTGGGATTCTCTCGAGGTCTCAACAATTGAAATTGTACTTGGATAGGGTCAGGCAAAAGATACCGAAGGTCATCATGATCGATTTTCATAACGTTACAAAAGCAAGCCAACACTTCGCACAGCCAGCATACCTTGTTCGATTGCACCATCCATGTAACCTCTCCAACCCTCCGCCCAGTCAGAACTAGCCATAAACACATTGCCATGTCTCTTTCGAAGCTCGGCGTAATACTTTGACTCAAAGCCTGCAGGGTAGGATGCCCAAGTACCCTGAGCAAACGGATCCAACCGCCAATCGTGAAACGTGTAAGATGAGATCGTCGCGCCTGGTACTAGTTCTGCATATTTCGCTTGTACTTTGTCTGGGTTTTCACTCGGCAAGCTGCTGTGAGAGAGCAGAAAGGCCACCGTACTCTTCACATTGCCATCGTGCGTGACTGTCTTTGGGTAACTCAGAGTGAAATCGCAGGGGGAACCGGCAGAAGCGAGAAATGGCTGGGTTCCTGG